TAGTTTTAAATAAGTAAGCCTTATACCTTTTAACCTTAAAGTAGTTATTTCTTAATTAGATTTTAAGCCAAAGACGCTAATACCCTTAACCTTATAGCTAAGCAGCTAAGGCTCTTAGGACGTAAAGACACTAACTATAGTACTAGAGGGTATATAAAGTGCTTCTTCCCTTAAAAAGAAGATCTAAGCATATTAAAGTAACTTATTAACACTAATATATAAAGTAATTAACTTCTAGGCTAGAAGTATTAGTAAGTTAACTTATAAGTTTACTATTATCAAGGCTAAAAACTATAAGCTTTATATAAGGATAGAGGTACTAAGTAAATGCTAAAGGACAAAAAAGACCTAACTATATCTTAGAAGGTCACTTAATACTATTAAAGTAAAGGTACTATAAGTAAAAAAAGGTAATATTAATACTAGAGGAGAGAATAACCCTTAGAAGGAGAGTCGTATAAAAGGTACTAAACTATAGTGTAATAATATAGTAATTACAGAAAGCCTAGACATAATGTATAAACCTGTGTAGTAGTTTAGGATAGTAATAAAAAAGAAGGTGATAAGCAGTTTTAATTGATTTTATATATTATAGTTAAATTAACTTATATAAAAGATAGAAAGGCAGTAGACGTGCACAGCTTACTATAATACATAGCTTACTATATATATACGTTATTTTTATTCTTTCTAAATAATTATTTTTTATTATTCTTAAAAGATTTTAATAAGTTAAATTATTTAATATCTTTTACTTTAAATTAAAAGCTTAATTAATATTTATATATTTTAGAATTAACTAGCTCTTTTAGTCTATTTAGTCTAGATAAGTAATTAAGGTTTTTATCTAGTTAATTTAATAAGTTTTTACCTTAGTTTTTACTATTGTTTCCCTAAAAGAATTAAAAAACCTTTTTTCTTTATCTATAATATAGTTACTTTTTATATAAAAGTTACTAGTATATAGACCTTTTTTATTCTATTACCTCTAGTAAGCTATTATTAAAGAGATTTATCTTAAAGTAAAGATTATAGCCTTTTATTAGTTTTTTTTATAAAAAAATAGATTTCTTAGTTTTACTTTTCTTTAAAGTAAACTTTACTAATAAGGTTTATAAAAGTAAAGTTAACTTATTTAATAATAATAAAATTATATAAGAGAATAAGGTTTTTATTTTAAAGTTTCTATCTATTAATTTCTTGTAAAAAATACTTTTTTAAAGAATATTAATAAAAGATTCTTAATATATTAAAAGTAAAAACTAGTATAACTTATTAAAAAATAAAAATAAAGCTAAAGTTATTTCTATAGTTAACAAATATTATAGTAGATTTTATAAATATATTTATATTTTGTTTAAGTATTTAGATTTAGTTATAAGCTAAGTCTAAATAGTTTTCTTAAATCTTTAAAAATAAGTTATTTAAGTTAATAAATATACTATAGTAAGAATAACAAAAGGTTATTTATAATAGTCACAAGGAATAGTAGAGAAGAATAAGGTAAACAGAAAAGGTATATATATATATTAACCGTTCAGGTATCATTATACTTTTTTTTCCTTAAAAACTATCTAAGTAAAGAGAATATCTCTTAGTTATATAAAAAGTCCTTTAGATACTAGAAAGAGGCAGGGTTTCGCGTTTTTGTTTTTCCTTTTATCAGCCTACAGACACAATCACAGGCCTGATCAGACGTGACTAAGCAGGACCCTTCCAAATACAAAAGAGGACTCTAGTCAGATACTATCACAGAAAAAAGGCATCAACATCGCATAATAAAGCAGAGAAATAAGCTTAACATCTTTAGACAAGCACTTAAACAAACACAGACGAATTCATCACTTTGATATCTAAACAAGACGTATAATAAGTAACTATTATTTTGTTTCTTTAGGCCTGACTAGACCTCCAAGGTCTAAGAGGGCATCCTCCTCCTCAAGAGATCACAACACACACATACATACCACTTAGCAACAAGGGCAAATCCAAACAAACTACAAGACGTAAAGGATACACTTTTTCTAGTTTGCTCATAGCCCTAATCAGGCCAAAGAGGACCTAGAAAAAGTAGTATCTCACGGTCTAGGCGTTATGGTAGTCACCTGGGGTAATCGGTCACTCCAGGTGCACTCATGACGATACTAGGACCTCGGTGTTTAGTGTGGTTTATGTATTAACTACCTACTTACTAGCTTCCCTTATCCCACGCAGTTTTAATACGTATAGTATTTAAGCGTATATCTAAGCGTATATCTAAGCGCTAAGAGGTACTTATATGTTTCTTATATATATATATATATGCCTATATATACCTATAGATAGGCATAAGCGCTAGTATATATAATACTTAGAAGTATATACGTTTATATACAGTAGACTGCATTAGTTTATAGTAGTTTGTATTAGTATAGTTATATATAGTAATATATACTTTTATAGGTTATTTTTCAAGAAGAATCTAAAAAAAATAACTATATATTTATAGGACTTTTAGTTATAGAGTTATAAAGAGATTTATATATAAGAATTATAAGAATTTTACTTCTTAATTCTTAGTGCTATTAATAAAAAAGATATAAATACTAAGCTTATAGTAATTATTAAGTAATTTAAAAGAGTATATATCTAGTTAGTAAAAATATTTATTTATATACCTTTAAATAATATAAATATATAGTTATTAGTTAAGCTATTTAATATAAATTTATTAATAATAGAATTTAGTTTAAAGTTAATAGTAATAATAATAAGATAAATATATTTAGTTATTTATAATTTAATAATAATAAGTATTTTATTTAATTTAGTATAAGTACTAGAACTAATAAAATATAAGAAAAAGCTTAAACCTTTATCTTATTATCTTTTTTTTATTTACTAAAACTTTTATAAAAACTTAAACCTCTATTTTTTTATATAGTTATTATAAAGTATTAAAAGAAGCTTAAACCTTTAACGTATATATATAGTAAGCGGGCTAACATAGTAAGTAGGCTACATTTCCTTTTTTCTACTCTCTTTACTTTTATACTAACTTTCTTTTATATATAATAATAAGTTCTTTTTTAAATAAAACTATATAATCCTTATACTTTAAGCTATAAAAAAAGACTTAAAGCTTTCTATACAAAAAGTAGCTTTAATTTATAATATTTTATGAATAATACTTTAGTATTAATACGTTAAACGACTATTATGATAAGAAATGTAATTAAAATTAATAAAGATAACTAAGCTAAAAGAAATAGTAATTTTTAAATAAGTTATTAACTTAATTGATTAAGGATTTTTATTGTGATTTAATGATATATAAGATATAGTTGATTGTCTTTTTGATGAATGTAATGTAATATGTATTAGACCCTAATAAGTAAAGAACTTTGTATAACGTTAACTATAACTAAAGACGTGTTTTTAATATAGAATTAACTATTAGAGAGTATTAGCTAAGGATCTTGTAATTATATAGGCCTAATTCACTTTTATATAAAATATAATTATAAAGTATAGAATTTATTATAATAATATTTATAACTTTAATAAGATAAGCTTTTTAATAGGAATGTTATTATATATAAAGGTTATTATAACCTTTGATTGCTATAAAAGGCCTTATATAAAGTAGCCTAGTAATTATAAATAGGTTTCTGTTATTTAGGGTATATATATAGATAACTAGGTGTTGCCTTTGTATATTATTATAAAGGGTAAATATTACCTCTTTTTTTAGTATACTAATAGCTAATTTTTACTCTAATAGTATATTTATTTTAGTGAAAATAGATAAACTATAAATAAGATTAGCCTAGATTAGTTATAGTATTTTAAAAAGTATATAAAGTCTTATATAAAGGGTATTAAGTAGCTTTTAATCTTTAATAGCTATAATAGCTATAAGTCTACTAAGTTTAATAATTACTATAAAGAATATAGTATTATTGCTTTTTATATACTTCCTTATTTATTATATAAGCTTTAGCCTCTTAATATTAGCTATTTTAGTCTATTAAAAGCGTTATATAATAAAGAAATTAAAAAAATAATATAAATATAAATTATATATATTACTAAAAATAAATTTTCTTTTGCCTTTAAAGTAACTTTTTTTATTTTAATAAGTACAAATAATATATAAGCTAATTTTAAATAAGCTAGCCTTATACCTTTTAACCTAAAACTAGTTATTTTTTACTTAGATTTTAAGCTAAAAATATTAATATTATTTAACTTATACTTAAGTAACTAAGGCTCTTAAGACCTAAAGATATTAATTATAGTATATAATGTTATATAAAGCTTTATATTACTTAAAAAAAGAAATTTATAGTTATTAATATAGTTTATGTTGAATGGATTCTCTCTTCCTGAGAGAACCCGTTTGTACGATCGTACTCGGGTTAAAGTTAGGGTGAACCAAAGATGTATTTTCCGTGATTATCTTCCTAACTACAAGACTTGGCTTTCGTACACGAGATATATGATCTCGTACGTCCCTGAGTCAGTTCGGCATGAATATACTTTTGATCCCCTCAATGGATAACCGAGGGCCGAATATCCAGTCTGTGCCCTCTGCCATGATGTGTGTCCCTGAGTCGTGCGTGTCGTACAACCAGCTGGTGCTGTTATTCCAACACTCACAACTTTTTCTTTTGTGACTGCACGACTCCCTGCGGTGTCCAATCAGGTTGCGCTGATTGTGACATCAATAACCTCATCGTACAACCCTGTGGGTTAGGCCATTTGCGTTGTACGATAAATCACCAATATCAAAACTCCAGGCAACTGTCCATTTCCTTCTTGCCTGGTTGAGCAGGCAAGTCACGTGTTGGTGAAGTTCCTTCCTTCCTCGTTGACTTCACTTCTGCTCCTGCTGTTGACGTACCTTCCTTCCTTCGTACGGCAACCTTAGCTATTTAAAACCCTTCTCACTTGTTTTTCTTTTTCTCTTTTTCTTTTCTTCTTCACCCTTCGCACGCGTCGCTTTCCCATACAATCGATCAACGACGATCTTCCCCTTCTTCCTCAATCAACTCCAACAACAACTACTTGTACGTAGGATTTCCTCTCGTACGTTTCCTCTTACTGATTCATCAATAGCACCTCGCACGATCAATCCATCATGTCTCTCGCTGCCCCCGGTGGTTCGATCTTCGGCAACATCGGTATGCATACCGATGCGTCCGGTGGTCGTTGGCTTCGTCTTCCGACTGGCAACGCCAACAATCGCGCTCTTCTGTTGGCTCTGGCCATCAATGTACGTTACTTTTGTCCTTACCTTGTCTTCGTACGTTAACCTTGACTGCAGGATGAGGAGCGTCTCATCATCAACATGCCGTCGCGCGATATCGAGATCCGCGTCACTAGCAACACTTCTGTCCAGCAGTTTGTTGCCAGCATCATCCGCCGCCAGGGCTACTTCCTTGCGGTCTTGGTTCAGTCTCGTGGTCGTGCGGCCATTGCCTGTGGCAATAAATGCGCGACTACTGACTCCCCGCGCTTCCGCCAGTGCACCCGCATTCCCACCTTTCAGGGTGGCGCCTGCGCCGAGTGCGTCTAGCAGTCGCACGGCGCTCGCTGCACCCACCGCGGTCGAGATGTTGATTCGTCCGACAACCCGGGCGATGATGATGATGATGATAACGGCGGCCCCAGCAACTACAAGGCTCCCAACGTCACTAATGCTCGTGAGCCTCGTACGCCTGGCAGCAAGCTTGGCAAGAACGTCGGCAAGGGCGGTCGCTTCCTTGGCACTTCTGCCAGCCCCATGGTTATCGACAAGGAGTAATCGCACAACTTCTCTTCCCTGAAATCTCGTACGACAATCAGATGGATCGCACGATATGGTAATTCGGGAAGGTTGTGGATATGGTGGAGGTACGATCCGACATTGAGATCGGCATTGGTAGTGGTCAGGTATATCAGATACCTTCTTGAGGTTACACTTCGTTTTCAGATAGTTGGTAACGTACGGCGGTGAGGTCGTACGAATTAATTGTCAAGTGTTTTCTCCTAATCTTTCAACGTACGCCTCGATTCGAATCCTTAATGTGTTTGTTGTAATCAATTGTCCAAGTGCTGAGTTTGGCGATTTCTTGGTGAAGGCGTCGGCAGGGTTATCTTTCCCATCAATCCATCTCACTTCTGATACCCTTGTACGACGAGTCTTGACTTCTCGTACGGCTTAGATGACAAGTTCTTGATCTCTCGTACCATCCGTGTCTTGTAGATACGGAGGTGGTCATGCTCTTTTGGATTGTACGGTACAAAGGTGAAGACTCCCTTTAGCTCAATAAGTCGTATGAACTCTGCCCTGAACGCACGATAGACCTTTTCCCATTGGAAGGTAGACCATTCGTTGAAATCTTCGTACAGTGATATTGTCAGGTTTTCCTTTGATTGCCTAAGATGAAGCATTTCCATGTTGATGTACGCAATGTACGTAGTCATCTCTTCTTCGGACGGTGCCTGTGTAATATCGACTGGATTTCCCCAGCGTCTAGGATTCACAGTCTTCTTCCACGTGTGCAGTGGGACTTCGCTCCTTGCACTTATTTCTTCGTACGTTGGCAGGTATCCATCAATGTTGTCATATTGGCTTTGACGATTGTCTTCTGGATCCTCTTGGGAAGCCATGTTGTGTTCGGTAGTCGTTTCGTATCGTACGACGTCAAAATTGGTTTGTTTGGTGCCGTGGCGCACACTTTGTACTCTACGTACAGTACAATAAAGATTCTCGTCCGGTTCAGCTTAGCAGGCGACAACGGGAATCTGTCTTGTACGATAGTAAAGCAAAAGTCGTCTTTATCCTATCTACCCGGTTCAGCTTAGCAGGCGACAATAGGTAGGATTAAGGCTTCTTAGCACAAGAGACTTTCTAGCGTGACCCCTTAGGTATCCCTGAGGATTTCTCGCCTCGCACGAAGTGCAAGACTACCCGGTAGCCCGGCCGTAAAGCCTAAGTCTTGTCTCTTCACTCTTGCTAATCTGTGATTGCACAAAGCAATCGCACGGATTGCCAAGCAACCACTGATCAGTGTTGAATGGATTCTCTCTTCCTGAGAGAACCCGTTTGTACGATCGTACTCGGGTTAAAGTTAGGGTGAACCAAAGATGTATTTTCCGTGATTATCTTCCTAACTACAAGACTTGGCTTTCGTACACGAGATATATGATCTCGTACGTCCCTGAGTCAGTTCGGCATGAATATACTTTTGATCCCCTCAATGGATAACCGAGGGCCGAATATCCAGTCTGTGCCCTCTGCCATGATGTGTGTCCCTGAGTCGTGCGTGTCGTACAACCAGCTGGTGCTGTTATTCCAACAGTTTATTAATATACTTATACAAAATAGTTAACTTATAAGCTAAAAGTATTAGTAAATTAGTATATAAATTAGCTTTTATTAAAGCTAAGTGTTATAGGCTTTATGTAATAAATAAGATACTAAGTAAGTATTAGAGGGCTAAAAAAACCTAATTACGTTTTAAAGAGTTACTTAATGTAGCTAAAGTAGAGGTAATCTAGGTAGAGAAAAGGGTTATTAATGTTAAAGGTAAAAATATGTATTAAGAGGAGGCTTATATAGAGGGGAGTAAAATGTGTAAGTAATAATATAGTAATTATAAAAAGACTAGATATAATGTATAAATATATTAAGTAGTTTAAAAGACTTCTAAAAAAGAGGATAATAAGTAGTTTTATTTAATTTTATATAATACTACTTAATTAACTTATAAAAATTATTAAAGGGTAGGAAATGTAGTCTGCTTACTATGTTAGCCTACTTACTATGTATATATATTACTTTATTATTATTTTTTATTAGCCTAAATACTCTAAAAATAGCTATCTTTAGATAAAAAATAGTTATATTATTATTTATTATACTTTTATATTAATAAAATAATTATAAAGATTAATAATTCTTATTTTACTTAGTTAATTAGTAATTAGTAGTAAAATATTAAGGGGTTTTTGTCTAGAGCTATTTAAAGTGTAGGGAAATTACTAGGAATCTGGTAGGGATTTCTTAGTGGATTCCCTGTAGTTACAAAAGTAGGTCTTACTAGGAATTTATGGTAAATTCCTGGCGGATGTACTGCTACTGCGTGGGTAGACCCGTTGCCACAGCATGGTGGATCCACCGTGATTTCCTGGGGATTTCCTGAGGCTGTCTCTACCCGTGCAGGGAAACCTTTCTCTGTGGATTCACCGCCTTCGCTTGCGACCATTGTGTAATAAGCCTATTACTATAAATAAACCTCTTATGAGCTCTTTGCTGTTACCTAAGGCAACAACACCACTTAATAAGGCTGCCTAAGGTGCCTAGGGTATCTAGGATGCCTAGGATATAGAGGAATAAGTATCTACTTTATTTGCTGTTATATAGTCTATGCCTAGGAAGATAAGAGACCTTAATAGTTAACTAGACTTATTTAGTAAACTAAATTAAAGTATTACTATATAACGCTAACTCTTTAGAAAGGTTAAAAAAGGCTTCTAAGAGTAGTTCTTTTAGTTAACTACTACCTACTACTAGATATAACTTCTCTAGGCCTAAGTTAATAATATTACAGTAAGGAAAAGGAAGACTGTTAAAATTGACTTTAATACTAAGTTTACTAACATTAGTGATATACGGTAAGCCTAGATTGAGGCTAGTGATGCTGAAATTGACACAGATGAATCTAGCGTATCTGATTGCCCTAGTGAGGCAGAAAGCTGTATCATAGTTGCATCTGGGCCTCGGCGATAGTCAATTGAAAAGGGTGGTGTTGTTGCGATAGCTTCGCTTTGTGGGTGCCCACATGGGTGGGGTGCCCAGAAGTGGGTGACTTGACTTATTCAGAATTTGTTTTCCCGGCAAGCCAGAGCCAAGCTCGCCGTATCTCATTGATTTGGACTTCGAGGCATTGGGTATTTCGGCAGTCAGGCGCGGCCTGCTCCCCCGCTTCATAGAGCGTTTGCGACATGTTCAGGGTCTGAGTGACAGCCAGATTGAGGGAGTCTTCAATGCGTTCCGCGAGAGCCTGTCGCCAAACTCGGCGGCAAGCGACCAGTCGCACAATACTAGCAATGGTCAACCAAGCAGCCGAGAAGCACACATACAAGATGGACGTGATTCCTCCTACGCCTCGAATCCGTCAGCAACAGTACGTAATGCGTCATCAACATTTCCGCATCACCGCCTGCCCGAGAACACCGCCCAACCCATTGCAGCTGGTAGAACGCAAGACGCATCACCGACCACTACCACTCAATCAATTGTACAGCCTGGGCCCCAAATTCTGCCACAGTCGACGGAATTACCCCAGTGGCCTTTCAATAGCGGCCACACTTCCGGAATGTCATTCAACGGTACTCAAGCAAACACTTTTAACTCGACTCAGTTTGGAACAGCTAATCCGGAGACCACCCATGCCGGCATACCTCCGTACAATCCCACCAGCATTGGTTTCCATCTGCCAGTCGACAACCATGTCATGTTTGACTTTTCACAGCCCCGCGGACAGAATCATTTCAGAAGAAATGGTGGTTTCGGCGTGATGGGCAACGCTCCGCCCGCCTTTGGCGAGGTCTACAACATTGACCAAAACCTCGAGGCACCAGGTGTTCGACGTCAAGCCATGCCGAGCTTTGATCCTGTTTCCTATGTCAATAGCGAACCCCTTATCTACCATCTTGCCGGGGCGTACGGCAGTTTACGTGCTCCAAATTTGGGAAACTCCTACTTGACAATGTCCCAACCTCTGTCTACTCCACTCTACGCCCAGATGCCTATGGACCATGGCTTACACGGGGAACGTCCGCACGGTGGTCCCCAATACCCCGCGACGCAACTTGATCGGCATGCAGCGCGACCCTTGCAGCGCGGCCAGGGAGACTCTCCAAGTGGTCATCGCTCGCCTCATTCACAAGGTGATATTCCTTGAATAACCCTTTCACGTTGTGTCACTGTGCCTCGTCCATCTTGCAGAATGATGCATTGGGGTTTCGGCTTCCTTTTTGTCGTGGAAGCTAGGGCTTTGCTTAGATGGACATGGCCAGGGTGATAGTTGCTACGACATTTTCACGCTCCCGGGATTTGACTGTGAGATTCAGGGGTTATGTATTGGAACACAACGCAAGCGAGGAGTTAAGGGATGGCCAGGTGCACTATGGGAAGCGAAGTCTCGAGCATCATTAGAGCTTGTCGAGTTTTACGACATTCAGCCGAGTGTTCATGGAATACTGGCGTTGGGATAAGGGGCGGTCGGTAAAGATGTTTGATTGCCAACAAAGGCGTCGTTCACTACGTACATATATATGGAAGCATAGGTGGTGGATTCTAAAAGTTCTAATTCTAGAGTTTTGTTTTGAAGAGAGGAGGATGGGCTCTCCATCTTCCAGAGCACGTCACATACGTCCTACGTGTTGTCAACGCATGGTGCTGCTGATGCTTGCTGTTTCTTTATAGCGGCCGACTTTTGTCCTATAGATAGTCTCCCGAGTTTTAAATGCAATTTCAGAATTACCCTATGTTCGAGGCGGATTCTATGCTTTGCTGTCCGAAAAGTCTCTATCAATATGTTGTCACGTTAGTATGCCGCGGTTCAATTGCTGGCACCGCGGAGATCGCCTGGGTTCAGCGTCTGAGGTTGGGTTCTCGCTGATAGCCTTGAGGTTGTTAGCACTAAGACTCATTGGCAGCAACACTTCTCTTCTAAAATTACACATCGTACACCTCGCCACGTGTAAGTAGACATGGTACTTTCCAGTAAACTTTTTAAACTCGATTCCGCCGGAACTCGCATCCGGGTTGACGGTTAAGATTTCAGAGCATTCATTTCTGTTCACCAGTCTTGAAAGACCATCGGGCTCCAATGTCTTGAGCGATCCAGAGAGCAAAGTGCGAGCGATTTTGGTTGATTGCGAGGGCGTCATGTGCAGTTCGCCATTGTGTGCCGCCAGAGCCTTGTATCGGCGCTGACGGCTGGACAGTCTACAAAAGCACTCGTAAACTTGACTTGTTAAAATCTGATGAAACCACAAAGACTAGTGTACTTGTTTTTCATAACTTTATGAGAGCATTCTAGAGCTATTGTTAGATTATGACTACTAATACATCATACTAAAGTCCACATTGATCTTACTGAGACTGATGTTCTTAAATTATAATTTTGTTCGGTGCATTTAATAGGACCAAACCGCAAAAGGCATTTTGACGTGAGGGGATTCTCAAATCCGGCACTTGAGGCCTAGATCGGGCGCCGGAGGGGGTTTCCCTAACCGTTCAAGGGATATGCTTTAGATGAACACAGTCTGCCATTTCTCTCCCTCTCTCTTGCCCCAGCCCGTCGCCTATCCTACCGGACTACCTCTTGAGTGAGTAGAGGATCGCGTGTCAGGTTAGAACTCTATTGTGCTATACTAAGCTGCAAGTTCTTCTAAGCGAAACAATGTAGAGCACTCATGATTGAGGGATATCACTATTGCGCCCGTCCCATATCGTGCTCCAAATCCTCGTCCCGGCAACGTTACGTTGTGCTCGTTCAACATCCCCCTCCATCCGAGGCGAAAGCCAGCCGTCCGTCCGTCCATCTGTTGAATTGACCCTCGAATCGACTTGCCTCAGTCCAGTTTCGGACGTCTCGTCGACAGGCCGCCCCGTGAGCGAAACGAAGTCGCGATCAAGTGCCGGAAGTGGGGGCTGCCTGGGTTGTCCGCGTGCACCCTCCGCTATGGAAGCTCGTTGGGGGCTGCCCGGCTGAGTGACAGTGAGGGCCGTGGTACCAACTGTTTGCGTCTTCCGTGTCACCGTGTTCCACCAACTTGAAAGGCCCTCCCTAGGTGTGCTGCCGAATCGGCCTGTTCGCGGGACGTTGAAATCCATAGCGCGTTTTCGGGAGGATTGTCGGCGTTTAAAAAGGACATTGGCGGACGGGAGGCAGGCGCAGACCAGACCGATGGTCAATTCGATGCATCTTACAACTCTGTCAGCATGCACGTTATACGGAGGAGGATCGAGAACGTACGCGGTCAGGTCAATGCTCACAAAGCTAACCGTTAGATCTGGTGAATCTACAAACCTGATCGCCGTCACGAGTCGAAATACCGTAGCCGCCGTCGCTCCACCGCCCGCACCGAGCATCAGCATGATTTTGAGCTTCTTCTTCGGCGACATAGTTAATGACCAGGTCATAAAGATCGGGAGCAGCAGGATGACTAGATCCACAAAGACGGCGATCGATGTATCGACAATAAAGACCTTGCGTTGGTTGATGCACCGCGGTGCCACAGAGGGGATCCAGTAATCCTCGATGGGCACGCAGATGGTGGTCTTGATAGTCTGGACGGGGGTGTACATGAACAGAAGCACCCAGATGAAGATATGGATGCTCTTGGCGATACGTTCATTGACGGCGAAGACGTGGGCAATAAGGAGAAGGAGGGTGACTTTGGTGAAATACGCCGCTGGAATGTAGACGATGGAGCTGGCGTAAAGCCACTTTAGTTTCGGTCAGTGAGTGTCGGTGCATACAATCTGGATTGATGGCATACCTTGAGTACCTGGGAGTAGTCCTCAACTGTGACTTCCCATGCGTGATAGCCGAGGCCATAATGTGCCACTGGATTGGGTGAGCGACGATGAAGAGCATAGACAAGGGCAGGTCCAGACATACTGGCGAAAAGAGTCCCCGAGTACAATACAATCATTACCTGTCGCCGTGAGTAACCACTCTATGCTTCATCAGATGATAGACTCATACCCATGCTGTCAGACATGTATCTTGATGCCAGGTTAGCCATGCTTTGACCGTGTACGAAAATGCGCCCATACGTACAATCTGCCACGAGGACGCGGCGGTTAATGAATAACTTAACGTAACATCGGAGGAAGAAAGATACAGTAGAGAGGACGTTGCATACTATCAGCACGGCGACGTTGAGCGTCCAGTTGATATCCCGCGGGTTGTCGAAGTTTGGCGTTTCGCCTGGCGGCGGTGGGAGGAAGCCGATCCGTCCTTGGGGGTCATTGTTGGATGCCGCCATGTTCCCCAGCCCTTGACAGAAGGAAATCAACCGCGTCCAAAGAGCTAAAGCTCATCCAGCCTCATTACTGTTCGGACTCTGTGAGAACTGGCCGTTTGTCGAACAAAAAGCCCAGATTGAAGGATATGAGGGACGCGCACGGTGAGACAAGATATGGAGACTGTCCCCGTTGCCGGCGAAGCTGGCAGGTCCACACGCACATATGAACTCAGACGATTGGGAGCCATTGAGGGGCGAGATGTCTGGAACGCAAACAACACGACTCGTTTCCTTTGACACTTGTGAGATCGGCTTCCGGGGACGCTAGTCTAGGTCATGCCAGATGTTTTCGTCGGGGAGTGTTTGACATCTCCACCTCGCCGCCACTAATGTGTGCCACAACAGTACGGGAAGAGCCTGTCAAATATGTCAAAAGTTCTGTTGATATTCCCTTTAACCAATCAAAGGCCCTAGGTTTCTCGATAGGGGATTGCACCCCGAACTCGGTTGGTGCCTAGTGCAGCTTAAAGCAGCCACTAGCTTAACCACTAGCCTGCATCTCCGGGAGCCCACTCTTAGTCTCTAGGTATGTCTCGTCAATCACGGTAATTAGAGACCAATGATTGCAGCGTTTATTGTTTCGGCAAAGAAAGACAACGGAATGTGCTTCTGCCAACTATCGCCATCCTCTTAATCCTTATACCTTTCTACATATCCTTCCATACTTGTCAGCCTCCGGAGTGCATGCTCCTGGAGTAATAGTCCACCTACCATTGTCACGGTTCTCGGCGGCACTTAGGTCTGTTGCCCTCTCAGCCAATGGAGTCTCGACGAAGCCGGGAGTAGGCAGTAGGCGTCCTTCCAGCCCTACTTATGGCAATTTCAAACCTGCCCAGAGTGTTGCAGTGTTTCCGGGCCTCATGTGGGAAACTGGTCCATCCATCCTGCCTTTAAGCAGATGCGGAAGTGCAAATAAGCTACACTCTACCGATTTTCTCTTTACGTATCCAGTTAATAACACGAGAGTTAGTTACCGCATCCACGCTTGTTCGTCGTTTGGCCCCATCTCCTCACGATCCCCGCTTCGACGGCTGGAATACAACGGTGCACATGCTGTATAAAAATAAAACCTTGAGAGCAATACCTATATACCCACTTAGAAACCTAGCAGTCATATCTGCATGCCGTATTGGGACAGTAATCTCGAGTGCAAGTAAACTTGCACAGGTCCTTTAAAGCCGTGTCTTAGCCCGTCATGACGCACCCAGCTGGCTTCAACTCTGCGGTGAATGCGGGAATCCCATACTTTTGACATACGCACGATCTTGCTGGACAAAACCCGTGGTTGCAGGCGAAGCCCAAAGAAACCATCCGACTTGGACGGATCCTTGGTTCCGCTGTTACACGTACCGGCGGAGCTTGAGGCCGGCGCAGAAGCGGTGCCGGCTGATGACGGCTTTGTGGGGTTAACGGAGCTGCCGGGGCTGCTGGGGCTGGAGCTGGAGCTGGAGCTAGAGCCAGATGCCCCGGCCGGCCTGGCGACGCAATACCGATAGCCCGCTTGAGGATGCACGAAGTTGGGTCATTATCGTCGAGTTGAAGAGATGGGTTCCATGACAGAAAGGTGTCGATGTCAACTGTTCCTCGTAGATTAGCGACTTGCAATAAGAACATGATACACGGTAGAAGGGGATATTAAAATGCAAATGGGTGTCGCCAGCTACTTGACGTCTTCTTAGTTTGCACTTACGGTCACAGAAACTGGCTATTACGAAATATGTGTTAAAGCTATCGGAAGTCCTTCTTGTGGTGGGACTCTCCATGTAGGAGTCGTAAGCTAAACAGTTCTCCAGGGTGTCTACGGCAAGTGGCAGCGATCCAGTTGAGGTGGAGGTAGGAGCAGGTGTCTCCGTCGATGATACCATGGATACTAAAGTGATAGATGAGATTCTGCTTCTTGGGGGTACCCAAACAGGCCAATCCATGATGCCAGTGTAGATGGGGTAGGAGCCGAAGCAGCTTGATGGTGCGCCCTTGCCGAAGCATGGGTCGGGGCTTCCGGGTGTCAGTATACATTTGATGTGTCTTTCTTGAATTTGGCAAACAAAGAGGACCAAACTGCATGTACTTACGGTGCAGTCGATGTCGGGCTAGGTGTAGCCGAGCTGAGCTGGGCGTTCTCTCCGAGAGGGCTTCAAGTGATTAATTTTCAACTCTCAGCAAAAAATTGGAGCTGTCCAGCATACCTGATACATATCATGGAGCTTGCCAGCTTACACAAGTTCTTGCATTTATCGTCGAGAGTAGGATTCCATTTGATAAGGTCCTCCTGATTAAACTTATCATCGTATTCGGCGGCGATGCTAGAACACGAGTTTCCGCGCTTTGCCTTGTATGTATTACACTGAGGCGGGATACACAGCTTAGTACCCGCCTCGGGAAAACTGGTGCAATAGGCAGGCAAGTTGTTTGCATACATCAGCCAAAAGTTTGACACTCGTTGAGAAATAACAACTGACTCGCAGGTGTCCTTAGGCTAAACCGTATATGTTGAGACGCAGCTTATTTCAGTTCTAGATGACGCCGATGCTACGGGGTTGGATGTAGTATTGATAGATTGATAGTGTACGGTGGGGGCGATGATACAGGATAAGATGTGACGCCGCACCTGGTAAAGACATGTTAGCGCTTTATACTAGGATTATCAAGTAGAGAGGAATATGGTCACTCACGATTTCGTCAACGAAGCGAAGGATTCCTTGAAATCGTCGTCCCAGCCGAATGGAGAGTTTAACTGAGCTTGCTGGCTCAGAAGGTTACAGTCTGAGCAAAGCTTTTCAGACGTTGGATCTTCCTTGCTGTTATACTCGTACACCAAGGGGGCACAGTATGCCTGTGACTTCCTGTACACAAAGTCAGCGGGAGCGTGTTTGGCCACTCAGGATATGTGGTACGAACGGATCTTTGATGCAAGTGTAATTGTAAGCGAACAGTAAGGTATCGGTGATGAAGGTTGAGGGGTAGTATTGGCCGCCTTGAAGGATCCAATCGCTGGAGCAGTATCTTTCTTGTGATACCTTGAGATCCTCTGAGTCATTGACACAATCGTCGGTGCAGATAATGGCAAGTTCAGAGTCGGAATAAAACAGCTCGCCGCTGGCGACAGAGTAAATCATTGAGTCGCAAGAAATAGACTCATCAATCGTATCACTACCATTGCAATTACTCGAAGTAAAAGAACTTGAAGGACAAGGATATTTTTTCTGTTGCTGTACCTGCATGCTGGCGATAGACCAGGGAGATTCTATCGCTGTGCCTTCACCACCGGCATGTCCAGCAAAGATCTGCCTGAGCACTGGACTGAATTACAAAGTTGACAAGACCTCAAACAGGGTCATTAGTAAATTACTGAAAAGGCCAAAGATCCAGACACAAGACTTACCAGTGAATTTGTGACCATGTCGTTCACGAAAGGCGAAAGGATCATGTTTGTCGATTGAATTCGTGGTACACGACCCCCAATTGTAGGAAACAGAATGGGAGTGGGTTTAGCTTTAGGGACATGGGCATTATTTCATTTGCTCATTGTTTCCTCACCCGAATTCATTCTCAATCCTCGTTCACTTACAAGTTCTCGCGCAGTTGCCGCCGCTGCCTAGTCAGTGAGGAGCGAGGGACTTGTGAAAAGCGATAGCTAAAACGGGCGACCCATTCAGGGTTGGGGCAGATGCGGCCCCATGAGCTTGATATGGTAACGTTCACACAGGAACAACCAGCAAGCGTATAAAAGCAAACTCACCATGTGTTCCTAGCCAGCCATGGTTACATGAATTGGACCAACAGACGCGAAAAGTTAAATCTATCCTGTTGGATGAGCCAACAGAAACTAGGGATCTTGGGTGAAACTCGAGATAGTTGATGCGTTATTAATCAAACTCAAGCCGAGTATCCGGCCGACCTTGCCGTTAACAGTCGCCAAGCAAAACGTTACCGGCTGCAGCCGTCTAAGATAACCTGATTACGATGCTCACCTTAGGCCCAATATCCACTTGGGCTCTACTCTCCTGGTATAATTCGTTAATTCGACTTTTGATCCACGTCTGCATCGGGGCTGATCTTCCCGGCTGATCCCTCACTTGGCAATCTCTTGATTGGCGAAAAGAACCCTGCGGGTGATGTTGGTTCAGCCTTCGGCGCTGATCCGGAGTTCTATAAGTCAGGATACCCACTTTCGGATCACCCCCACATCCGGATCGCACAAAAACGAAGCTATCGCAACATAACCACCCTTTTTAATTAACTATCGCCTAGGCCCAGATGCAACTATGATACAGCTTTCTGCTTCACTAGGGCAATCAGATGCGCTGGATTCATCTGTGCCACTTTCAGCTTCGCCAGCCTTGATCTGGGCTTGCCATATATTACTAATATTAGTAAACTTAGTATTAGGGTCAATTTTAATAGTCTTCCTCTTCTTTACTATAGTATTATTGACTTAGGCCTATAAAAGCTATAGTTAGTGCTAGGTAGTAGCTAGCTAGAAGGACTACTCTTAGAAGCCTTTTTTGACCTTTCTGAATAGTTAGCGTTATATAGCAATACTTTGATCTATTTTATTAAATAAGTCTAGTTAACTATTAAGATCCCTTATTTTCTTAGGCATAGACCACGTAATAGCAGATATAGTAGATACTTATCCCTCTATACCCTAGGTATCCTAGGCATTTTAGATACCTTGGATACCTTAAGTAGCTTTATTAAGTAGTATTATTAGTACTTTTACCTTAAGCAACAATAAGGAGCTTAAAAGAGGTTTAGATATATTAATAGGCTATAATCTTATACTTATCTAGCTATTTAAAATATTCTTTTTTATTAGCTTAGATAAGTATATCTACTAGTAATAGGATATAAAGTACTTTTTACCTATTATAGTTAAATTATTTTATTAGTTAAGGTTAAGTTAAAGCTTTTTGTGATAGGTTAACTTAACTAAGCTGAAGACTAATAGATCTAGTAGCTGGAAGATATAGGAGGTATATGGTAATAAGAATAATAGATAGACGTTATTAATATAATATTACTATATAAATTCTGTTGTTATATGGCTCCTATACCTATCCAAAACTAGTAGTCTAGCCTAATCAGGCTAGGAGGGGGTAGTCTGTAGTAAGAAGACCTTTAGTAGCCACTTAACAGCAGTCTTATTAGTTGTTTATCTATTCTCTGTTGCTATAAACTCTTATCTATTATAGGGGCCAAGATCTAAAGGAAACCACTGCTACTAGACTGTCTTGCCCTTATATATCACAAGAGGATATAATGCTAGGCCTTCAGCTGAGATGCACTCGATAATAGATACCTAGGCTTGTGATCCAGGCTGCTTTTTCTGCATAGACTTAGTCTCTGCCCTGCCTAGCACTAGCCCGTTTACTCCTTAACCCTTAAGGATACTAGTCTTATCCATGTTATATCTGTTGGCTGGTTAGACGGCTGATATGGCTGGGATCGCGAGATATCTGAACCAGTCCCTGATAACCTCAGTAGATGCCCTATTAACACGTCTAGAATCAATAGATCGACTTCTCTGGACCTTGATAGATGGGTTTCTTTGTATAAAGGCATTTACCTATCTCTTCCCTAGAGGCTAGGTATCTCCCATCGCATTCAGGATACGCTGAGCAAATTCTCTGACTTGCTGATGTGTTGGCGCAAGCCCAAGATCAGCCTGGATCTGCACCCAGCTGGCCAGCTTAGCTTCCTGACTAACAGAGAGTCTCTGGAAGTCAGAAAAAGCTGCTGCCCTAGACTGCGCGCCAGTTAGACGGCGTTGAAGGGTGGTGTATGGGATCCCATAGGTCTGGGCTGCTTTGCGCACGCTGATACCGCTGGCAACAGCTTCCTGCGCCTGGATAACTTCATGCTCTGTATACTGGGTCATAAGGTCAAAAAAAAGATAAGGTGAAAAAAGGAGCTTATTTGGATGATAGTTGTAAAAGTTGCGATAGTTATAAATAGGAGGCTGGGAGCAGAGATGCGGCATTTTGTGTGATCCGGATGTGGGGGTGATCCGAAAGTGGGTATCCTGACTTACCTTAACCTTGTTCCAACTGTTTGAGTTGAAAGAAATGTCCAAAGAGATGTGATATTCTCGAAATGGCCTTCCCAAAATCGGTATCGCGCCGACATCTCTCTTGCCAAACAAGCCGTGCTTCCGGTGTTCGGTTAATTATTGGCTCGAACAAGCGGTCTTGCCTGACCTCTCTCAGGGTTTAGGCAGTTAATTTGGAGAGCTGTGACCGAGCTATGAAGAACCCAGCAAAAATTAGGGGTCCAGGGTCCTCGAGATGTATTCGACTTTCAACGAGATATAAAGTCACACCAATGCATTCTAGTGTTGAAGGAGCAGCACCTGCAGAAGTTGATATTGCCCATCCTCCCACTTGTTTCTTGGGAGTTGAGAAATTTCCTCGAAAGCGTCAGGCCAATCTCCAACCAAAAAGGCCATTAAGGTCACTTTGCACATTTTATGTGTCTCGCTCAGGATATGGACTTGCCGTGCTCAGGGCAAGGCTGTATCCGCTCATTTTATGGTCATTTGGGTCTGTTTGAATTTTTGTTAATTACACTCTAACAGAGGACAGGTTGGCAACGCCAATAATTATACGGTTGCAGATTGGCAACATGAAATTGGTCTAGCGCAAAATGCTCATATCGATGCCTTTGCGCTCAACACAGCGCATGGCGGCAAGACTGTTGGCCCATCTCTGAAATCAGCATTCCAAGCTGCCGGCGATACTGGCTTCCAATTGTTCTTTTCTTTCGACTACACGGGTGGCGACCAAGCCTGGTCCAAAGAGGAGGTCATCGACCGTTGCTCTCAGTATTGCGGCAACGGTGCCTACTACCGTCACAATGGCAAACCATTTATCTCCACATTCGGAGGCCCGGGAAATGCCGAAGACGGGCATGATATCAAGTCGCCTACTGGTTGCTTCTTTATGCCAGACTAGTCTTCATCCGGTGCGAAGCCTGCTTTGCAGCTTGCTGATGGCATCGCCGATGGTCTTTTCAATTGGGCAGCCTGGCTATGGGGGAACCAGGACATGGATATTTACATCGACGCCTCATACTTCAAGTACCTAGAAGAGGTTGGGGCAAAGCCCTAGATGATACTCACAGCCCCATGGTTCTACACCACCTCCCTGGTTATAATAAGAACTGGATGTGGCGTGGTGATGATCTATGGTATGACCGCTGGGTAGAGATTATTTACAACCAGCCTGAGTATGCAATTACCCTGTTGATATACTTATATGGGACAACATTTCTGACTGACTACAGGTTTGTCGAGATTATTCCATGGAATGACTTCAGAGAATCCCATTACATTGGGCCACTTGTTAGTATAGTCAGGAATCCTTTCACATTGGGAAGCCCCCTTACAACTATGCCACAGATATGCCTCATGACGGTTAGCGTGCATCGCTTCCCTTTCTCATCGACACTTATAGAACCGGTTCAGCAACGGTCACTCAGGAAAGACTAGTAGCGTAGTACTGTCTATCCCCAGCAGCTGCTTGCCTCGATGGGGGTGCTGTAGGCAACACGGCCAGTCAATTCCAACTCGAGTTCCCCCATGTTCAAGTCATGCAAGTTAAAATCTTCAACTCTGCCCTTCTTACCTCCATTGCCGATGTTGCTGTCACAATTGGCCCAGTCACCAAGACCCTGACAGTGGCATTGGTGTCTACCATAGCAGTGTAACCTTCGAGGCAGTCGGTGAGGTCATCATCACTCTATCTAGAGGCTCACAACAGCTTACCCAGATCAACGGAACCACGATCGAGTTGTCATGCCCTGATGGTATCACCAATTGGAATGCGTGGGTCGGCTCTCAGATGGCTCCTGACAGCGTTTCTGCTACATCAACACTCAACATTTCTGAGCAGAAACGCACTGAGGGTATGGGGCAAAAGACTTTGCCAGGCTCTGTAAAAATGCCTGTAGGTATGGTTACCGCCCGGTCCCATCATGTGTTTGTAAAGCCATGGGCAAGCCTGTACCAACAACAACAACTGCTACCGGAAGGATAGGTTATCCCCTTCCAGGAGAAGACGCCTCTCACTCGTTTATGTGCAAGTACAACTGTCTTCTTGGATGCTGCCCATCAGACGCCTGCGGCTACGACCAGGTACCATATGCTATTACTATCGTGTCTGCCTTCTTGCCCCCGGCTTGTACGGGCGGCAAGGCCAAGGAAAATTCCCTCCTGAACGACCTCTGCAGTTGGATTTGCAAGTATGGCTTCTGCCCCATCCGAGTTTGTACCTGCACGCAGCAGGGTGCCCTTGAAGAGCCGCCGGCTCAAATCTATGGTCATCATGGAGGTCCGGCATCCGGCTTGATGGATGAGGGGCTTTGCGATTCTGCCTGCAGTCGCGGAGACATTTTCCCTGCTGAAGTATGCGTCGACCGGTCTCCCGGCGCAATCCCCAGCAAGGGTGTGGTGCCAAAGAGCTCTACTGGAGACGCTGCGACCTCAGCGAGTGATAACGGCCAAGACTGTGTGATGACAGACTGCCTGGACGATAAACAGATCAACTTCTGGGATGAAAGCTTCGGTATTGCACCCAACGACGGTGGCCCATTCATAGATAATTGCGGCAGTGGTAAGAACAAACATGTAAGTCGGCACAGCCCAGTATACTGGTGTATTAGGACCGTAACTGCGATTCATCAGCTAACACATCCCTGTTAGATCTTTTGCACCATAAACGCCATGCCCAACACATGCCAATGGAAAGGCGGCGAGACGGGTTGTTCTTGCCATGGCCAGTGTCATGCGACTGAAGTCACACTGTTTCACACATCACATGGCTCCAGGAACTGCTATATACCCGGCATGCAAGCCTTCTGTTGCGTGTCGGACACCTGTGCAAGTGTTGTCGATTCTTGTTCCTTTTTTGAAGGCGAATTCAGTCCCAGTGACAAGAAGTATAACGGCTACAGAAACGTTTATAAGTGCGGTAAGTTGACCAACTTTGATGGTTCTACTTCAACAACCCTGACGAAACAACCTACAGAATACGGGCTGTTAGAGACATACTGCGACTTGGAGAAACAATATCTTTGCTGTGCTACTGAATTTGACAAGTGCTACTGGGTTGGCAAGGGTACATGTGACGACAATGAGTGCGCATCGTAAGCAGATTATTTGCGTGTCATATCTTCGCAAAACGAACAGCGCTGATAAGTCTTCAGCTACGAGGTTGAGCTCGCATTGGACTATTACGGTGACACAAAGTCGCATTATGCCGCCAGGTTTAACGGAAGAAAGAAGGTCTTATGCTGTACGCCTTTCAGCAAGCTCAACCCCTTCATTGGCATTTCCTTGGACAAGCTTTTCCCAACTCTCCCGCCACTCACTGGTGTTCCCGACTATGACCTGCAGCATCTCGAGTTTAAGGGCGACAGCCCCGAAAGCTTTGGATTTGTGATCATTGACGGGCCTCCAGACGTCGTCACGAGTCTGACGAAGCGGGATGGGTCTCACATTGACTTCGTGGACTGCGAGCCGAGCAAGAGATACGACTTCACGAGGCACACAGTCCGTTATCTTTGCTTGGACAATTCCGATGCATCTAACTGCAACAAAATTCATTGAGGTGGTGCTCCTGGGACTATTGTCAAGTTGCCCGAGGAACGCGGCTTCGCGGCGTATGATGTCGTGAGCGAGGTGCGGGAGTCGAACAAGTCGTTTGTTCCCTTTGAGCTCCGCAAACGAGCACCTGAGAGTTCTGTTGTTTATGGAATGGATTTCACCTACGACTTCTCTTTACTAAGCGCGCACCCGAGCCGGTCTACATCTGTATCGACTATAGCCATATTCACGACTATTGGTCACAGGTAGTTGCAGCAGACCCTGTCTCCAAGCGAAGTGAGCTTGGTGACTTATCCAAACGCTTCTGGTCGACTAAAAGTGACATTTGGAATGAGAGCAAGTACACAGGTCACCTGCGATCTAGTTTCAATGCGGTGGCCTACCAGTGATAGAACTGAGAACACTTCGAGCAGGAAAGTTTCCTGCTTCTTGCCAAGTTTTATTTGATAAGAATGAATTCGATCAGCTTCTTTACCAGGAAGACACGTCTAACCAGTGCAACGGTAATGTTTTTCTCACAGCCAACCTTGAAGGTTCAATCACCAGCGCACTGAGATGGGGGTTTACCATTGTCGGAACCATCTCGCCGTCGCTTAAGTTTGATGAGGCGTACGGATTTTTTGATGCCGACATTTACATGTCTGGAACGCTCTCCTTCGATGGACGCGCGAACTGGGGATTCTGGGTTGACTTGAGAGCCAGCAGCTTTTCGACAAGGACATCAGCGATTTTGCTTGGCCCCACCCAGAGTAAGTTGATTTCACGCACTTGCGAGAGATACAGTCTTCTAGACGGTCTCCGATACCACCAAAAAAAACAATCGAAATTCTAACAATATCTAATCCAGTATTGTGGAGTTCAAACCGAACATGAAAGTTGATACATCCCTGAGAGGAGCGTCGAACGTTAACGGGTACGCGAAACAATCATGATTCCCTGCCCTTAACGCTGCACCGTGAACAAATTGATGATGCTCATGGCAGCTTTGTTCAGGGAATTTGATCTGAAGTTCAGAACAGGCTCCAGTGGAGGTGTGCTGACACACGTTCCGTCATCGATCGATTCTTTCACTGGTGATGTTGTCAACAAGTCGCCCAACGGTACATTCAGTGGAGCCGTTTCGGGGGATAAGACAGAAAAAACAGACTCCTCCGGCACATTGTTTGGAAGAAAGACTTGCAGCTTAGATTGCCCTCAGTTCATGCTAATCAGTCGCAGTAAGCATGTTTCTCCGTACTTGAATGGATGTATCGATCTTCGGTCTGGGCACATCCAGCAAAGCAGGCAACGCCGAGGTAAGCTATACTCAGTCATTGTATTGTTTTAATTAAGGGATCCGATCTTGAAAATACAGTTCTCGTTGTTATTCCACATGAAATCGATATAAGACGTGGTTCCTCAGCAGAAATTGAGGTGGTTGATGAGTAAGTGCCAACTTTTGAGTGACCATACCAAGCCTATTTAAGGCGATACCCCCGAGTTTTCATGCGGTTCCAGAATGCTTCCTAACCGGGCATCATTGCCTTCTAGAGACCAACAAGTCATTTCGGAAGCCTACTCCAGCGGCATATCATCAAGTTGGGAAGACGACACTTCGGCAGACGTGGTGGTCGTCCATGGCACACCACATATCGTCTACAGCGGCGTCGGTGGTGACCCTCCTGACCTAGGACAACCTAGGCTTCCAGGCGATGCTCTGTTCAACAGGAACTATATGTCCTGCGCAAAGGCGATAGTTGTTACCTGCCTGAACTCAACATCTCTATTAGGGCTTTCCCCTTCTGATTATTTCATCGAACTCGACACTGGGGAAGACATCGAGGAACGTAGCCTACTCGGGGCTCGAGCCGGGAGCTCGCGATCGTACAACGTCCGCACCCCCAGTGGTCGAACAATCGTTATTCGTTTACTCCCATATCCCAATGGCGGGAATGGCGCAACATTGCTCGGCGTGAACCCAAACGCTGGGCGTTATAATTTGGAGGATCCTGAGGACAGTGAAAATGTTGATAACACAGCCAACGGAGACCTTGCCGCCACATATATCCCGGAGCATTCCGTAGAACTTGGTTGGATGCTGGAGCTGTTGGTATTATTTTATAGCAGGTGTCGCTTGAACCCACGATGTCAGAACACTCTGGTAAAGGGCCTTTAGTAGTTCGCGATCCGTTCGCTAGAAGCTAATACACATTTGGTATAGGTCAGAGCAAGCCATTGTACCTGAATATATCATTGATAGTGGCTTCTTCATATTGCTCTGGGGTCAGTAGGACGCGAGCGGACCTCATCGTAAGTTTGAACATTATGCCAACATACTGAGCTGAGAACTAACGCTCTCTGCCGGACCGGCCCGCGCCTGCCCATTTTGCCAGCCCCTGCTCACTATTGTTGCTAGCACCTGCCTCAAGGTGGTGCACTAACATGGGTTTTCTGACTTTCGACATGGATGGCACTGTACTTCAACACCTTCCAGCCACCCCCAACACAAAAGAAACATCATCGCACGTCGTCACTTCCGGCTTTCCAACCTCTCCGGCTTCATTCATCTTGTCCCGATCATGGCGTTGTCACCCGAGACTAGAGCACTCTACGCCAGAGCCATTGAAAATCCGGCTGAACTCAGTGCTGCCGAACAGAACCGCGTTTTCGGGCGGTTGCCACCGGAGGAGGAAGATGTGCTTTGTCTAGCCCGAGTCGGCATTAATCGGCAAGCTGTTATATCTAAGACGGCCACGGAGCCGCATAGTGTTTCTCACGCTGAGTGTGACATCGTGTTAACTGGCGCTCACCACGATATTGGATCGTTCTGCCCTAAGTGCCCAGTTGGACGCCTATTCTTCGCTGTCTGCGGAGGAACAACAGCTTCAATCCAAAGCTTACGACAGGGTTCGCTGTGCAACAAATTGGTACAATACTGAGGCTCCCGTAATCCGCAATGCCTCTGCACGTTTGAGGGCGATCAGTGAGCAGCACCGGGCCGAGATGAAGCTAAGGAGGAAGCGAAAGAGGGAGCGGAAAGCCGAGGGCCTTCGGGCTGCTAGGGAGTTGCCGCGGCCGAAATGAATTCAGGATTTCCTAGACGCGCAGCTCCCGCGTTGGGGCTTCGTGTGTTTCCGCACGGGGTACGCAACAACCGACAGTGACCAGGCGGCGCCCGCCGCCGATGACACAGCCTGCGACCAACTTCGGTGGACGTTCGACAATATTGCCCAGATCGTGCTGACTCTTGTGTGGAAGCACGACGGCCATATGCTTTATGATACCTGCGAGAACGTCTTCGTCTCGGATTTGAGTCTGCAGGGGGCGTATACTAAAGACCTTCGCGCCCGGTTCCGCACAATGAGGGATAAAAACGAGATCCCGGAAGGAGTCCACCGGGACTGCTTCTTAGTTACCGATACCCAAACCCCGACATGCGATTACATTGCACAAAAAAAGGAGTATCGAGGCGGAGATGAGTGGGTGCCTTATGTCAATGCCTTCGATTCCGACTTTGATGAGACTACCGAACCGCCAGAGGGCGGCTTTGCCGGTCAAATCAGCGTCCCCTTGCCCAAGGTCTTCGATTAGCTTCACTACACCCTATTCACCAACAGCGAGACCTGCAGGAGAGACACCGACAGACGACAAAGGAAACGTGGCGGGCTATCAGAACGGCCTATGTTACTTACCCGGGATACACAGGCGAAAGGATTCTTTCATCAAGGCAGGGGTGTACGAGCCCTAGAAACAACCTTGTTCAAACTCCCTTATCCTTGAGTGCGCTGCTCTGGGTCGGCATCCCTAAATAGGGCATCGTTCGCGGCCGTTACGGAAGGTGGTATGGTTAATTACCATGATCATGGATATAAGCAAGTTGGCATGCCAAGAGCCGGGGTTAAGTTGCCACGAGGCACCACGTCACATCTGCGTGGATAAGCGCGCATTCTATTGACTCGCATGTCTGTAATCTGCTACCTAAATGTAAGAGCAACAAGTTGCGGAAATTTGTCAAAACTTGCAGGAACGGGCCAAGGATTAGACACATGGATCGGAGCTACGGCTTGGATCTTCTCGTCGAGGGTGGCTGAAAGAAGAGAAGCAAGGCTGCCTGAAGCCTAATCCTTAGGGTCCATAACTGTTATCTGAAATTCCAAGAACAGTCCAAGCCGAGCTCCATAGCCCAACACCTGTCCATTAGGTTGAGCTGTGGGCTGTGAGGCAGATGAATTAGGCAATCACTTCGTGGCAGCTGGTGACCCCTGATTGCCTATGACCCACAAGAACTCCGCCATATGCAGTACCTAGGTATTAAGGGAGCAAATGGAGAAGCCGCTGGGGATATTGACTAGCCGCGATGTGAGCCTCTAGCTGGCCTGTCTTCACTTCGTCCTGCGTAAGGAAAGGGCCAACAGCAGCAACATGTCGAACCTGTCATCAACTGTTCTCGAATTATCCTTGCTATTAATCAATCTTGTAGCACCCCGAATACTCCCGCCATCTCGCCGTGAGTGGCTAGATGCACGTGACTTGAAAATTGACTTATTCGGGCCGCCAGATCTCAGTCCCGATCGTTCGCCAGTCATTTTAAGCGACTGCACCCACTCTAACCTGCAGGTTGTTGCATGTCACCTTTGCCTCGATATGATTCGTCCTAAACTTGAAGTCTACCCGCTTCGCCTTCGCGTCTACTTTATCAGGACGCCTCTTCAGTAGGTGAACGTTGCCCAAGTCCTCAGATGGAAATGACGAGGGATCTTGATGAAGTCTTGTGAGCTGATTGCAGAAGCGAAGCGAGAGAAGACGCAGTAGATGTTGGTGAGAATACAACAGCCGTGCTAGTGCTCGTTAGTCATGCTGGAGACGCTGAAGGAAGCAGAAAAACCAATTGAGATTAACGAAAGGTCTGATATTAGCGAGATTGCAGTAGATGACGAATTTTCCCCTTCGTTTGAGCTGCTCGCGCGCTGCTTTCCGACTGGATCGTTCCAAAAAGTCAGCCTTCAATAGATTACTCATCGGCGCCTGATATGATCCGAAGATCAGTCTGGCTACGGTGGTACATTAGTACAGACCCGCCAACTCGTGGCCTAAAGTTAGGCCGAGTCACTTACACGTCGGACAGCCAGCTCCTGGCCCGCCTAAAGCTGCTTACCAGCATTTAGTCTCTTACCTTAGCAGGTAATTGGAGCAGCAATCACTAATTAATTACTACAATTAAGCATAGTAGTTAATTGATATCAAGGAGTAGCTATGGGCAGCTAGCAGCACCCGTTAGTCGCCTATACCCGCCAGTCGCTGGCACCTGCCAGTCTCTAGCACCCACTAGTTGCCAGCAACTATGAGGAACCAATAGCAATAGTCAAAAGTTGAAGGTAGGAAAGTTTTCTAGATGAAATGAGAGTGGGTCTGTCCTATTGGTGCACCGTACTGGCACTTACTTACAGCCTCAAGCAACTAAATGCAGTGACAGTCCGGCCGGCCCGGTTTCCTTAACTTTCAGATGATAATACCGACGGCAAATGTCAGAACCGGGGGTTTTCAATATGGCTCTTGGCTCGCTAATATTGTCAATTACGGGCAGGTGAGTTGGGTCTGCATAGATCTAAATCTCGTTCCATCAAACTACTTATTTTACCAAAAAGCAAACGTATTAAGTTTGTAAAAGGTTTGATGCCACGGAACTCTGACCAAGAAGTACAAGTATTAATATCAAAGATAGTGGTTCATTTCTGCACGCTATGCTTGAATTATTATAAGCGAGCGACAACAGATGACTGAGGAACCTCATCCAGAGTCGATAAAAACTTTCCAAAGATCGTATATATATGTATATATATATTTGGAGGGCGACTCTTGGTGTGTCCTCGAGTAAGTACATTGACGTAGTAATGAACAAAGGTTTTGAGAGAAGCTGTGTTAGTTGTCTTGTGACTTCATCATGTTTCTTATTGACGGAACATGTGGAAAACTCATCTAAAAGATTAACAGTTTATAATTACGAGAAGATCTGAGACTTGCCGTGTTAGGATACCTTGAAATACTCACGTTTCTACATGACAATGAGTTTAGAATATCCGCCCAGTGGCCCCCCAAAAACCCCGAAATCCATTCCTCCCTTTAAAAAAGGGCAACTTCGAATTCTTAAATTGACAGACACGGACTTTTCCCCAAGGAATGGGTTTGAAGTAAAATTCCAGTCAACAGGGCGTTCGGCATCTAGTGTTTCATCCCAACATTCCATAACCAGACCCTAGGGGGAAGCGCGAGAATCATTAAAAGACTCATCCAATCCCTCTTTATCATCGCCTACTCTATTTTAGTTCAGTTCGAAACTACAAACTCATTGTGTGGACCTTGACATGTTCCAACCAGCACGTGCTCCAAAGGAGGGGCGCTGGCCTCACAGTCCTGCCCTCGGCTCCTTGCCAACTCCTGCCTCTCCGGTGTTCCACCGGCGTAGGCAACGGCGCATTTTTACTACGGTTTTTTTTATCAGTACCTGCTTTGTTTTAGGATTTCTTATCCATCAATCGGGAACTCCGTTCATTGGGCCGGCGCAGAAAGCGAAGTGGAACGGGGCTTCAACAGAGGTCGAATCCAGGTATGTTAAGCTACAAACGGTGATCCCCGATTCCGACCGCTATCAAAGGGCCTTAACCGACTTAGGAGACAGTGGTACTCCCGGAAACTCATCACCAGAAGATGCCGGTCAGCATCAGTTCAGTCTCCATTCGTCTAAATCAAGTAAGGTGATTGCGCCAGCCTTGCCCGTTCGGCCGTCCTTCGAACTACACTTCATGCGCATCCTTGATCTTTTACCCGATGAGATTCATCATCTAGAGCTCGTTCGCGAGGTTACCAGCACCGGCATGCCACGCATGCGTGAGATGGGCTTGCGCACCCGTGCATACCAAACATACTTCGCCGCCTGGGAAGCACTGCACCTCGATAGCGAGGATGACACCTCCATTCATAACGACATCCCACAGTACCTGTGGCAACACCACCCCAGCGGCCTCGGCGGATTGGGGCTTGCGCAGACGATTCGCTCGTATGAAGAATTTCGCACCTTCATGGTGGAGATGGCGGAGCTACTGTTTCCCTGGACGATGCCTTATTTTGGGGACCACATGAGCCTGCACGCACACATTAAGAATGGCGGACGAGGCATCGTGCTGACGGCCGGGTCCGGGCAAGCACCTTATCTATTGACAACTATCTACTCATTCCGGAAACTAGGCTGCACCCTTCCCATCGAGATCATGTACCTCGGCGACGATGATCTAGGTCAGGATTACATTGCCGAGTTGGAGAAGCTGGACGGCGTTGTGGCGCGGGATATGGCAGCTATGGTGCGCGACAAAGGGTGGAAGCTGAGAGGCTGGGCAGCCAAACCATTTGCAATTCTGCTATCGAGCTTTCGGGAAGCTATATTCATCGACGCCGACTCCTTGTTCTTTCGGGATCCGGAGCTGCTGTTTGAAGACGAGGACTACAAGCAAAAGGGTGCACTATTTTTCCGAGACAGACTATTCTTTCCGGAGAAGAAGGCGGTTTTCCTGCAATCCATTCTCCAGAAGCCGATTCCCAAGGCGGCAACCGATTCAAGGTTGTGGACGGGCGAGTCAGGACACCAGCAGGAGAGTGGGGTGATTGTAGTGGACAAGAGTAGACATTTCATTCCCATGCTGTTGGTGACTAGGATGAACGGCCCAGACAGGGACGGAGACAAGGATGAAGGCAAAATTGGTATCTATGAGCTGGTCTATGGTGAGGTTCCGAAACTACACCTTCTCCTAGGGACTTTCTCTAACTCCACTTTAGGCGACAAAGAGACCTTCTGGCTCAGTTGGTTGCTCGCAGGCGACGAAGACTATGCATTCCATCGGGGCGACGCTGCTATTATGGGCGTAGCCCGTGGGCCTGGAGACCCTCTCCCTGACGAGGTTATGAGTGAGTGCGATAAGTCCGACACCGAACTCAGCGACGAAGAATATGCCGCCGAGTGCGAAATGGCCGACCACGATGGCAAGCTGCAGGCCATGATCTGCGCCTCTCAGCTGTTGCATCTCGACGTCGAAGGAAAGCCCCTTTGGCTCAATGGCTGGTTGCTCCAAAACAAGTTCAAGGGCCGTGGCAGCGGCTTTGCCAAATTTGAGAGCTACCTCGTCGAGCCACACGACGCATCGTTGCGCTATCCGCGCAGCTGGAAGTTGTTCCAGGGGAACAGATTTTGTATGATGGGAGATGCGGACAAGAAGTTTGACTTCACTCTGGAGGAGATGACGGTGCTAGACATGTTTGTAGAAAGGGCAAAGGAGGTTGATAAGAGGTGGAGGTCCTAATCAAGTTAACAGAAAGTAACTAAAGAGCAATGAAACTGGTTAGGGTTCATTATAATACATTAGTACAAGTAGCAGTTATTCCTGTAGCAATAAGTATCAACTATGGTTCTCGGAGTTGACTCTGAAGTTTCCCCTGAACAATAAGGTGGATTATGTCTAATGTGGTAAGTGTGATGTTTGATTTGGTATGTGCTCCCTTCCTGAGTCACTAAGATTCTTGGAATCTTTCGGCTGCATTATCTTAATCCAACTCAACCAGAGCAAGTATAACAATGCGCTCGGATATTTAAGAGCTAATGGGTTTTGAGGGCGATCTAGAAATGCACGTCATCTAAGCTCAGGAACGCCCATCAGCGTACTCGTTTGCATAGATCCTAGGCATCGTTGGACATACGGAAACACTTAAATCATCAAGTGCACTGGGTACTGAGTACTGGGGTGGGAGGCGTCGACTTCTGACACTCCTAATGATTTATATGTGACGGATCCAAGATGTGAAGACATCTATATTGATGTTCACCTTATCGACATGAGCCGTGTTACGGACTCCGATCGCTCTACAGCATATGTAATAAGAATCTCAACGCTAATACCGCCCATCCAAGGTAGCTTTGCAACGTAAAAGGCACTGCCAGTGACGTATGACTTATTCCCGTATCCAACAGCCTGCAAAACCCCTCATTGTCTTCGTTGGTTCTTTCCATTTAGCATCCACAACATCCATGAGGTACTGAGAGCAGTGCTCAGTATGTCCGGGACTCGTGATAATGGAATCAATCGCGGCCCGCTCGTCGTAAAAAGCGTAGAATTGACGCCTCCACATGATAGCACAGTGGTTGATGTGGTCGCGAATGGAGGTCCAGTAAAAGTCCCTTTCCGACATTTCATCGACAGTCAGTCGTTGAGTCATGTTCATATCGGCGAAGGCGCCCCAGCTGCCATCCTCTTGGTATTCATCGACGGACTCTTTATCGAAGCATAGGGCTGGTACCCAGTGATTCAAAAGAATGTCATATTTGCAGCCATTGGCTCGCGCCTCTTGCGTTGTACTCCCACAGGATATCTTTTTCCTGCCGCTCGTCACATTGTGTCGTTCTCCGGCTACATGGGTCTCCGGCAGTCCCGATGACGCCGCGACTTGTGTTGAAGTCGTCGTTGTTGATGAAGGGTAAACCAAAAAGAATATCACAAGCCACAGCAGCGAAGTGCCGACGAGGACAAACACGTGAGAAAGGAAGGTATTGCGGCGACTGGCATGGCGCTTAGGAGAGGTCGGCTCTTCGGCTGTCGGGTCGTCCGAGTATTTCAGGAAGGGCTGATATTCGGGGGTTGAAGACATACTGGGTGCAGTGTTGCATGCAGATGTTGCAATGGTCAGATGGTGCAACGAAGACCAGAGTCCTAATTATTTACTGGAAAAACTCTCAAGTTTTATTCGGCAGGCTGAACCATCCGTGCACTTGCTGGTCTTGACGCTCTTCTCCATGATGGTTGTGCGCACGCTCGTCTGTTACAGGTTTTGTTTTAGATCATGGCTCTCTGCAGCACAGCTTCACCACCCGAATGTCTCTCACCCACCCTATCGTGTTTCATCCAAACATCTCTTCCTCTGGTCTGGCCTGATGTTTCGTTCAGGGGCAAAAGCCTATTGGGTACCTTAATTCTGGCTTCGGTATGCTATTTGCGATTGGATACTCATCAGTGCCCCGTCGAGATCAGAGCGATAATGAAAACCGCTTATCCCCAGTGTCGAAGGTGGTTTGTTTGTTCACCTTGTGGCCACCGCTGACGCTCGGGGATTGCGGTGGTATCTTCCAAATCTGAAGAAAGCAGGAGTCGAGCAATCCGGGCCTGAATTTCCCTTGTCACAGTTGGATCTGCAGTCTCCACACGTGTCCAAAATAACCTATCAGTCTTTTTTGGTTATTAATTATTACCATTGATCTAAGACAGCCTACTTGAGCCGCCAAAACACATTTCACCTAACCCTAAAGATACTTAACACAGATTGCGTCGCTGTTGATATCCATCACCTCCCTAATAGTAATATTCTCAGCGGTGCCCGCCATCCACATGATGTGGTCCAGAGTCGTAACATTCCCACCGTCCCCAAAGTATGGCGCAAATGCCGATTCAGGCAGAATCTTTGGCTGAGCATTTACCAGCAGAGTAGCAACAGCAACATTCCTGCCGCCCATATCTGTGAGACGAGAAGTGTTTTTACTCTGCCACTCCCACCAAAGACGGTCTAGGTTTGTGTGGTGCATGAAGAACAAGGGATCAGCAGGCGAAAGGGAAACGTCATCCATCTACAATTGATTGAATTTGTCAGGTTCATGTCAGTCTGCTTGTTGTTTGGGTGAAATAAACTTACGGTACCTCCGATGGCGTAATGCCCAGCTGTATGGGGCGATCCGCCAAGACAGTTGTTGAAGTCGTTGTATCCTTCGAGAGCATTGCAGGCGTTGACAATATCTTGAGAAACAAGTTCAAACTGGGCCTGTTTGAAGTCGAATGTGATACATTTCTCTTCACCCCTTTCGAGCTGGATATTCACGTTGTAACGTAGATTTGTGAAGGGGCCATCGGCAATGCATCCATTGTTATCCAGAAGACCCGTTCCGAAAGAGGTTGTTGGATCACTTCCCCAGATGCTAGCAGCTGTGAGAGGTGCAGTAGCCTGGTCCTCCTGCTCATTCCAGTAACTGAGATACAGTGAGATTTTTACTCCCGAAATATTGCCCATCGTATGTTGACAAGAGGGAGCTTTGCTTACGGGATGGGTCCATCGTAGCCACATTCTTTTCGTAGAAGGTTTTCATGAACAGTCATGAACCAACGATGCCACGGGAGAAAAGAACCCTAACGAAAGGAGTAAGATCTCACTTACAATATCTTCGTGTCGTGAAAAGGGTTCTTACAGTGGTATGGATAAATTGAACTTGGGCTATGTGAGCCACCTGAAGCTCATCCCAACGGGTTTTGGCACCGGCATAGTGAGTCTTCGACGGTGCTTGCGCTGGGTCCATCAGACAGAGGGTTGAGTTGATGTAATCGGCCTTTTCAGAGCTGCTCAACGCATTCCTATTGACAGGTCAGTCAGCTACCGGGATGTGGAACAGAGTGTTTAATTTGAGCTTCACCATGGCTTTCTCTGCGTCGGGTTAGTGCAGGCAGCTGAGACGGCCTGGATCACTCCCACAGAGACCGCTGCAGCGGTAATAAACTTGTTCAAGACATAAACCATTGTGAGAATGCCAGTGTTTCTGAGGCAGCAAACCGGGTGGCGGATGGTCCTTGGCAAAGAGCAAATTGAGAGAAACTGTGTCTGTAGAAAATAGATCGAACACAAGACACATGAGCGTCTCGTCTCATTTATAAGACTATAAGAAAACCCAAGCTGTTGTTGATTAGTTATAATGGTCTTCCCCAGCTCCCCTTTTCTTACTTTGACAATGATAGCATGGCTCCTTGTCGGTGCGATATCATCAAAACGTGAAAACGACTCCACAAACTAGAATTAAAAATGCCTCTGCACCTGTATACGTCTCTCTCCCTTGGTCGCTGCAGCTGCCACCGAAGTTCTCGTCTTGGAAGAGTCTGCGGCTTGTGACTCCGGAGCAATATCTAGTTATGGAGCCCTGGCCTCGGTCCAATGTTTCTGTCGAGAAGTTCTCCCTTCTGATAATGGAGCTAACAGCATATACCAAGTCCAATATTGCAACGTCGAAGTCATAGAGCGCTCTGGGTCTATCTACCCTTGGTCATTGAATCCACAGCCTTGCTCAGAGGGGTTTCTAGGCCGATGATGTCTTCGATTATGCAGATAAGCTCAGCGGCAATCCCGTCTCTGCATACAAGCTATACTGAGGGTGGGTCGGCATGGGTCAGTGTTCGATTACAAATTATGTACTCCCATGTTTTTCCAAGGAACACAGCGGAGTTGTGTGACCCATCGGCCCGTCACATCCATCGCCAAGAGGTTTTTGCCGAAAAACCGATCCTCATAGTGGAAACAAGTTGGACGAGTGAAAATTCTTCTATTTCCAGTGTCATAATCCCTATTCTTCGCGTTCCTGGATCCGTACACTCTTGAGTATTTCCCATTCTTACGGGATTTGTTAGTCCGGCAATTTAAGTTGGCCGGCCGGGCATTGTCCGAACTGCTCTCCCCTCGCGGAGGTAGATAGGCCCCGGAGTCACACCTGACTCACACCGGCCCCGTCCAACAGCTTCCCCGGACCCGCTAGTATGCTTTATTGCATTCGAGATTCATCTCGATTGACTTACTGCTAAATTCTGCTTAACGCCATGACAATGAACGGTTTCTATTGATAGTCACAGTGCGGCTAAGGCTGTCATACACAAGGTAACTGTTTTTTTGACCAGCTGTGGAACATCTTGTTGCAATTGGACAGGAATTTCTCATGAAGATAATAGTGGTATCTTTGTTTTGGTTGTTGTTGTATGGAGATGTTTAGCCTTAACGGCCATCCGCAAGGCAAAGTAGGTAGGAGGTGCCACCCATGATGTGGCTGGATGGACAGTCCACCTTGACTAGTATGGCCAAGGCTGGCCCCCGTATATCAATTATCACAATCCAGGGCACGCAGCTAGACGTAGGAGAACGAAGTGGGTAATTGTTTGAATCCGGAAAGGGGTGGCCGTAGGCTTGTGGCCTCTAGAAATAGTCCTCCGGTGAGCTATCACGTGGCTTGGCACCCGATAAGGCTGGGGCCATCAGCACAAAATCGCGAACCTCTTGGGAAATCTATCTTCTATTGCCTCACAATCGTCCTTATTCTAACAACAACTTGTCTGATTGGCTACAAAAAGTACCATACTGCACGGCCAGCGACTGATACTGCGTAGTTGCTAAACTAATCATAGAATATTTGATATAGTTTCGTGCTATACAATCACTAGCACGATCGGTGTCAAGCAAGCGACTTCGATCTCGTCAATGGTAGAAGCCATTTAGTCACATAAACATTAAGCAACTCAAGTCAGGGCACTAAATTCATTTTTCTTTCTTTTTTCCCCCTCATAAATGGGTTGACTGTCACGTAAAGCTGCAAACTCTTCAAGCACGCGATCATCATTTGCATTCATCGAGACGGAGAATCATAGTTAGTCCACCCTGGCCAAGCTATTTGCTCGCATCGACCTGACTATGGCTCACTGCTGGCGGGATTCAAAGACGGCAGCCCTACAAAATTCGGCCTTAGAGAAGGAAAGTACATTTCGGCGATGACCAACAATGAACGACAAGTCGGGATACTTTAGGACTCCTTTGCCTCTACACCTCGCTTTGGTATTATAAGCCCCCAGTCTATGGAAGAGTGACATGGCCTTCGCGTTCATCGGTCCCTGCCATGCTTTCCTAGTACAGCGTTCATGACATTCCAGGCATCTTCAACATTCTTGGGGATATCGACGTGGACAAGAAACCTTTTACCCATAGGTCCATAACCGTCTGGATCGTCTCTGAGGCGGGGTATTTCGCCCATAAGTAGATCCACAAACCTCTTCATGCTCCATAAACTTGGTGCATCAATGTTGCTGGCATGATTGTTGACGTAGGTGATTTGACTCAGAAAGTGCTCTTTCTTCGGGTTCTCTGGGAGATTCTCCACTCTCACTTTGGGAACGAATGTTGGCCAGCTTACCAGAAGAGGTAGGGCAACGCCTCCGGATTCGTATACTTTCTCAAAAGTTGCGACGGTTCGCCTGGACATTGTCGGGTCCTGAACAACAACTATTGATCGGGGCGATTCCACTCCACAAGCCTCTAGGACTTTGCGAGATTCCGAGGCATTACCACCGCAATTGGTGGAGCGATCCTCAACAACAACTAGCAACTTATTTGTGTCATCTTGGCGAATTGTTGCACCATCCGATCCTATATCTAGGGCTTGGACGCTGAACCAGCGCTCTGCAATCAGCTGCAGCACGCGGGATTCAGCTTTTCCCTGTACTTCATTGGCAATAGAGTTGTACAATGGATGTTTTGCGATTGCATCATATAAATAAGGCGTTGAATGCCCGATACCGCCGCATAAGACTAGCACAGTATTTCTGCCTTCTCTGACGTCATCACATTAGTTATAACTCTTGTTCATATGAGGACCACACCCACAGGTTGATTTTGTTGGTTGACACAGAATCTGTCCCAGAAATTGATGAAAATACTACATCAGCTAGGGACAGGACCGAAGATGCACAAAAGACGATAGCATCAGTTGGCTGGACCTTGGTGTTGGGGTTCGGAAAGGACCGGAATAACTGATTGAGCTCCTCGACACTATCGACCTGCTCGTAAGCTAGAAATGTTGACAGAACGTTCACTGCGTTTGCTGCTTCTTCCAGTGCCATTCTGAGTATCTGTGAGAGTGCTTTGCAGTATTGGTACGTCGAATTGAGTTCGACGCAATGGCAGTAGATGTGGATGTTCCGGGTAGTCGATGTGCAAGCGTAGCCGGCCTAAGAGATTGAGGCTGAGGTGGATCACGCTGCCCTGAGCCGAGAATTACACTAAGCTAAATTCGGTAACTCCGGCCCCAACCCTTGTCTTATTTTTAAATCCTGCCCAAAACCGGGCCGTCTTCCAGAATAAGAGTAGAATCAAGCATCTGCCGTGCTTCCAAATTGCCAAATGCCTGATCTATGTTCTGGTGGCTTGCTGGCATATGCTTACTAGCTGCGTCAGTCAGGATGAACTCCTCAGCGACCATTCGGAGTCCGCCCAGAAGACTTGCGTTGTTTTTCCTGCTTATTCCAGGTCATACTATTATCGAACGTAATTCTCAATGATGTCGCCTCGAGCGTAACAAAGCCCAACAAAGGCCAAGTCTGTTCTTCAACTCATCTCAATATTAAGCCCAATAACAGATGGATACATAAACTGATTTGTCAGAAATACTTAACGCAGAGAGTCCTAGCTTATTGCTGAGAGCCTGCTGTACGCAGTAGGGTTGTAAGGTTAAAAGTGGCTTGTATTGTCTGAGAGAATTCCAACGCAAGGCAGCTTAAAAAGTCAGAACTGCTGACAAAGCTGAGGAGGCCACATGGAAAGTAAAGTCGGAACATCCAGGCATAATCGACTTACTACACCACAAAGGGTATCGTAACACGCCTTCTCGTACTCACAAGTAGTGGCAAGAGAGGTTTGCTGGGTGATCAGAACTTTGGCGGTACAGTACGGGGCGTACACAAACACAATAACCTCGAAAGCAACGTAGGATGCCTAGCTCAGAGTCCAGGTAGGCTTGTCTAATTAGAATATAAGTCCCATTCAGAGGACTAGTAGGCTGCTAAGTGAGTTGACTGCTCCCAAAAGTCCTGTGTTATCACCATCAGGCTGTGAGTCGTCACGAAAGGCTCTGTGTAGTTTGGTTGAGAAATGCGTGGATTGTTAATTGATGAAGTTAAGCTCGCTTACCCACGCTCTTTCTAATGCATAGCCCTATTCAGGTCCTCTTATCCAACTACAAGGGTGAAAAGGTCAAAAGAAAATCAGCCATCAGAGTGTGGCCATGATCATCCCACCCCATTCCGATATAATATCAGATGAGACAGGTTGGGTTATACAATCGAGGCTTGACGCATCTACTCAGCATGCTGATGCCATTTAGCGGGCTCTCAGAAACCGGTGTTAGGCCTGGTAATGTTATTACCATTGTCCCTACATTCAGGGTGTGCTTTAGTGCAGTTATACGTATCGTCATATCCATAGGCGTATGTGCCATTGGATGGACCCCCGACGCCCAAGTCCTGCACCGTCTCGCATCAATCAACAGTGGTATTCTCTGATGTCCAATTCACCAACGGTATTGAAAGAGGCACCAAGTCTCCGCAGTGCCGGTAAGGATATGCCGGCGCATTCTGAGACATGTCGCAATGCCTCAACGTTGTCAAGCTTGGTGTAAGCGTAAATTTGGTGACGGCTTTCGTTAATGTTTTCTTCCGGATTCGGACATAGAAGAAAAATCAGCGAATATAAGAACTTGGTTAGGTCTTCCACAACAGAGCCAGTGACGTTTTAAGCTCGTTGAAACTAGCGTCCTTCCTTTTTGGCCAAAAACTAGAAAAGAGTTAAGTCAAATTCTTTGCTCCAGAGGGTCTAAAGATATAATATACGATTGGACCAGCAAGACAGCGTCAAAGGACCGTCTTGTTCTCTAAACAACCTGAAAGCCGGTGGGGTGTTGTGTCGATTTGCGAAACTTATGCTATTCATTGATAGAATCACATTGTCGTGACAGGCGATGATCTAGGTACATATGATTACTCGACCTTGTAAGTTGGGGCTGATCCGCTGACTAAAATGAAGTCGTATTCTCATGACAACATAATCAATTAACATTTCTCAAATTGGGGCTAGTGTAATACTATATCGGTGTTCAGATCGCACTCCGCGGCCATCGGAAGAGGGTCGGCGGATATATTACCTACTCAGCGTTTTCCCACCAGATTTTGAGAGGCTTGATAAGAAAAAATTTATCTAACGGCAATAACTTGACGTCTAGGAAACCCCCTACTTATGACTTGTTTTCAACAAATAGGGTATTCCGTTACTTTCCTTGACTATTCCATGGGCGACGTAGTTAGCAAGCATATCCTCCGAACGTTCCGCCCTCGTGGATAATGACAAGACGTCCGAGGTTCTGAGCGTCATGGATGTCCCCGCCTCAAAAGTCTGGGCAACAATCCTGCTTTCGTCTCCAAAGAACATTTGGTTTCCTGGCGTTACCCAGCCCGGTCTATGGACCGGTGTTGGCTCCGTCCGCACTTTGACAATTGACACGGTCCATGGGGGAGTGTAAGTAACAGATCAACAAACGCACGCCAGTCACAGTTTATTTCTGACGGTGTTCCTTACACAGAGGAAAGGTCTCATGAAGCCTTGAACTTGGCTGCCACCAATCAACCAAACAGGAAGAAGTAGAAAAACATGTTTTGCTGGTCAGGGCAACCAGAGTGCACGAAGCCAAACTTTAAACCCGGTTTAGCCAGGGTTCTGAGTAAGTTCACCACGGAGGTTTTAAGTAGCTCAAAAAAGGTCTAATTCGAATTGTGGTATCGAAGAATTATATGATAGTAAGCTATATATACATGACTTGACATGAGTGTGATTTGTGAACCCAGATAGTTAGGTTGCTTTTGGTGGTGATAACATTGGGAACACATTGTTTGCGGAGGGTGTGTGCTGGAATCGGGTTGGTTGAACCGTCGGCGGACTCAGAGTCATCGGCATATATAATATAGATGGGCACCAAAGATGGGTTTACTGCTGGTTGGGCATACCGACACTTTAGTCTCGGTGTCCGATCTTCTTGACTTTCTTGCCCCTCTTGCACGGACTCGCGTGAACAGGATCTGCGTTGGAACCCATGTTTAGCGACCCTCTTGTCCCACTTGGCATTGCTTGTTACAAGAGCCTGCAAATCAACTTCTCCAATTTTATAGGCCAACTATACACTAGGTCCAGGCTCAGGCCAGTGCCATTCTTACGTTCTAGTAACGGAAAGGAACTCATTATGAAAATATACTAATGAGTCTAGTTCGTACCTTGGCTGGTTTCCTTGAACTTCTTGATGCCTTCGTAGGCGTTCTCCAACAGGTTCATCTCGCCAGGATTGTTTTGGGTGTAGCGGGCGTTGTACTTCATGATGCTCTTGGTCTTCAGGTATGTTGCGATGTCGATGGGGATGGGGATTCCAACAACGTTCCACGCAATAGCCTCGGTGCAGGGAGGTGTGGTGAGAGAGCCAGAGTACCTTGGAGTCGGTTAGAAGAAGTATCACGGAAGAGCATCATTCTCTTTCGAGCTTACTGGTAGATAGTGTTCTTCGACAGGTGCTCGGAAAGACTGGTGAAGTCCAAAGGACCAGTTGCAGCGTGCGATCCGACTGCGGTGACCTGTTCAATGTTCGCAAAAACAGAGGCCAGAAGAGGGTTGGATGTCTCGGCGACCTCGATGGGGAATCCGACGACGGCGAGAGAGGAGCCTGTGTATTTGTTTAGTTTACTCGTTTGGCATTGCTATATTCTCGCAAATAACTCACCGTTGCCGACTTGAGCCTCCCAGACAAAGTGGACCTCCAGTGGGAAGTGTTCTCCGTTGATGCGATGCTCACTGGGAGTGTGGAAGTGGAATTGACGCAAGCTGTAAGTCTTGCCACCATTCTGCATGGTACCGTTGGCTCGAACCTCGAGGAACCCATTGAGATTCTCCAGCTGGGCGCCCTCGGGGTGCTGCTCCGGGCTGAAAGTAATGGTTGAACCCTGTACCTGTTTGGTGTTGGACTCCTGAACGTTGATGGGAGACTGGTTCTTGCCCAGGGCGCAGGCTTCGTTGCTGGCGCTGAGGGACAGCCAGTTCAAGGGACCGTTCAGGCCATCGAAGCCAAAAGTGCCGTCAGCCCTCTTGAAGAGCTGATCCTTCTTGAAAAGGCTGGTGCCATGATGGCAGAATGCCGCAGCGGCGGGAATGAGGGAGAGAATTGCCGCAGACTTCATTGTGGGAGCAAAGATTGGATCGTACGAGGAATCGTAGGAAGAAGGAAAAGAGTGACTGGTGCTTGATGGGTTGAGTGTGAGTGCCTCAATAAAACAGCATTACAAACGCGGCAGATCTGTAGGTAGATATACACCAGCACTGCGGAGTGGTAGATGGTCGTGAGGGGCGGGAAGCTATGACTTTGAGATGCGATATTAATTTCGTGGAGTCATGATAGGAGCTATCTTCGTTTAAAGCAACGTCTTGGCAGGTTTTCCTGGTCAAATTCGAAGAACACAAAGCCTGAATTGGGGACTCAACAGGCTTCCGCAGGTTTGCTTGGGGTATGGGAGAGCAGACCTCTTTGCGGCCACGCGCTTGGCAATGATCAATCGCGGACGCTGGTAGGGGGACCTTCAAGCAGGGATAAGAGTCAGGTGTAGGGATGGCTAACACATAACGAGAACGAAGGGACAGCACTTTGCATGTACAGGCAAGGCAAGGCCCGCCGGCGCTGACGAGAAGTCAAAAGATTGCCCGAAGCAGGTTGTCGCCAAAACAAAAATTTGGCGAGCGCTTGGCGGTAGGGCGTCATAATGCCTGTGGAGGTCGATTTCCTCCGCGTGAACACCACATTCCGCGCTGCAGAGCAGACGGAGGTCTTGGCGTCGACGAGAATCCACGGCCAAGACGAAGAGGAAAGAGGGAGACCCTCGCTCAGCGCTTTGGGAGACCAGCCAGTCGGCGCGACGCGGGCCTGTGTGTGGCTGACTCGCTGGGTGAGTAGCCACAATCTCGTCAATCCCAATCACTCTTGTCAAGAATAGCCGCTTCTCGCTGGGATGGCCTCATACTTTGTGTTGCTATATTCAAGTCGTCCGAACTCAAGGTCGCGGGCATGCGAATGCTGCACAGGGGCAGAGTTGGGGATGGGTGGTAGTAGCAAAGCAGAGACAGGAGGAGACGCCCGAGCACATGACATCCTGTGACAGGTAAAATTTGGACTGTCATGGTGCCGCGACGCAGACGCCAAGACCCAGGAACAGGGCTCTAGGTGTCATCCAGACTCCAGATGGCACTCTACCCAGTGCGGTGTGTGTCGAGAGGCTCAGCACAAGGTGAGGGCCAGCCGGGCAACGTAGACGCGGACAGACAGAGCGTTGCGTGGTTGATGCTGGTCAAGATAAAGTTTAGGGCCCAGCAGGGCTATGCATCAGACTGAAGATGGCTCGTTTGATTGGAGCTTGCGGAGCATCCTAGATGAACGAGTCCCTCGGTCATAGGGGCGCCAAGAAAAGTAGGTAGGTAGGGTCATCGGTGCCAGTGTGCATCTTTGGCACACAGCCACGTTGTCCTAAGCAGGGCTGCTCTACACTACCACACACCGCAGGAATCGGACCTATAATGCCTTCTCCGTTGATCCATGGCGCTGTACACTACTAGCCTAGGGGGCTGGCAGCCACAGGCAAACCCCGAAATAAGGTTACTTCTTTTCTCACGTGTGGTTGTGCTAATCAGCACAGAACCCATCATCTGCCCATGTCTCCTAATTTCCGCCCAGGCTTCCCTCGTCTTGTATGCTGCCAAGACTTTTGGACCTATTACACTGACAACAGATGATCCGACTTGGCGAAGATATAGCTGCGGCGTCTCCTCCATAACCCAAGAGTTTTCCAAGAGTTTTCAATAGACCCCAAGGCTCCCCAAGGCCTGGAGCTACGCCCAGCTTCCTCTTTCGGGCATGGTGGGACCGTTTTTCTGTGGCTTGGAGCGGGCGTACCGACACCTTGGGACAGGAATCGGCCGGCACATCTGAGCTTCGACATGGCTTGTTTCTCGGAGTCCAACCGCGAGCGCGTGGTCGGTTCAGTTGCTTGTCTCACTAAACAGTAAACGTTGCCCAGTGGCGCCGCGTTTGGCATTCTATCTTTGTCAGACGGTCTCTGCTGATGCTACGGCCCCAGACCACGCCGGGTGTAGGAAGGTTTGGGGCTTCAATACAATTTTCGATTACCCATCGCCCCGTCCTTACATCAATTGATTGTTTGTCTCCATCCTAAGACACTGAGACGCATCAAGGGCATCGCCGGCTGCGCGACTCGTCCCATCTTCCTTCATCCTATCGTCACTTGTCGCCCGAGACTCTTTTGGAGGCGGTGCGTTCGCTGTCTACCTGCCCACCTATGTGTCTCGCCCCCTAAGTTTAGAAGCGCACCATACAGGCGGCTTGACGAATTGCGTAGCCCATGTTGTCGTTTTCTCTTGGCATAATAATTTCAGGACTGCATAACGCGATGCAAAAACAGCGATCGCGCCATTGGCTGCCATTTAGCAATCCACCCCAGGATAAGTGCCCACCCCAAAGACAAAGACGAAAGTGCATCAGTTAGGTGATAAGAGGGGATGTGGGTGAAGCCCCTCGTCCATTAGAGTGTGGGACGGGCGGTATGGGTGGTTGACGGTGGGCCCGTAGAAGTCCAGAATTTTGAGTTGTTCCAGTATTTTTTTCTCCTTCTTCCATTCCCGTATTCTACGTACAAATCGACTTGAAGCTTGACAGACCTTTGCTCCTTGGTTGCAAAACTCCAGAAGCCGGAGCTATCGAACCAATACATCATCCAGATCCCTTTGAACCCTCTCTGAACATTCACCTACCACACCCGTCGGTAAATGTCAACCGAGACTTTAGGCGTATGTCAGCATACCTAAGCATCATCCGTTCTCCCCCACTTCCTTTCTTCAATCTTTGCACCCGCCATAATCCATGTCCCTCTACCTGTCTTCCTTGTCAGAAGCGCTACCAACGGAGTCTGATTCCGACCCGACCACGTTCCCCCGACCCCGTCCAACTGTCACCGCCTCACCCACATCCTCCATCTGGCGGGACCTCCCCGAGAGTGTATTTCGTCAACATGTCGTGGACCTCGAGAAACTGACCAATGCTGTGCCTGTCGATGCCCAAGCGTTCCCAATGCCATCCTCTTCACCTGATGCTCTAGTGGCCAATGCCGCTGCTGCTACCACCGATTCAGATGGGGAAGCGGGAGCACATCCTGCAGTGCACACCGGTGTAACTTCCGAAGCAACGGGAACACAAGACAGCTACCGAGATTTCGATGGCCATCACTTGCATTTCCATGCCCGCCAACTGACGCTGGCCGCAGAACAGCGTCTAGCGGACGACATCGCTTACCTGGTTGCTGTTGGCGAAGGGGCGCAGTCCGTCGCTGCTACAACCGTACAGGAAAGTCGGACAAGACACGGAGCGGGAGAACAGCCGCAGAATGCAGGGCTCAGGGTTACCATCGCCTCCGTCGACGCGATTCAGCCCGATTCGCAAGCCTTTCTCCGCTCCGTTTTCCAGCTCCTTTCTGCCGCGCCGCGCGCCAAGAAACTAGATGGTCTTCTTGACGTGGTTGTTCGGCATCACCAAACACGCCTCCTGAACCGCCTTCGCTCAGCCAAATGGAAGAAGCCCATCTACCTCTCCCGAACCCACAAAAAACCCTTGTACGCCGACTTTACCAACCTTGTCCATCGCGTCCAATTTCTGTACACCAAAAGGGAGATGGTCGTGCGGACCCAGCTCGAAGGGGAGCTCCTAGCTTTGGCGAATTTGCTGGAAGCGTTCGAGACGGAGACAAACGATCATGAGAAGCTTGTCGGGATAGTGCGGTCCAGCTACGACCTATGCACTTCACCCCTTGTCGCAGAATATCTCGAACGCTTGCAAGCCGGTAGGGCAACAACCCAAATCCAGGCCTGCCTCAAAACCTTGCGTCAGCTCGAAAAGATCGCAGCTTACTACCGTATCTGTCAAACTTTAACAGGGCTGTCCCACTCGCACGCCAAGACTTTTGACAGCGTAGAGCTCCTCTTCTTGCCTCCGTTCGAGGCTGTGCCTCTCACCTTGGCCTACCAACCGTGGGCAAGATCTACTCACGTGCATGCAGAAGTCATCTTGACCATTCACCACGACTTGGAAAAGCCTGATGGCCCCTGGCACAAACCAAGATGTCTTGGCGCTTCCAAGTACTTTTGCTATCTATGCTTCCTGTTCATCCGACATCACGGAACCTACTTTGCAGCCAATACGCATGGAGCTTGTTATGACCAATGGACCGTACCGGACCTCGCCGACTACCCTCAGTCAGTCGCCAACCATTACAGGGAGGTGTTGCGAGCGATGGACGCCGAGATCCTGACCCAAACGCGCGACGCAGTCTGGAGACCGGAGCCGATGACGAGTCGTGAGAATTTGATAGGCATGATAGAGGAATAAATCTGCTAACTGAAAGCTCGTTGTTGCAGAGGCGCAGAGGTCCGCCCCTATTGGTGGCTCCGGTGCTCACCGTGGCTGGGGCAACTCCAGTGATATTCCTGTTTACAGATTAAGCCACCACTCGCTCTTTCAGGTGTAGGTCATTTTGGACGGGTGCCGGTTGCTAAACAGTGCATGATTCAGATGTGATCACCCATTTGGCCGCGACCAGCTTTTGCTCCAAGCGCGGTGTTGGTTCAAGCATATCCCCTCGCATTCTAATTTGGCCGCCGGATATCCCTTTGTGGAGATCTACTATAGACACCAAGCCTGTCGCTGCACCTGCGCTTCCTTCTCCCCTCCAGATGATGTCCACTCCGCAAATTGTTCATTCAGTATGTCCCAATGTGTCGCTGCACTCGACTTTAAGTACCCCGCCACCTTGTGGTTACATACCTATCAGTACTGGTAAAGAAGATTTGTTCGGCTCAGCCTGCGCTTGTTGAGAATGTAGTACTGAACATTGGCCCAGATGCCACAAGCCACTGCAACCGTGGTGAGGCCTGTGATGACGGCCCAGCCTTGGCGGTACTTCGGGGCATCTTCTTCCCTGAACAGTTGTTTGCCGACAATGCCTGAACAGTTGGCAGCCATGATCAAGATTGCCATCGTAATGGAACGTTCGCCCGCCGACTTGGCATTCGCTGACACCCAGGCGCCATTAACCGGGTCTATAGAGTAGGGTCAGTCACATGATCGCCGCGTGCTTGTAAAGCAGAAATGAACTCACGCCATGGAAACGAAAACGCGGTCGAAAGGGTTAGCATGGCAAATCTCTTGTTTCGACTAGCATCGATTTCCAACATGTTGCCAAGCTGTGCATCGTAAGCTTCACATCCCATCAAAAACTTCGCACAAAAGTCAACTCACATTGAAGCCCCAAAAGATCAAGAGCCCCAGGAACACCCATGGGCCACGAATTCCCGTTTTGTCACTACCAGTTCAAGTCAGCTCTGTTCGGTTTTGGTCAATCATTCCTTGACAAAAACTAGCACTTACGCAGTGAACCCCCAAAGCAACCCGATAGGTATCAATAGCCACGAGCCGATGGAGACCATGGCATTCGACTGCAGTCTCTCGAAACCCATTGAGGTAACGAGTGACGGAGCATAAGAGCTCAACGTAGACGACGGCGCAAGAGCGCAAATGGTGAAAATGACATGTGGAAGGAGTCTCCAGTTTGTCAGCTAGTAATCGGTCAGTATCTAAACGATGAGCAATCGAAGAACCCTCACGTACAGCTGATCTAAGCTCAGGCCAGCTCACCGAGCGCTTGGCATGTGCTTTGGAGGGGTCGTCGATCAGAACTCTTTTGTGAAGAATATCGGCTTCGCGCTCTGTAAAGTATCGAAACCCGACCAAGGACGCTGGATTGCTGACTTGTTGGGGAAAACAGACGAAGAATGCAATCCCGACCAGGACAGTGAAAATGCCTTCAAGCTATGGAATATCAGCCTTTTTGCCTTCAGTCTCTCGGACTTAACAAGCTTGACCTACCAAAAAGAGCCACTGCCAACCAGCAAGGTCTGCTATGCCTCTCATGTGCAGACTGCATTCATGAGTCGTGATTAGAACTGGTTCCAAGGGCCAGTCTGTGGACTTTGGACCTGGGACTTACATTCCGTAGGCAATGAGTCCCGAGCAGGCGGCAGCAAGCATGTTACCAATGAAGAACCACGAAAACCTCTTACTGGTCTCATCCTTCTTGTACCATCGTGTCATGGTGAAGAGTGCGGCGGGGATGAAGCCGGCTTCACAAAGGCTGCACCCTTGTCAGTCTCCCAGCGCCGGATTCAGGTGGCTGAACTACGTACCCAAGAAGCAATCGCGTGGCCATGAACGAGCCGAGGCCCTTCTGGAAGGCTTGGAAGGTTGCAACCAAGCCCCTGTTCAACGAGTTAGCTCCGCCCAAAGTCAATTGCCAAGCTTTCGGGTACTTTACCAGGCAACGATCTGTCCTCCAATCCAAAGCGTTGGTCCAATCCGGTAGAGGACTAAGTTACTAGGTATCTTATAAAATTTAGTCAATAACTCTGTTTCGGAAGTCTCTTAAGGCTTCTATAATTCACCTCGAGAATGACGATACCCGCTGATAACAGCTGTTGACCGACATTGAACTGATTTTGGGTTATGCCAACGTCCTTGAGGAAGTAGTCCGTCAACGCATTGCCCCTGGTTCTTCGTCAGATTATGGTTTTCCTCGCTCCACAGGGTTCGTACATGTTTCCGCGGTCCAGTTGTAGGGCAAAGAAGGCAAGAATGAGAAGGGGCATGATGAGTAAGTCAACCCTGTGAGGAATTAAGTTTAGTTCAAGCAACCTGAGCTCATTCACGACATTTGCTTACTTCCGAACGAGCCGCTGCTCCTCTTCAGGTGACCAGTCAATCTCTGGACGGACGTCATCGCTTTGGCTGTCTGGGCTTTCAACCACAGTCTTGACATGCTTCTCGTCTACGGTGGCCATGGTAAAGAACTCAATGAAGCAGAAAGATGCTGTAGCTTGACTCACGTCGAGGGTGCAAATAACGAGAGATGTAGCAAAACTTTTAGCATATTCCTGTCAATGCTAACTGACAGGAAATTCTTTTTAGGAGAACGCTACCCTGCAACAAAGCTTTGCGTTGCCCCTCTAAAGTTCGAATAACCAGACCAAGGCCTTGTCTCGCGGTTCCACGTTCCACTTCGGATGCAGCTATCAAAATTGAATTTTCTGCTCTTACATGACGGACCAAAGCCGTGGAAACGGCATTTACGTGGGGATCAACCCGGGGAACCACGCGTCGAGCAAACGTTTAGGCGTGTTCTGCCGTCTGCGGAGGGTCTTGCGGATCTCTTGGGCACCTTTTGGGAAGTCTCCAACTAGAGTGTGACCCACCTCTCGTTGATGCCATCGTGTTCGGCGCTCACGCAATCGGCCGCCGCCTCTCACAGCACGCGAATCTCAACATTTGCATCCACTCTTTTCAAGTCTGGGCGTCCAAAGCTCTGATGCAATCGGTACTCGGGATGGCGAATGTGTTTTAAACCAATTGAATCGGCCATATTTCTTGGAAGTGCCGACTTGCCGCCAACTCTACTTGCACCCATTCGTCGGTCGTAGTCCGACAGGCTTTCTGCTGGCTTCAAATTGAGAGCATGTAGCGTCGGCTGGGTCACGTAGTTGTGCCGGGTAAATCGTTGAATTCGCCACGTGCTCAAGACTTGAGTGCTTGCTGGTGCACGTCCTCACTTTCTCATTCTCAAGGAGTTATTATTAAGAACAGCTAAAGTCAACTAAACGACGGAGAACAAGATTCGCCGTCTACCCCCAACTCGAGAAGTGAGGGCGCATTTTGTGTGCTTAGCACTCCTTTATCATCTATGCCACAGTCTACGAATGGAAGTTGAGCCTGTCCATCCCTCATCTGCAGCTTGGATTGCGCGATTTCAGAGAAAACGGATTTGCTCATTCCCTCAAGAGGAGTAATGATGAAATGCTTGCAACTGGTACTGACAGGTCTGGAGACTTGTCGTTATAATGGGCGAATCGCTGCGAATTTGACTTTTGAGCATTTTCAGCTCTCACCATCATGGCAAACCTGGAATCCAGAAAGCACATTTCCCCGGACTCGGGATTCCCCATCACTATACACCCGCATTTTCATCCTAAAATAAAAGATCATCTGCCTCTAGAGCCGGTTCGGCAACAGATTTTCCCAGACAAAGACCGTGCCACGTTCGCGGATCCCGAAAAGAAGGCTCTCTTCTCTGTTGCGAAGAGAACTGACCTTACCGAGTCGATTGGCACTGTGCTTGAGGATGTCCAGTTATCTCAACTGACGCTGCAGCAATTGGACGAACTTGCACTCCTTGTAACGGAGCGTGGAGTCGTCTTCTTTCGGGAACAGGATCTAACCACAGAAGGTCAAGTGAAGCTATTCGAGCATTACGGTACTCTCGATCGGCATCCCGCGCAAAAAGAAGTCAAACATGTGATTATTAGAGGAAGTCGCGAAGATCATCGTGAGATACTCAAGTATACTCCGTGGCCCTCTGCAGATTTCCATGCCGACACGTCCTTCGAAATCAATCCCCCGTCTTACTCGCTCCTTCGTATGGAAGAACACCCCGAGGTTGGTGGTGATACGGCTTGGGTGTCCCAGTACGGCCTGTATGATGAGCTCAGTGACGCTATGAAAAGATTCGTCGATAAGCTTCATGCTGTGCACACTTCAAGGCTGCAGTACGATACCATTCTGGACCTCTGGGGTGTTGGCCCTAACCGGCCTCCCATCGACACACATCATCCAGCAGTTAGGACGCATCCGGTCACTGGACTTAAAGCACTCAACGTCAACCCCGGCTTTGTAACAGGTTTTGCAGAGTTGAAAAAGCACGAGTCCGACAAGCTTGTAGACTTCTTTGCATATCACGTCCACTCCGCAGATGACCATGGCGTTCGCTGGAAGTGGCAAGTTGGGAGTGTTGCCATGTGGGACAACAGGTTTGTTGTAGCATGGAGGAGAATGCCAGGACCCTAAGCTCATGTTTTCTTCCAGATGCACAATCCATCGTGTAATACCAGGCGCGTATGATGCGCCACGTAAAGGGATTAGGACAACTGTCTTCGGTGAGAAGCGTGAGTACGGTCCTTTTCCGTCGTAACCGACTCCTCTGACAATGGTGGGATTGCAGCTTTCTTTGACCCAGCGAGTGAGAGCAGAAACGAGCGCGAGGAAAGACTTAAGGCCGGGAAGCCCGAAACTCAATGCAATGCGTAAAAGTAGAGCTTGGGGCATCGAACACTTACGTTAGGGACGAAGGGGCTAGACAAGCTCTATTTTGTTATTTGCTTTGAGTTTTTCCCCGGGATATGCCTTATTTTTGTGTCCTTTTCACAATATATATCAACTTGCACTTAGCTCCTGGTAGACTGCTTGTGTACATGAGGCTTTGATAAAGCCTCATGTCAAGTCCATGAATTCCATCAAGAACGGGTATCATTCCGTAAACCATCCTTCGCATATGAATATTCCATCAGTCTCGTTTTCTACGCCATGCGAGGCATGCAATCAGATTTTCGTGTGTTGTTTCGAGAACCAAGAAGCCACACTATCGCGTCACGCCTGAAGTATTTTACCAGCTCCAAAAAGTACTCCTTGTTCCCCAATGAAATATCGCATCATTCTCTAGTGACTTCCCAATTCGTTTGGATTTGGATCGCAGAGGCCGGTTGCGCTCTTGTGAGCTTTCGTTCGGAGCCTCCGTCGTCGTTGCTACCCGTCTCGTGATCTTTGTCGTTCTAATTGAGAAAAATTACTGGTCAGTCTGTGGGTGGAATGTGATTGAAAGCTTTGTAGGAAATTTTGTCACCCACTAGTTCAATCCACGCAGTGTATTGGCTTGGCTTTGGTTGTACTTTAATTGGGCCACTTCGTGCACTTCTTGACCCTTTGTTGAAAGCACTCTGGCTGTTGGAGTTCTCAAGCGATGACTTGTACTTCGTTCTCCATCGCAGATAGAACGGTCGAAGCATTGGAATGTTGATGCAAAGACCCGCGAGCATGAGCTCAACGGTGCAAAGCATGAATGTTGTCAAGGATGTACCGGTCAGGTTTCCGATGAGATCGATAACGAAGATTTGCCAGAACCGGACAATACCGATGACACAGCATCTGCATTGGCATTAGTTCAACGGCACGTATGTAGGTCGGGAAAGAGGGCAACGCACGCCAAGCCGAGGGCAAAACATGCGATGACGGCCATCTTCTCCGTCTTTCGCATTTGCAATTTCCAGACGGTCCAGATAGGAAGGATCACAATGAAAAGATCAGTCACAACATTTGTCATGATGATGCACTTCAGAACCAGTATCTGGTCCATGCAATGACCAATGCGCTGCACCGTCCACTGTTGCGATATCGGATCGCAAAGGAAAATGAAGACAAAGGTAAATGTCAAGGCCCAAATGGTAACGATGCCAGCAATGAGGAAGATCCACCGTTGGAGCTGAAGAGCAAAGGCTCTGTGATAGAACCAAAGCTGGCTAAGCTTCAGCGTGGCTAGTGCCCACAGGTAAACAAGTGTGAAGGCAAAGGTCGCCTGGATCGTCAAGTCAGCAAAGGTCTTTAGCTAGTGTAGCCAGGCGCGCTATTCGGAATGGTGCTTGGGCCTACCTTCAAGATATATTGCAGGTTGTTGACCACTGTTTTGATGGATCAGCCATTCGTCTTTACGTGTACGCGCACGTATGCGTTTGCTTGAGTCTAACGTAACACCTCGACTGGCGCCCACCGGCAAGAACTCAAGAGCAGCAAAGTATTGGCAACTTACATTTAGGGTACACTTCAGAGTCTGGGTCAAAGTTATACCCAACCCCAGACGTAAAGACTAAACGTGTGATTCGGGTTAGACCTCTGCAAGTATCAGAACAGACGTATGACATCATTACCTGCGGCGTTCATGCCTATCGTACTGCCGGATAGTAGCTATAGCTCAAGTCAGCGTCCCTTCGCCTACAGGTATGTACATGCTCAAGTCTGACGGTGTTGACGAACGCATGCGATCAAGGCTAGTATATCATCTCCGCCGATTCCAACGCCTCGGAACCGTCCCCATAACCGAGCAGCAACCACAGATGCAAAAATGACCCAAAGAAGAGAAATGGCTATGAGGGAGTGTCTGGCACTGGGTGTCATCGGAATGTACATTTTCGACGGCGCCGCCCTCGTTTCTGTCGTGGCCATGGTGGGCGTTCGATGAGGATGGTGAGTTCGATCGACCAAACAGCGAATGGCCAACGACTGAGGGTTGACAGCGATCCAGACCTCGGGGGAAGCACGACATAACTAGGGAAATTATACAGAACGGAGGTTTGAGCCCTGGCAGCCCCAAAAGTCCCGTCAGTTAGAGTTGCAATATGCCAGAAGTCATGTTCAGCTGCGCCCCGATTTTACTTAAATATTTGATACTCCGCGGCAGGCAATCCGGAGGGAGATCTCTCAAGGTATGGATTAGCTGAGGGCCGGGGAGTCGACTTTGAGGGGCCGAGATTTCGCAGTAGATTTTACGTCTGCGCTCCTACAGGCCATCGTTACAAGGAAGTGTAAGGTCGTGACTCGTGTATCTCCATCGGCATCTGTATATTTTTCGAAGTGACCGAGACCAGCTTGGGGGTTCCGCTTAATTACACGTCATTCGGCACCGATGACGGTCTTCTCGACACTCTGCATCTATGTCAAGAAATCGCCATTTCAGTCATTATCAGCGTCGTTTATTAATAGCTTCGGGCAGACGGAGTAAGCTCTGTCAATTGATGCATCGCTCTTGCTTTATTGTAGCCGACAGAATCAAGTGTGTACTATGTACGCTGTCGGGGCATGTGGATATGAAGATCCCTGTACACGGCCCGCAATGGCAGTCATGTATCCGGTTCCTCTATGTAAACCTTCTAAGTCGCATAGGTACTACCTGTACCTATGTACATAGTATTATCCTTCGCAAGGGCCTTTTCTGCCGGAGCCGAGTGCTCCCATGTTTAGTGAGAGCGCTGAGGTGACAGCCGTCCTTGCACTACTTCCTTGGCCTTCACGTGTCTCGTCGGCTCTCAGTTCGCGGAGACATTCCCCCAGCGCGACCCAGTGTACGGGTCGCCGTCGGAAATTGACGCCTCTCGCCCGGCGGGATACGTCTCATTGCACGACCGTGGCCGAGCCTGGATTAGGCAAAAGAGGTGGATAGTAATCATCTAATGGCTACTTCATTGGCCGTTTTTGAAAGGCTGTGTGTTCCATAGTGCTGATCTTTTCCCAAAACGTAGACTGTCCCCTGACGATTAGGCATGGTGAGTTCAGGTTCCCAGAACTCTAGGTGACATGTTCGGTAGCCAGGCACCTAAGGCCTGATATCTTCGGTTCATAGTCGTTGGTCAGCGATGAAATGCTCATTGTTGTACGAATGTGTCACCGAACCGAGGTGCTTGAACCAGGGTTTGGATTCGCACGTTAAGAGCACCAACGATATTTGATGGCAACATACGTGTACTTACTTTGCCGGGAGATCCAGCATTGTTCTTGACTTGGGGCATGGGCGAGGTGTTTGATAAGTAGCCATACATGAAGCACGTGGACGCCATCCGGTTTGAAAAAAACATGCATCCACAAGTGATCTTCACAGATCTCAGACGTCTCGAGGCTGCGTTTATGGCTGTCTGCTGAAAGGGTCCTCTTATCAAATCACAACAAGCCAAGGACGTGGCCGCCCCATGGATTTTGCTTTTAAGCTATAGTATCGACACTCGTCGTCTCCCCAGCGGCAACCACTATGTACAAGGCTCTGTGTGTGTTGAAGAGGTCGAAAAGTCATTGGTCCCTATTTGTGAGTAATCCAGGGTTTCCAATCCTCCCTCCATGGCTCCATGGTGCCGTGATCACAAGGCAGCAGAGAGAGGTTAGTTTGCATTCATGAGTCCGAAACTTTTCGCGGAGTCCGGTTTCTAAGCGCAGTGGCCCGAATAAGGGTAAAGAGTGGTAATCGAGTGGATAGTCGGTGGGGTTGTCTCCCTCACCAGCCCTGGTCCAGTCCATTCGGAGCGCATGAGGCCCATGAAGATCTGTGAATGATTTATTCTAGCGCTGGCTGCGTTGCATCAAAAACGGGCTCATCTGTGCGTCCCGGTTCGATGGCGGTGAGAAATCACTTCTCAGCTGCATCAGCAGTGCGACTGTGAATGACTCTCCCTCGATGGAGGTACCATTCATCATATCTATCGTAAACTCTTGAATTCGCCCGCTCGAGTATCGTCGCTCGGGGGAAAACCCCACGGCAGCTCATGTACTAGAGTATTGAACCTGCCCCTGCCGGGACTGAATTGAGATTGACACTCATCTTTCGATGCACCGTCCCCAAATGGTTCGTGTCCACCACCTTGAATCGGCGCTGTGTGGTGTGGGCTCGTTCAGAAATTCTTCAACGGCCACTAGTGCAGCTGCACCATGTGGATCACCCCCGCCTCTTTTGTCCACTAACAGACATTGGTTGTTCATTTCCTGCCCAGGCTGCTCGTCCCTCCCCCCTTTTTCTCAGGAAATCTTGTGCTTGTGCTTCGGTTTCTACATCCAGACGGGGTCTCAGGGTCGTGATAACTGTCAAGTCAGCCAGTCAGCGCGCGCGCTTTATCAATGACCCGACAGCGGGGTGGGCCCTGGGTAGAGTGGGATGCTTTGTTTCAGTAGTGTATTCATGAGATATGTGCAGTATATAGCTCTCACATAACCATGCGCGCCGCAAACTTCACAGTGTTGTGCGAATTGCCCATCCTCTCTTCCTTTCAGCGCGTACTCTGCACAGGAAGATCCGACTGTGGCTGTCTAGAATGGCTTCAAACTTGGTTGTGGACGGCCTCAAGGCTGCTCTGAGCCCCAAAGCTGTTGTCTATCTCGTCGGTCTCTGGATTGCCTATTACGTCGCCGTTGCCTTGTACAACATCTCGCCATTTCACCCCCTGGCGCGCTTCCCTGGTCCAAAGACCGCAGCTGCATCCTACTTGTACGAAGCTTACTATGACTGGTGGCTTGTTGGGAAATATGGCAAGGTCATTGCTCGGATGCACGAACGTTATGGTAAGCTTTTCCAGCCCTGGTCTTGGACACGACTCAGTTCTGACCCGAAATGAAATCGCAGGCCCCATTGTCAGGATCAACCCCGACGAGCTTCACGTTTCCGACCCTCACTTCACCGACGAGATCTATGCCGGTCCGGGCCGCATCCGCGACAAATGGCAACATCAACTGAACACGGGCGGTGCTGGTCCTGTGTCGGTCACTGGCTTTTCCACTGTTAACCATGAAGTACACCGCATGCGCAAGGGCGCGTTGTCCAGGTTCTTCTCGCGCCAGCAGATGCTCAAGCTTGAGGGGGAAGTGCAGGAGTTTGCACAACTCACCGTCGACAAGATGCTCCGCTCAGCCGGCAAAGGGCCCTTTGACGTCAAAGAAGCCTTCAACTGCTTCACCGCAGATATTATGTCGCAGTACGCTTTCGGTGAGCCCATGGGTTTCATCGCTCAGGATGGCTGGGAACCCAACTTCGCCACATGGGTCAAGTCTTTCTTCAAGAGCGCGTACATGATGAGACATAACGCCCTCGGCAGAAAAGTGGCGCAGGTGATGCCCATGATGGCTGACTACCTGGGCGAGGACATCAAGTCGGTCATGAGACAGATGAATGTGGTGATCCCTGGCTACATCAAGGCGGCATTGAACAACCCTGAGAACGGTAGAGTGTTTGCCGAGCTTATGGAGTCCAAGACACTACCCGAAGAGGAGAAGTCCATGTACCGCCTTTCAGGAGAGGGGTTCAACTTTTTGCTTGCTGGAACCGAGACCACTGCTGTGAGATGTCACTGCTTCGCCCTCCGTACGATTGTTGCTGACTTGATGATTTCATAGGCCACTCTGACTGTCATCACCTACTACCTTCTCGCCCAGCCCAAGACTTATGCGCGCCTGATGGAGGATCTGCAGGACCTCAACCCTTCCAATCTGAAGTGGACCCAGCTCGAGCAGAAGCCATATCTTTGGGCTGTCATTCACGAGTCTCTGCGCATGATGCCCGGTGTTTCGCACAGATCCGCAAGAATTGCCCGTGAGGAGGATCTCGTCTACAAGACGCGTGATGGTAAGAAGGAATGGGTTATTCCCAGAGGTACCCCTGTTGGTATGACATCGATGATCAACCACTGGGACAAGGAACTGTTCCCCAACCCTGATGAGTTTATTCCCGAACGCTGGTTGGTCGATGGGCAGCCAAACTACAAACTTCAGAAATACCTGCTTTCCTTTGGCAAGGGCAGCCGCTCTTGCATTGGCGAGAAGTAAGTATCACCTCCTTGAACCTATTCAAGAGCTCAATGCTAACGTTTTCGCCAGCTTGGCCTACTGCGAGGTATACATCATGGCGGCTCTGATGGCCATGCGTGTGATCCCCAGATCCAGCTTGTTTGATACCACTGTTGAAGATATCTCTTATGATCACGATCTCATTGTGGTTCAAACCAAGAAAGGCTCCATTTCGGTCAAGATCCAGATTTCCTGAAGCCGCTTGTGCTCTTCAGACTTATCCTCTAGCTTTTTGATCACATGTAGAAACAACGGTAAAAGGCAGAAAGTACATCTAGTTGTCTAACATCCATTAATTACCTACGATCCAGGATGTGAGGAGTTAGATTACGCCACTTCCAATTCGTCATGTTTAAAAGTAAAAAGTTGTTGCACAAACTATCATGAACCCTAATAGACATCAAGGGCTCCAGACAGGCAGAGTCTCACCCCTTCCTCAGTAGCCTTGTCCAAGTCCTCCTTCGGCAATCCCAGAGCCTCATTTACCAACCCATGCGTGTTCTCAACATCCCCGTCAGCTGAGGGGAAGAATATGCGTGCGTACATCAATCTTGAGAAACCGCTCCTGTCTCCGGACCTCAGCGACTCATGACCAGCCTTCCACCTCTCTTCGGAACTCTGATGCTTGATATCCCAATCACCGTCCTCCGTGCCCGTAACCCTCTTAAGACTCTCGAACATTTCGCGCTGAGACACCAAGAAGCTAGAGACGTAGAACACGTCGTTTGCCCACTTCTGAATAGTGGGAGACGCGTCATTCTCGTCCTCGGGTAACCACTTCAGGCTGAGAAAGGCAGCCAAACCGCGACCACATTGGTTCCAGGTAGAATTGTTCACCTTGATATCACCATCATCGAAGAAAGTGACCGACTTGTTCTTGATGTCAAAACCATACCGGTCTGGCGAGCCCGCCAAGCTAAACTCATACCAGAAGCCACAAGACATGATGATCCATTCACTGACCCCTAGTTGCTCAATCTCTTTCACTGCGCCTTGGAATGATTGGCCGATAAGAGTATCGCTCATCAGGGAGCTGTTCTTCGGGTCGGGACCCCAGGCGTTAGGCATGACGTAGGGAACTCCAGCCTTGGCGGCGGCCTTGACGAGCTTGAGCTGGGTGTCTTGTCCAGCAGTATTCTTCAAAGTGATGATAAGATACTGTTGTCCCTTGAGAGCTTCGACAATCGAGCTTTCATCGTCGTAGTTAACCTTGGCAGCAATGACACCCTCTGGTAGCTTGGAGTCGCTGTTGTGGCGGGTGATCGCTGTCACCGTATGCTGTCCGCTTTTGAGCAGTTCGTGCGTGACAAACTTTCCCATAGTTCCAGCAGCCTAGAATCTCATCAGATAAGCTTTAACATGGTGTTTTTTGCGTTTTACTTACGCCGACAATGGCGACTTTCTCGATGCGATTGACGAACCCGGCGGGCTGGTTTTTGGCGTACTTGATAATATTAGGAGCCATTGCGAAGACGTTTAGCTGACACGAAGTAGTGATTTTTCACGGCTTAAATCTGGATTAACTTTAGGATTTATGATGAGAAAGGGAAGCAGTCAGATAATTGATTGCTTCTGGGCAAGACGGTTGCGATGTGCTACAAGATTACGGTTCATTGTTTGGTAGGACTTCTCAGCTTCATAAATAGTTCATCCTTTTTGGCGCAACACAATGCTGGCGTCTATCAAACCAACAGTCGGAGTGGGCATCTAGCTGCGTTTGAGTTGGCATGCTGTGTTCTCGTAATTACGCCTGGCCATTTGGAGAACATCCCCGAAAGGAAACAACGTCGGATGCATAATCACCAGAAAAGTGCAAAGGATGCTGCACTTGGCTGGATCCACGCTAAATCAAACACCTCGGAGTTTTCGGAGCAGAGTCCGCCAATCGCGCTCCGGTGTTCTAACCAGTGTCAAGGATGCTAACCCCATATCGGATTTGTTAAGGTATTTTCTCCTGAAATTGGCGTCCTCGGTAGGAGACCGACGGTGGTTTGGGAGCCTGTATGAAGGTAACCTGGTGGGCCCGAGTTGCAATCTCTTATGACGCCTACGTTTTCAGTACTAGCTGCGAAGCTGAAGCCATGTTAAGTCCGGCCGGGCAGCGGGGGCAGCTGGGATTATCTCGGAGACTTGGGTTTCCTGTTTGGGAAGATTCTTCTCCGGTACTGTCTCGCCGAGCTCCGCACCTGCACCATTTTTTGGAGAAGGCACATAGAGCTGCAAGAATCGGTTATTAGGCACTGCAATCAACAATCTATTCCAGGCGAAGCTTTCGGTCTGGTCTCTACAGCTTTCACGGCTTCTAGAGATAGTGGCGTACCGAAAACATAGCATCTGTCGCCTTTCTGTGTACATGGGCCTTGAGCATACACGATGGTGTACCAGGACGTGTGATGTTATCAAAGTAAAGTTAAAATCCCCCACATAAAGGCGGCTGGTCTCTGAGATGAATACCTTTTACATGAGGCCAGATGGTTCTGTTTTTCATCTCCTGTCACTCGGCGTGTCGGCGTATTGCATTGGTGTAAGGGACTAGGTCGCCCAAGTTCTCAACCGCCTCATCGAAGACGGTGATAATTGTGTCGCCAATATCAGGGAAATGCCACCATCATCGACGTAGCACTCGTTATCTGAGTAGAGCGCGACAAATCTCATAACGCTAGCTATAGAGCTTTATCAATTTATGACAGACAATAAGAAAAAGAAATCGAAGGGCAAGAGCTCCTCTCCCTGGAGTTGTTTATGGCATGGAAGCGAGAGACGCCGTACAATGGCTAATCAATACGAGGAGGTTGCTGAGCCCTATGGGTTTGCTCACACAGCTGAGTCACGAATTCTCTTCTAGATGCAACGATTCCTACGGCCGTGAACTTGAAAATTGCAAGCAAGATTCCGTCTTGCGAAATCTTTCTCACGGCTTTGGGCTTATTAAAATGACTATCATTGCGGCCGCTGCATTCGAAGAGTATGCAGACGTTGGTGGTTTTCTATGCTGCGCCATTAAACATTACATTAGACATCGTCGCCAATTGTATCTACAGCACTTTAAGGAGAATTGCAGCTCACTACAACAGTCGCATGACTGACAGAAGATGCTGCCCCTGCTCCATAGTACAAAGAGGCTCCATAGTACAAAGAGAGGGAAAATTCCAAGCAATGTTACACCTCTTCGAATGCGTAGATGAAAAGGAGATGACATTGTCTCCCCTCTCCCCTTGCAGCTTCACCAAGTCCACAAGGTGCATAAAGTAGCTCAGTATAGAACATTTAGACAAATATTTTGCGCCCTGCCGCGTAAAACCATCGTGCAATAGAAAACAAGTTTACCACTAAGTTACTGAGTCTGATCACGGCTGCCTGTGAAGCGAATTGTGTTAGAAACCAATCAATGAAGTGGCGACCGCGTGTAAACCAACCAACAGGCTCTTATGGGCACGGGAGATATTCGGATCGACGTACCGTGCTGGGTGTTCTCTGCCACGAAGGATTGTGCGGCTATGCGCAGTGGGTACCGCTGATTCCAAGTCAACGTCGACCTTGTATGTATAAGTATAGATGTGTGTACAAGGTCTGGCTCTCCACAAGCATTAGTCTCTGGACGGGCCTCTTCTCCAGCTAGCCAATCAAATAGGGAGAGTGGGAGCGGTTTTGAGCGCTTTGGTAGGAGGTTATGGTCATGGACATTGAAATGAATGACTTCGTTGTTACAGGTATCCATGATATGTATTTACGGCTCCTATCTTTATCAATGCCTTGTTTGCGGTTGGCACTATGGGCTGTATACCTGATAGCTGCGGTGTCTTGATGTCAACTTGGCGGTGTCAATTCAGCAGTTGTACCTGGCGTCTCGGCGCTGCCAGGGGAAAGCTTGTTGAAATCGACACTCGCAATTCGGACTTGTTCCTGTCAGTCAGCTACTGAGTTGATTTGCGGTTTTCCCTCGTCTCTTGGCTTAGAATGCAGGTGCACGACCGGGGACGGGATCCTCCCCCAAGTCTTAAGCCTACGATGAACCAAGGGTACCCGCAATTACGGCTGCTATTGTGGACCATTGGGCTTTTCCATCGTCCCATCCTGATTTTCTGCCCTATTCTTGCTTAAAGTCCATGAAGATCGCCGATGTTGTTCTCCAGTCTTACCCATGACGAGTGTTAAGTTCCCCATTATTCACTGAGAACAGGCAACGAGAAATATTTCTTTAGCGGAGGCTCAACTCCACAAAGACATTAGGCAACGAAGTAAGTTGGTCGGGGGCTCGATACCATGATATCAGATGGTTGAGCTTCTAAGACGTCTAGCAGACTAGGGTTGTGGATTTCATCGAGTCTTTGAGAGTCAACACAGGTATAAAACCCCTTTCATCAGACCGAAAGAGAGGAGGTTATCAATTGAAACAACTCTACAATCTCCCACCTTTGTCTAGCACAACACTCACAAGCCTGACCTTCAAATCACATCATGTCTTCCTCTCTTTGCACCCTCTTCCTCGGGCTCTTGAGCATCTCTGCTACTGCCTACGCTGAACACCTCCGAGTTGTTTGGTCCTCTGGCAGCTTCTCGACCATTAGCGGTCCCGCTGGCGGCTCTCAAAGCGGTGGCTACAGCGGCTTTGCCATCATCAACGACGCCGACGAGGCCATCTACGACCAGGCCTATCCTGATGATCACTCTCCGTGCTACAACACTGGCGACGGCCGCACATTCACGATCGAGGGTGACTGCTGGGACACCCCACGCGTGTTCCACTGCAAGTCGGACTTTGGCGGCTCGCCTAAAAACTGTGACGTCAGCACCTCTGACGGCAACCAGCTCGGCAGCGGGACGCAGCAGAAAGATACCAACTTTATCGGTATTGCTATTGGCATTGATGCCAGCTGTGTGGTCGAGTTCGATTCTGATGGAACCAGTTGCCCTGTTGACAACGGAAACGGACCCCTTCATGTTACCTCGGGTTAAAGGCACCGCCGTATTCGATATTTGGACCGACACTGCGAAATCTCGACTCCCAAGCCATCGGAATATTTATTCATTGAACGGAGCAGGACACAGGAGAGCAGTCAACATGGGTGTGTATGGGCGTTACAGGTGTAAGTTAGAGTTACTAGTCTTTTCCATAACGACAATCAGATTGGACCTCTAAAAAGTTTCCACGCGCTCGCCAATGCAATCTTGGTGCAAAATTTGAATTGCCTACCACTCATAATTGGATGATAAACGGCCTATCCCTTCAGTCAAGCCCATTTTTTGGTGGAGGCCGGATTCTATTCCCTGTCGTTACTTGTACGGCGTGATCGACTTCAGGGAGAGGGCTTGCAACATACTGATGATTCTTACATTCTTAGAAGAAGTTTCCGCTATTATCAAATTCTACACCTCCAGCTGAGACAAGTTGCGTCAGCCGAATCCGAGGTTTGACTGCTTCTAATAACGTGCTTGCGAAGAAGAGCCGTATAAGTTGAAACATAAATAAATGGCATAGAAAACTTACCTAGTTCGTCCAACTCTTTGTCATCGTTGGGATACTAATATCTTTTCTTTTTCTTTTTCTTACGTTAGGACTAAGACAGATGAGGGAGAATACTAGGTATGGTGTAGAAGCTCACTGCCTTCTTTCCACATATGGTACATCCGGCCAGTCTCGATGTAGAATTGCCAAACAGAGTTGGCGATGCTAAATGTTGACGAAGCAGCCCCCCGAGGCACTTATGAGGCGAGACTTAACTTGGTACGTTGCCGTAGAGGTTGCTACGCTTCTTGTTTTCACTAACGTCTCCAATGTGGGAAACTTCTTCATCGTTGAGATGCAAAAGCATGTAGGTAAGATCAGCCGATGCCCGTGAATCCCGTGCTTGGAATGGAGCCAGATACCTCTTCCTCCGGGGCATTAAAACCCTCGTTGAAAGTCTGCACATTCACATTGTCATCCCCAATCGTAATGTCGGGTCAATTAACATGCGTGGCAAACAAATGAACTATTGCTGTAGACAGCACACGATTGCGCATCGTGAATGCATGAAACATAAACTCTTCTCATATTACCTTTCCATTCTTCTGCTTGTTGGTTTCGAAGTGGCAGTTTCCCCTCTGCTTTGGCCTTCAGGAATTAAGCCTCCATATGGGATGGTGGCACGAAAGACACGCCAACTGCAGCAAATGACGTTGGTCCACGCTTCGCACATGGGTGCGACTGTGGACGTCTGCTTAGACGAAAGTAGGCCACCTTCCGAAAGAGGTTGTCTCAACTTAGACCTCGACTCCAGCACCGTTGGTCTGGTGCGCCAGCCTTGTTGTTTCGCCGAGTCGGGGACGCGGGCCGTTGCAGAGAATCGGTAGACCAACGACCATAGTTTCGGGACCAGGGCCATATGGTGCTTCTGCGACCAATTGAGGCCCGGGCTAAGGGGTACGGAAAGGTCTTTATGCCAAAACTAAGTTGGATTATGCGGTTGCCCGCTTGCTGAAGGGCATGTGGGGAACTCGCCCGGGAAGTAATGATATGTTTATTCATACATGCAAGCCTAGTTACAACGTGATCTGTGGTGACCGTTGCTACTGGACTATTGTGATAAGTTTTCGAGGTGTGGTGGCATGCCAACTACGCTGGCGTTGACAGCACTATCATCAGCATCGGCACGAACGACTTTGCTTGACATAGTCGAAGACACAAGATGAGCCTCTAATGGTTGTCTCCGAGGTCCAACGCGCACGAGGGCTGTGCTGAATTCACTTCTTATGCGTACAAGATTTTTCAGCAAGTGCTCACGCCAATAAGCATCACAATCATGATGTGCTTCATTGTTACTCGTTCGACCGAAGAGACAAGCTATCAATGCAGATTTCGGGGCTCCTTGCGATTTAGGCTGCTCAGTATCAATCCCGGCCAATTCATGTACCAGGGACCGTGTGTAATTTCTAAAGACAAATTGGGCATCCATCATGATGTGTATTTATGCCTTCACTGAGGCAGTCTATCGATGCTCCTTGTACACGAGCCTCAGGCTGACGACATGTCGCATTTACACCCAGTTAAAGTATTCAGCCGCTCTGAGGCCCATCCAATGGGCTGACGGTTGGGTCCCAACAGACCGGGGCATACTCATCAGTCTCAAGGGTCTTTAGATCTTCGTCTGACAGCTGGAAATCGTAGATCTTTGTGTTGTCGAGGATACGAGCAGGAGTGACGCTCTTGGGCAGAGGGATGTAGCCCTTCTGCAAGCTCCAACGCAACAGGATCTGGGCCTCGGACTTGCCATGCTTGTCGGCCAACGCCTTGAGGTTCTTCTCGCCCCACCTCTCGCCTCTGACGAGAGGGCTGTAGGCCTCGATGGCGACGTTGCGCTTCTGCAGCCACTGGACAATGTCGTTCCTCGCGCACCAGGGGTGGATCTCGTACTGCGCAACGTTAATGGCGCCGCCCTTGCCCGGCCCGCCGCGCTCCTCTTCGAGCTCCTTGATGTGCGTCTCGAGCTCGTCGAGGTGGTGCACGCCGTAGTTGCTGATACCGATGGAGCGGACCTTGCCGGCCTCCTGGGCCTCGACGAGGGCCTTCCAGGCGCCTTTTCGGCCGGCCGAGCCGCCGTATGGGCAGTGCAGGAGCATCAGGTCGATGTAGTCCAGGCCCGTCTCTTTCAGGGTCTTCTCGACCTGGTCCTTGGCACCGTCGTAATGGATGTAGCGGACCTTGGACGTGAAGAAGATCTCGGAGCGGGGAACATCCTTGGCCTTGCGGATGGCGCCCCCGGCGCCGGCCTCGTTCTTGTACGAGGCTGCCGAGTCGATCTGGTGGTGGTCAGAAAGGGGATGGGACATGCGGCGTTGGTGCTGGTCTTACATGACGATAGCCGACCTTAATGGCCTCAGTGGTGACCTCCTCGGCCTGCTCGGGGGGGCTGAGATGGAGTTGGCTATGGTAAGACTCAAATTGAGAGGAATCCAGATGCACTCACGTCTTCCAGAGCTAAGGGGATGTCAGCAACGGAGTCACGATAATCGCGCAAGGGAAGTAGGACGCACGCCGTATCCCAGTACGGGGATCTCGTAGCCGCTGTTAAGCTTCTGCTTGGACTGGAGGCTAAGCGAGGCCGCCATTGTGAGAATATTGTTTGTTGAGAAAGTAAGTTGTCGCGTGAGCGGGAGTCTTTGAAAGTGAGAGTGAGATTGAAAGTGAGGTAGGACGCCGTCAACTCGTCGAAAAGCCGATGCGTTCGTACGAAACGTCCTTCCGATAAAGGCCATTATTCATTGAACGAGGAGAGACCCCCTCATCATTTGCATCTTCGGATGGCTGCACGTTCGGTATTATTGTGCCGAGTAGTTGCGTGCTCAGGTCCTGTCCTGGGGCTCTTTCTTCCGAGTCCAGGGGTCTATTTAATCACGGGGCTCCAGGGACTCACAAATCGCATGGGAGCTGTCCTGTAGTGTAAGACGCCCGGTGGTAGGCTTACGTCATGAGGGGGAGGGGCACGTTAGGCTATTCCAGCGCGTTTTTACCCCGCCATCGCTGCCCCGCCATGCACTTGTCACCACTGTACATTTGCTGAGCTTTGACGCGCGGGAACTGCAAGATTCTGTGTAGACATTTTTCGTCGTGATGCAACTTTTTGGTAAGGTATCATTCATTCATATAATCGTCTCACCGCCAGCATCTCCAGCTGCAGTCTCCCCGTCGTCGTCCTCATCGTCGTCCAAGTCATGGATCGGGTATGACAGGATGGCGGCGACGCTGCCCAACATGTCGAGTCTCTGCCCGCTTTCGTGGTCACTGCTGAGAATTCTGACCTCGCCACCGTCCGCCTTGACCTTGTCCACCAGTGACACGTACTTCTTCCTTGTCGGAATATCGGAGCTGCGGAACAGCGAGTTGTTCATGATGAGCACGCCGCCGCCAGGACCGATGGCGCCCTCGTTGACGGCCTTGGCCACGGCCGACGCTCCGTACCACGCGCGTCCGTCCTCTAACCGTAATCTTTCAAAGAACTGATCCATCAACTTTGTCTCCTTTGTAAACTTGAAGTCTTTCAGCTTGTTGCCCATTTCCGGGCTCTTCAGGACCTCGTTGAGGCTGTGGACATGACCCGAGTTTGTGTGGATGACGATGGCCTCCTTGGCGATCCCCGACAGTTTCTTGTCCGACTTATCCCTCCCTTCGTCGGCAATGTACTTCTTGAAGTCGGCTGCGACGAATCCCGGACTTGCGAGCAGCAACGGTCTCGGCTTGTCAAAGTTGACGGTTCGGAGGAGAGCGGTCAAGGTCTTGTCGTAAAAGCGCCTCATGCCCTGGGAGGTTTCGGAGGCGGCGCTTCGCTTCTTGGGGATGATGCTCTCGATGCGCTGCTTGATGACGGTGCGGAACTGGCTGATGAGGCAGATGTTGGCGATGCCCTCCTGCATGACGACTGCGGCCATGGCGCCGTCCTTGTCGTCCGAAAGACTCTCGGACAGCGTCTCCTTTGCGACCGAATCCCAGCCCTCGGGCTTGCTTATCGTGAAGGGGCGCGAGACTTCGAGGTCGAGGGTGTGGTACTGGCCCAGGCTGACGTAGGCATTCTCGGATTTGACGGTGCCGCTGACCTGGAGCTGGCCAACGATGGGGTCAAAAAAGGTGCTCTTGACTTGGATTGCGAGGACGGTGTGGACTCGCTCGGAAATGGTGCTGCCCGTCTTTGTCTCCTGCACGACTTTTCGCACCGCATGGGCCATGACAAGGTCGCCGGGACTGATGAGGTTGTAGGCATGCCACTGTTGGCAGGGTGAGTTAGCTAGGGATTGCGCGTCGCATATCGCGGGTGCGCGCCATCGAAAGGCACCGTCAGGGAAACAACGAGGGGCCAAGATACAAACCAAGCGACTGCCATGAACTCACCATGTCCTCAGAGTCCTCGGGCAAGAGGGTGACGGCATCCTCGCCAATGTCGGTCGACGCCTTGGTTGGAACGAGCTTCATGATTAATTGGCGATGCTATGTGTGCATGCTATGGGGGAATTTTCTCGGGTTGCGAGGGTGCATAAACATGCGAAGAAGCGCTCGTTGGGCTATTGAAAATATCTCGACGCAGATTGGAAGATGATGCGGTGCCCGCTGCCCGCGACTGGGGGGCGTGTGACGCTGCCATTCTCGCCCCTACCGGTTCAGGGGTTGCCTTTAGGGAGTCACAGCGTTGCATCTCCACAAGGTGACGCCAGAGCACAAAAAAAAAAAAAAAGGTCCGTGAGTGGGTGTCGGCGGTTTAGCTTGAATGGATGAATGCTTATCGTTATCGTCCAGTCTCTGATAACGGTGTAATACCTTGCGTCTTTCCATCGTACACCGAACTGAAACCCGGTAGTTCAAGAAGCCCAGTAAGGTTCTAACCATGGAGTGACCAGCACCAGCTTGTACAATCAAGATGTCGGAATGCCGCCAAGAATAGACTATGTGTTGCTTCCCTGGGTGAATGATACCGCGCTGATCCGTCGCGCAGGAGGACAGCTGCCCATGATAGGACCAGTCCAGACGTCTTTTGAAATAGGCGGCCGCCGGCCGCAAGTCTCTTTCTTTCTGGGCGACGGAGCAGTTCAAGCTTCAACAAGCAACCGGCGCACCACGCCATTATGTCGGGCGGTCTGGGCAACCCCCACGCGAGCACCCGACGAGGCGATCCGAATTGGCTTTTCTCTTCTCCCCTTCATGATCCCGGCTGCTCGGGAGACAATTTGTTCAGGGACTGGGGGACTCGGGGACTCACCCAGGCACTGACACTGGACGAATCCTCGACGCCTCAGAAACGGTCAGAGCTGCTGGGAAAGAGGACGGGCTCGTCTCAAGTCATTTGCCTTTGCAGCGTTCGGCTCGATCAAAACCACCTCGAGATTATCTTTGGGCCTGGATCACGGACGCCAGTGCTGTCATGGTCGAGGCGACCAAGGTTTTTCGCTACCGCGGCTCCAATCGGCCAAGCGACGGCTGGTTGGTCAAGTTGCTCTGCTCTCCTCTTCGCCCGACTCGAGCTTCGAGGTTGGGTTCTGGGCGTACCGGTAGTCGGGCGGTGCCGAGGTAATCGACGTCATGGGTCATCATCGTGTCGCCCTGGCCACGCCCAAAACATCCTCTCGAGAAGCGAGCAACGGTTCTTGGCTTCGCCATCTCTCGCGTCCAACGAGAGTGCCCCATGCCCCCAAGCTACGAATGGGTGAACGGGAGGATGGGTGATGCCACAGAATGAATGGGTGGATGCATCGGATCCTTGGTTCTCACAATTCCGGTGCCTGGCTGCAAAGCCTAACCGGATTTGAACACGTCGAGAGCCGGACCGAGAAGCGCTGGCAGTTCAGGTGAAGTGCAGCGCACCTCTGGCATGAACTAGAGTGTCGATCGGGTGCCTATCCTCGCGTACCCAAGGCATCCCGGGGCTTATTATACGCTGATGGTGAGGTCAGGTGAGACAGGGTACCTGTGAGGTGTGAGTGAAAAGGTGAGAACGAGAACGAGAGTGAGAGTCAAAAGTGAGAGTGATTGAGAGACGATCGTCCAGTGTCGGTCGGCGTCAGCAGCAACCTCCAGACGCCGAGCGACGAGGTCGGTGTCAGTGTGGGCAGGTGTCCAGAGTGTGTCGTCTGGGGTTTCGCCCGCCCCAGCTTGCAACCTCCCCCTTCTTACTTCAGGAGCCGACCTGCTGTTTTTGGCAACCTCTGCTGGCACAATCGCCCACTCCTTCTCCTTCTTTTCTTCTTCTACTTCTTCCTCTCTGCTACGTCGTCGTTGGCTCTTCCTTGATCATTTCCCCCGAAGACAAACCCCCCTTGGGGTATCTATCGTATCTCGTTCTCATCGCATAAAAAATAAAATAAACCCCTCTCGCATATGCATCGCCAACATCGTCATCCTCAGCACGACATTATTATGTCATGATTGAGCTCCCCCGAGGCCCAACTGCCCAGACTCATAGGCAATCTTCAATTGTCTCGTTGCGGCACGCATTCCTGGCATTTGCCTTCAGTCTTATAACCTGGTCAGGGTACGGTTAGGTTTGGGCCAGTGTGTCCCCGACTCGCGCCCGTCTAGACATCTTGCGCCGGCAAAAGAACCCCAGGGCGTTCCCGCGCTTCTGCTTTTTCTTTTCTATCCCCCACAATCTGCACTCTGCGAAGTGGGTGCATCCCGGACATCTATCTGCAAGGGAAGCTTGCTGATCCAGCCGCGAATCTGCAGCTCGCCTTTTCTGCTTACCTTGACATTCGGCCGACCGGACCCGTCCAATTAAGACTCCCTGGCCCTACATACCTTACGTACCACCCGTTGTGATCAATTAGAAGGGGGGAACGAGCCTTGCGTGGGTGCCTTGTCTTAGGCCCGGAATACGCGGACTCACGAATCCGATCCCGCGTACTTCGTTCTCCGTATCCATTTCCCAACCACCAAGAAAACACCGCGCGCCGTGCGACTAGCCAACGACATTCGGGCGAACGCCATTCTCTTCTGGGGCGATACTCGCGCCGCGGCCTGTGGGACCGCTCCTCTTCGTTCCCATAAATTCGTATCGCAAACGACGGGAGCGAAGAGACTGTTCTAACCAGGCCTCACTTCCGCGGGGACCGCAACTTCGGCCGTCCACGAACTCCGGTCTCTCCGTTGGACTGTTGAAATCACTCCACCCACCGTCACCTCGGCCCCAATCCCATTTGTGAAGCTCGGGCCCTCGGATCGCTCGTATTACTACACCTTGGGTTGCCAAACCACCCATCGTCAGCCACTGCATCGCAAATCGGGGCCTAGCAACCTCTCAGCTTACCCGCGCTTATCTGGCGCGCGCGCGCAAACAAACCCGGAAGCACAAACGACCCCCAGTGTCTATACCTTTACCCACGGTTTCTCCCTTGCTGGTATCCGCATGATGGAAAATGTCGACTACTACGTCCGCCATAAAGTCCATGGACGCCGGTCGTCGCGATGACGGCCAGGATCCAACCCTACCGTCGCCGCCGCCGCCTCACGTCTCCGAGCCCCGACTCTCAACGCCCGTCAGCCACGAAGGCTCCTCGACCGCTCAGAAGTCGCCCGGCGGCTCAGAGTCTCACGGTACGTAGATATATGCGGATCGGCTTGCTCGCTTGCTTTGTTCGGGGAGGGGCCGTGAGGGCCACCTCATCTCCTCGGAATCGAGACTGGGGACGCCGACAGACCCTGAGTGGCGCAAACGGTGGATGCTAATCGTTCTGCAGGCACCAGTTTCCCGGCCTTTGCCAAGAAGACGCCCACGAAGCTCGTCCGAAGTACGACGCCCAACGCAAAGGATGTCAAGCCTGTCAAGGCCTCGCCCGCTGCCATCCAATCTCCCGCTGCAATCGACCCGCTATCACAGGTCCGTCGTCGCCATTGGCACTGACAGAAGGACTGAATGTCAATTGCTAACCTACTACAGCACATCTTGATTCGAACAAACACAGATCACACCGTTCCCCCTCAGCTTCGGAGACGTCCCGATAGCCCGATCCCGGACCCAGAACAACCTTCAAAGCTGCCACTACATCCTTTCGATGCCAACAAAGACAAAAGGTATGTTACGCACCCGTGCGGCTTCTCCATGCGGCTTTATCTGACAGTGGTATAGGAAAGGACCGTCGTTTCTGAGTCGATTGAGCATGCGAGGCGGACGGCGACGCGACGAGGACGAGGACTCCGTCTTCAGTGATCACCGAATCGATGGGACGAATGCCCAAGCATTTTCCTCGGCTATCGGCTCGGGATTCATCCCTCACCACAAGGAACCACCGAGATACATTCGGGTCAAGGCACACAATAAGAAAGCTCGCGAGTTCAATCGCATGTTCCTTGCCCAGGAGTTGGTGATCCCACCAACCAATTCCAATGGCGACAAGAGTACGACCGTGATAGTGTCGACTGATACCAGACGATTGAATAATAGCGGAGCCATCTGGGCTACTGAATTCAGTACGGATGGCAAGTACTTTGCCGTCGCGGGAAAAGATCAAGTCGTGAGAGTTTGGGCAGTGATATCGACGCATGAGGACCGACGGCGATACGAAGAGGAAGAAAATGCCAATGGAGACCATGGAGAAAGGCTAAGTGCGCCTGTTTTCCATAGCAAGCCAACACACGAATTTCACGGACACACCGGCGAAGTTCTTGACCTTAGCTGGAGCAAGAACAACTTCTTGTTGTCCTCGTCGATGGATAAGACAGTTCGTCTCTGGCACGTTAGTCGGAAGGAGTGTCTCTGCACTTTTAAGCACAAGGACTTTGTCACCTCGATTGCATTTCACCCCACCGACGACAGATTCTTCCTGGCGGGATCTCTAGACTCGACGTTACGTCTGTGGAGCATTCCGGACAAGGCAGTGGCCTACTCCATTCAGTTGTCCGATCTGATCACGGCGGTGGCCTTTTCGCCCGACGGCAAAACGGCCATTGCTGGGGCCTCTCGGGGATGTGCATGTTCCACGATACCGAGGGTCTCAAACAGACGACCCAGCTGCATGTTCGTTCATCCAGAGGCAAGAATGCCAAGGGTAGCAAAATCACCGGCATCAAGACGATGGTCATTGATGATGAGGTCAAGGTCTTGATCACGTCGAACGATTCGAGAGTTCGCATCTACAATCTGCGCGACAAGAGCCTGGAGTCCAAATTCAAGGGTTACGAGAACACCTGCAGTCAGATTCATGCCGATTTCAGCGACACCGGAGAGTGGATTGTCTCTGGAAGCGAAGATAAGAGAACGTACATCTGGTCGGTGGATTCTGTGGACTCGGAAAAAGATAAGCCATGCGAGTATTTCGATGCGCATTCTGATCGAGTATCGACGGCAGTGTTTGCGCCAACAAAGTCACGGCAGCTTCTCAGCGGCTCAGGGGATCCTCTCTACGACCTCTGCAATCCGCCGCCGGTAACTCTCATGAGCCTTGAAGAATCGATCGCTAGTCAGACGGGCAATTCTGACGAAGAGAAGCCGCAAATCAAGAAACCCGAGGAATCGCCAGCATACATTGAAAAGTCGAAGCATTTGGACGGGCAAATTCTGGTGACTACGGACCAGTCCGGTGTCATCAAGGTTTTCCGTCAAGACTGCGCATACATCAAACGCCGCCATGAAAACTGGGAAACTGGCTCGACATTCTCTCGTCGGCTGGGAGGCAGCGTTGTGGGACGTAGCGGAAGTGTAGCGACGCGCACAAGTGTTGGCAGCCACCCTCGTTCTCGTCGTGGATCAATATCACGCCTGGCCGCCCCTGGCGCTGCTCAGCTGAGCTCTGACATCAACACTTGGCGACACGGGATCGAAAATGGGCGCCCAAACTCCATGATCATCACTCCTTCGCAAAGCGAGCGCTCGCTGTCGCCTAGCAAGGCTTCGCAGACGCCCGTCAATTCAAGCGCCGCGAACCTTGCATCCGAGGCACGGAAACAACCGTATGGCGTGTCTTCGCCGCCGACACGTCCGCAACTTCCGGCTAGTCCCACGTCGAGCCGGGCCTCCCGCGACCGGGCGCCGTCCATTCCCCCGACCCCAAGCTTCTCATTTTTGTCAGCAGATGATGATGACAGTGACGAGCTGCGACTCGATCCCGCAGGAGCTAGCTATTCTTTCTGGAATCTGAACCGATGGAAGGGGATCTCGTCACTGAGGTCGTCCGTATCCTTCAGCAATGCCAATACATCACAGTCGCAAGTGGGACAGGGGCGAAATAGTATGAGCACAGCGGACACTACACAAACAAACGCCAGCAAGGGCACCAAGGCTTCTCGGCGCAAGAGCATCGGCACGGGAATATTTGACAAGGCCGTTGAGGAAGAACAGAACGGCATGACGAAGAACGTTGAGAAGACGACTGAAAAGGGCGAGATTGATGACCAGCTTTTGCGGCCCGTCGGCCGTGGTGCTGACGGTCAATTCCGGAACTCCGTGGTCAGTCGTTTGAGTTCAGAGTACACTAGTGACGATGGGGAGCAACCGTCCTGTCAGAAGTGCGCGAGCAAAGACTTCAAGGCCAAGAGGGTAGGCGGCAGACAGCGCCTCATTTGCGTAAAGTGCGGCAAACTTGTTGACGACGGCAAGTAATTATGAGACGAGAAGGTGGAAAGCCCCTTGTTTGGATGAGAGGGTCTTGTTTGATTGTTTGCGCAGCGCGATGGATTTGACGTTTTGGGCACAACATGACGAGACGCATATATCATGAACAAAGGATACCATATACCCCCACACAATAACGGCTGGAGAAAAAGATCAAGGATGACAGCATTTGTTCAAGTATACAGACACAAGGATCCGTTGTTGTTTTTTTGTTTTATTCTTATTCACCCTGCTTGGGTCATTCGTGGCAAGGGTTAGCGACGAGCAAATCGGCGTTTGGAAATACTTTGGGGCGCATAAAAAGTCCTCAATACACAGGGAAATGAACTTCATAATTGGTATCTATTTTAAAATCCACTAACAGTCCTTCGCTTTTGATGCAATAGTTTTGGTGACGATGAATGTGCTCAAAGATAGACAAGGAGCATCACCCCCTCAAGGACATTTTCCAGTCGGACCTTGCGCCAGTGTTGCCGCCGAGGGTGTAGCCGCCAGAGACGGTGGAACCGTTGTCTGGCTTAGCCTCCTTCTCTGCAGCGGCTTCTTTCCTCTTCCTCTCGGCCTCGGCCTTTTTCGCGGCCGTCTCGGCGGCCTTCTTCCTGGCAAGCCCGCCCAGCTCCTGGACGGTGGCCTGCAGGGCCCTAGGGTCGGCGCCGCGCACGACGCTCCGACCGCCGTTGTAGGGCTGGCCGTTCTCGAAGAACATGAAAGTCGGCATGGCCGTGACGCCGTAGCGGCGGGCGATGTCCTGGGCGGCGTCGACGTTGACCTTGACGAAGGCGAGGGAGCCCGGCTGGCCGTGGGCGTTAGAGAGGGACTCGTAAATGGGCTTGATTGCGTGGCATGGCCCGCACCAGTCTGCGTAGAAGTCGACGACGACGTATGTGTTTGCCGAGAGGAGATTCGTGAATTCCGCGAGAGATGCTGCTTGGAGGACGACCATTGTGGCGGAAGGCGGGCGTTTGATGATGAACAGACGGTGGTGAATGGGTGTGTGTGTGTGTGTGTGTCTTGAGTCTCAAGATGGCGTCTAAGTGGGTGGTTGTTTTGGTTGTTTGATGCTACTTGGGCGATGATTCTGTGTGCTTTGGACCGAGTTCTCAGGTATTTTATAAGTTGGTGGTGTTCAGCGACCGTCTTTGCGGTTCGCCTGATGCTTTGATGAGATGTCACTCGAATTTGTCAGAATGAGAATGAGGGCATTCAGCGACGGCGACGGTGATCTCGTCAGCTTCTTTCCAGCGGCAAAAAGGCGGGGTCATCCCCCCTCCGAGGAACCTTCCAGGTGTCCTGCAGCGTTGGCCGAGACTCTCTCGCGGGGAACGCGCAGGCCGCAGCGCTACGGTCGCCCCTGAGCCTTTGGGCCCATTGGTTGACTTACATCAGTAATCCACTCGCCTAATCGCGCGACAACTCGCCGAGGGAATGATTCCAGTTCCCCATCATTTGTCACCACCCATTTTACATCCGTCGCCGTCTTCGTCGACGCCGAAGTCGCCCACTGTTGCACGGCCTCCGCCGTCTTGCGGGCCATCTGCGTTTTGACAGTTTCCCCAAACGGCCGGCTGCATGCGCTTCAGATCGCTGACGCAACTCCGAGACGCAGGTCGCCGAACCGGCTTCGTCTGCATGCTGTCCAAGTCACTGGATCCAGGCAAATCCTTCGTCAAGTCTCCAGTGCGGCGCCCGGCCAGGTTTGGTTATTTGAAGACTGTCCTCTGTGTTCGCTACCGATTTCTCCGCGTCAGGTCAACCCAATGCTTCCACCGCTATCATCAGGCGCTCACACATCATTCTGATCCTCGCCGAGGCACTATCGAAAGGGAACCCCCACCGCTTCTTGCTCTGATCTGGTCACCCAATAACGACAGCTTTATCATGCCCTGCTGACCCGGACCTTACAGCCGCCTATACCGCGCGCCCATCACTCTTGTGGACGCTCGTGTTTCTCGGGGTTACGCGACATGGCCCGCACTGCCTTTGTGTCGAAAACAGCCCAAGTTTCTCAAGTCAAGGTGCCGCTTGTAGCTGTTCTGTCCCGGCGTCTCCCTGAGGAAGCCAGTACGATCTCTAGCCACCCAGCCGGTCTGTGGTCGGCCATCGAGTGATATGGACACAAAATTTGTCCACCTCTGGCTCACTACCTAGCTGTTCAACTGCCCTTGTCGGCTGGGTAGAAAACATGTCTGGGGGTCTTCAAGACTATCCACCAATGACCCCTCATCCACCCTTTGTCACTGCATCAGATAACCCCATTGAAGTGTCTCGCAAAGTCGCAATCTCCAACCCTCAACGCGCCTGACGCCCGCTCCCCGCTACACCGTACTCCCACCCCGATCTACGGCTCTCACCGCCCCTCCAGTTGGCTCTTCACACCTCCTCGACCCCCGCCGGCGGCTATCAAGCGCGGAGGTTCCCAAGGACATCCATGTTTCCTCCAGGGATACCGGGGATATCTCTCGTGTGGTGTCGACCGTCTTCGGTCTAGCCTTGGACTGACCCTGCAGGTACCAGTCCTCCCAAGTAGACTGCTTCCAGAACACCAGGCTGCCTGGGCAGAGTTTGAAGCGCTTCGTGCTGACGGCCGAAGCTCATTCGATGGAAAAGTGAGACTGGTAACTTTTGGCCTCGCCGGCCCCCACCCTCATAGACAGAGGGCTGGTTTGAGCCTCAGGGGTAGACGTCCGGCCTCTCATGACGGTCTTTATACACCGTCGATCGTCCATCTATCAGACCAAGCGCCGGCGATGCGCGTGTCGCCGTATGTATTCTGTAGATCGAATCCTGTGACCCTATGAATGGCTGAAGCCGGTCTGGTTGTCGGCACGGTGACACGTTCTGGCATCTCGAGCCTCAGGGGTCCTCTGTTTCATGGTCTCGAAGCATCCATCTTCGGGTCGACTCTTGCAATGTGAACTGTTGGAGGGGTCGCAAACCGGGCAGACCACGCCCGGATAAACCTTCAGATGAGTCCCAGTGGCTCATTGAGTGATGACTCTGCTGTGAGGAGACTAGAAATGACGGTCGAATGATATGGCCGTCGTCCGAGATGGTCCATATAAAAAGCTTCGCCTTTGCTCCGTATGTCGAGTTGATGTTCATTATGAACTCTCATTCGCATTATTCCTTTTCGAATACTCGTTTGAGATGGCCGATTATACATCATTCAACTTTGGCTTCGAGCTTGAGCTGTCTCTCAACAGCAGCAAAAAGCACAAAACGTGGCTGTCCATGGCTCAGGACACCGGCGCTCGCCTGGCCAAGAAGGGGGTCAACAACCACGTCAAGGAGAAGGTGGACGGGAACTACCGCAAATGGTCCATTGTTCAAGAGATCACGATCCCTCAGAATCCTGCCAAAAACAACTGTTAGTACGCGGAACCAGCAGAGGAACTGATACACGAGTGCTGACAATACCAACTCAGGGGCGCTCGAGCTAGTGTCTCCTGTTTTCGGGCTGGACTCTCCCTGGCTAAGCGACATCGATCACATCTTCTCCGCCGTCAAAAAGCACTCGTCTATCCAAAAGGTTCCCCAGTGCAGCACGCATGTCCACGTCAGCCAGGCCGACCAAGACTTCACCCCGTCGCAGCTGGCTTGCCTGGGAAAGGCGATCCTTACTTACGAGAACTGCCTCGACTCCCTGGTGCCCAAAGATAGGGCATCCGCCTACTGGTGTCAAAGCAACCGCCGAAACCCTGTGCTGTCCCGCTGCCAAACTCTTGAAGAGTGTCTTGACCTCCTCGATGTGGCATCACAGCAAGGCACGACCGCCGTCGTCGAGGCCATGTGTCTGTTCCCAGCCTCGAGCGCCTACGGACGCGCCCACGGACGGAAGAAGGACTTTGTCCACGGCAAGGTCTACAAGTGGAACTTTGCACGCCTGCTGGGGCACGACAACAGCCGGACCATTGAGTTTCGGCAGCCCTCTGGCAGTACCTCTATGGAAGACGCCGTCGGATGGGTCTTGCTGACGTTAACGTTCGTGGCGGGGGCGACTGGAGGCGGTAATTGTATCGGGTCGCTGGAGTCTGGCGGCGACGACCGACTGGAGTTTTGGCATCTCCTGTGCCACGGCGCGGGTGTCCTCGGGCTCGATCCGTTCTTGCTTGATGTATTGAGTAACTTTATGAGTCAGAATTCAGTTTGATCAACTTGATTCTCCCTCCCTTGGCGATCAAGTTACGGAATTGTCTTGACTCAATTGTTTGGATCGCTCTTGGCTCTTCGATCTATCCTTAAATCGCTTCACATACACGCCAAGTTACTTATTCTGTTGGTGTGAACATTATCTCAAGAAAGGGTTCGATTTGACGTTAGGTGATCACGATTTCACACCTTCCATTGCCACGGGCCTCATCTGGCGGCCACATCCGGCCCGGAAGCTTGGCCTCCGCAAAAGCCCACTTCGTGCCGGCATCTGGACGCGCTCCGCACAACTGACTCTCCCCTTTTGGGGTCTGGTTCGAGTCCGGGCCTCGCTTCCAGGTTGACCACCATCCTGCAATATTTATTTAATATACTTGGAACGCCACTTTTCCAGACAGATTGGATGGAAGCTTGTGCTCCCCGTCGGCCATGGCTGATTTCCATGACTTCCCACTGTAGGAACCAAACTCCAGTACCATGACGGAAGGGGACACCTCCGCCTAGCTGGCTCAGCTGACGGGGATTTCGGGAGCCAATACAACGTGGAAATGTGCCTTCTTGGCAACGGTTAGGTATATAAATGCCCGAACTTGGCGTCGAATCTGTTTGGCTGCCAAGTCTCCCGTAGATCTAGGAACCCACTGTCAAACAAAACATCCCGCCCTTGACCAAGATGGGCTTGCTGAGTGTGTTGGCCACTGGCCTTTCGACGACACTCCTCTTCGGCTCTGTTGCGGCCCAAAGCACGGTTCCTGCCTGGGGACAATGTAAGTCATGCGCGGTATGCCTCGTTGAGATCCCTCGATCCTGACTCTGCCGCAGGCGGTGGTAATGGTTGGAGCGGTGGCACCACTTGCGTGAGCGGCTACACCTGCTCAGTCCTCAAGTACGACGACCCCAACAACGTGATCACAAGACACTCGCTGACCCTATGAAAGCCCCTATTACCATCAGTGTATCCCGGGATCCAGCACTCCGACAACCACTTCCGCCAGACCCATATCCACGTCAACCACGCCCATCGCAACAGCCACCAACACCCAGACAACTCCTCGCGCATCGACCACCCTCGTGACTGTAACCACCACGGCGGCAGGCGGCGGCGGCACCGTTCCCACAACTCTCGTCTCGGGATGGTCCTGGATCCGCGCCGTCGCCTCGCCCAATTTCCACAGCTACCTCCAGGCCAAGCCCACCGGCACGCCCAGCAAAGCCTACCTCGAGGCCCCCAGCGGCGCCGGCCAGTTCAAGATCGATGCCGGCCAGCTGGTTCACCTGACCGGGTCGGCCTCGCTGTACCTCAACGTCGAGAACCCGACGGATAAGACGCAGCGGAAACTCGAGACGTGGTTCAGCACGAGCAAAAACACATACGGCACCTTCGCCTTCCAGGGCGACACCCTCACGTGGAGCACACCGGACATCAACCGCCCGAACCTGGCTGCGTGGCTCGTCTGCGAGAACCAAGAGGTCTTTATAAACACGGGGGCATACCTGTATCAAACGCCTGCTGGATGCTTTGACCAGACTGTGAGTAGTGCCCGGCCGTTTCTTCCTTGTCCGGTACTGACGGAGCATAGATACACTCATATGGAGGGTCCACGGCCGACCTCTGAGGTTATATTGTTCTCATTATTATCTGTTTTATCAGAAATTCCACGCTTCAATACACTTTCATCTTGGCACAAACCATCTATATCGACCCCTTTCTACCAAACCTCGACGATATCAGCCTCTCACATGTGAACTCCCTCCATGCCTCTCTTCTCTCCTGGCTGAGTTGAGCTCATCGTAGTCTCGAGAGTAAATTCGCGCGGGCCCACGTATTCCTGCACTTTGCTCCCGTCCTGCAGCGTCCACTCCTTGAACCACGACTGGTACATGTGCACCCCGCCGTACAGGTGGCCGTGGCCCGTGAATTGCCACCAGACGTTGAAGTGCATCATCCCGGTGCCCGTGGGCTCGAGGCTCCACTTGATGGCATTGCTCACGGACGTGGCGTTTCTGCACGCCGTCTTCTCGATCGTGGGCACCTTGGGCCCGCTGTTGGTAGCGATGGAACACTCGGCAAAGGCGGCCCCGGGGGTTACCTGAACGGCGAACCTGACGCTGAGAGGATGCACGTTAGAGCCGCTGCAGGTTGACAGTCGCGAGCTGGTGCTTACTAGTTCCAATCCGAGTGCGCTTGGCCTCCGGCGTAGAGCTTTTCGACTTTGAAGACTGCTGCGGTGCTCGTGGCTTCATTTGCAGCGCGTTTTGAGGGTTGTTCAGGGTCGAACTCTGCGGCGATGTCGGGGGATGGGTGAGGGGCTCCGAGGGCCACGGAGCAGAAGAGAACAAGACTTGTGAGGAATCGCATGTTGTACACCTGACGGCAGCAGTTCCGATGTGAAGAACTCGGTTGAGATTCTAGTTTTTCGGGTATCAGTTGAGCGAGAACAGTCGCCCTTTTATCCCCAACATACCTCAGACCATGCCCCTTACTTCCCGTCATACTTGGAAACGCCTTGTGATAATAATAAGAGCCTCAAAGAATTGTGCGAAAATACAACCGTGTTGGGATATCGCCGATGGGATGCCGCACATATTTCATTGTCATCCAGCGGACGCCTTCCGATGTTCTCAATCGGCTAGGCAGCCTTGCTGTAGCTCCTGAATTAGACCATCCAAGTGACCAACGGGTAAGACCTGGACGCGCAAACATTTGACATGCGAGCCCGTTATACGAGGCCGTTGCAGTAACTTGGTGCAACCAAGCAAGCGAGCAGAAGACCTGCCAATCGGCTTTTTCTCCCGGTAGGTTGAACACGCCCAGAAATCAATATTCGCATCCACGTGTTGCAAACCAGCCCAAACTCGGCATTTCCCAAGAAGTAGCACGCATAATCATCCGAAATTCATTGACAAACAAAAGTTGGTATCCCATTTACTTTTAACTAACCCCGTGTCTAAACGCTAATTGTGCGGAAGATGCTAAACTCGTCACCCGTGGCCACCAGGCTGCCAGTGATCTGGGGGTGCCAGTGCAGCTCCTTGACGTTGGACAGGTAGTGCACGAACAGCAGCTGAGGCGGCACGTCCTTGACGCCGCCGGTGTCCTTGCTCTCCTCGTCATCGAGCTCGACCGCCAAGTCCCACAGGGTAACGGTGCTGTCGCCCGCCGCGACGGCGATGATGCTGTCGTCTGTGGGGTGCCACTCGATGCTCGTGATCTGCTCCTTGTGGTAGTTGAAGCTGGCAATCGGCGACGGTTTGTCCGAGAGCGAGGTCGAGCTCTGCTTCCACTGGCGCAGGTCCCAGACGGCGAACTCGCCGTCGTCCGCACCCGAGGCGAGCAGGTGCGTCGTGAGGGGCGACCACGACATGACGTTGACGTCGGTCGAGCTGACCTGCATGGACAACGCGGGCTTTCTGCTCTTGCTACGAACGTCCCAAACACGGATCGTGCCGTCGCTCGAGGCGGACGAGAAGACGAATTGCTCGGACGGACTCCAGAGGATCTCCTCGACACTGCTGGTGTGGCCTTGGAATGGCCGGTTGTCGGTGACGAATCCACCGCCGTCGGTGCGCGTTGTGAGGTAGATCAGGCCATCATTGTCGCCGGTAAGGAGCTTTCCACCGGGAACAAGAGGGGACCAGTCCAGGGCGTAACCTTCCGACTTGTGGGCGCGAATGGTCGATACCGGCTTGTTTTGTTGGGCGGAGATGACGGTGCCCGGGTTGTCGAAGGAGTAGATATGGGGGGTAATGTCGTGAATGAAAACGTTGGAGGACTCGGTCATGGTCGCCGTGAGGGTGGTCGGGGGTCGGGAGGCGTCTTGCGACGGGATTTGGTGGGCGCGGATTCGGTTCGTGGTCGAGTTCAGGGGGATGGCCTTGTGCTCCAGAATGGGGTCGGCATCCTCGTCATCGTCGTCTTCGTCGTCATCAGAGTCCTCTTCGCCCTTCTCCATGCGGCTCAGGCCGCTGAACTTCATAACCATCAGCTGGTTGTCGCCGGCCCTGGCGTTCTCTGCCTGTGTGCCGGCCACCGTGTACATGGTGGCGGGGTAAACCTTGCGGTTGTCGCCGAGGCTGTCGCGGAGGATATCGAACGACAAGCAGGGCCACGGTGTGCTGATGTTGTGCAGCATTTCATATGTCGAAACATCGGGCGCGAGTGTCTGGCCGGCTTCAAGCTTGTTTCGTCCAACGATGAAGGTGCCTTGGTCAACCGCGGCTGGTGCCGTCAGCTTTGTGCGCAACCACATTTCAATGCCACATTTTACGTACCTTCCTTCTCCTCGGCCTCTCTCTCCGCATCAGGCCGTCCGTCAACACCAGCCTCCATGATCTCGTCCTCCTCGAACTCGTCCTCGAATTCGTCTTCAAACTCGCCCATGCCAGGGTCCTTCTCGTCAATTTCCATGCCCTCAGGGCGGTCGCCGCCCTTCAAGGGGGCGTCGCCCATTTCAATATCGGCGGAGCGTTTCGACATGGTTTCGGTGGTTTGGTGTTGCAAATCTAAAAGAATACCATGAAAGAGCTGCCCAAATCTTGCTGCGACCTGCGAAAATGGTGGTGCTGCAGAAAAAAAAATTAAGGCCCCGCGATTTGTGGCTTGACAGGTACCCCGCGTGGCGCTCCACTTCAATGATCGGCGACAGGGGCCGTTGAAGTGTGGCTCAACTCATGGATCATGTGATCTCGTATCTGCGTCGCGTCGCCTTCTTTTCCAGACGCATTTGGGTCGGTGTTGATTGCCCCGCCACGCCCGATAACAACCTTGAACTCGCGACTCCCTCCGATCTGTCCGACTGTCGCTCCCTTCACTGGCGATCTGCGCCGACGCCGTTGATCTCGACGATGTCTTCGAGAAGAGCATCGTCACCATGGCGCCACAGCAGAATACCTTCGCTGTCATCCCAGCCGCCCCCGGTCGCGTTGGCGGCGCCCCAAGCAAACCCCCGATGACCTCGAAGCAGGCCCAGAAGCTCTACAAGCAAGCAAATAAGGAGCCGCGACGGTCCAAGGCAGAACAGCGGAAATGGGAAAAGGAGAGACAAGAGGAGATCCGCAAGGAGCTGGAGAAGGAGCGCGCCGCAGTCAAGGCCAGGGCGGCGCGAGAGCGAAAGAAGGCCAAGGAGGAGGAAGCACGCGAGAACCGACGGAGGGCTGGACAGCCATTGTTCGCCTGCCGACCGAGCCAAGATACGATTGCTCGATTTGTGCGCGGGAATGGCACGAGCCGGAAGAGAGACTCATCAGGAGAACCGATACCGAAAGACGAAGAGACTCCCGCAAGTTCACCCGAGAGCAAACCAAGGCCCCCGCCAGCATCGCTGGCCGCGAAAACCGCGTCGTCCTCGTCGTCACTTCAGTCTGTGCCTTCTGAGGACCGCAAATCCCCTGCTACCTCCATGGCGCCACCGCCTCGTCCCTCGCAGACGTCTAGGAGAGTCGGTCAGCCTCCGCAATCCGCGTCCAACCCGCCGAACCAATTTCCATCCGTTGTCATGCCTCTACCGCCCAAGCTACCGCCAAGGGATGGCCCTACTGTGCTGCCACTAGCCTTACCAACATTCGCAAACCCTTCGGACACTACAATGGACAAAATTTTGGCTGCTCCGGTGCCCATGGGGCCTCCGCCCCGGCCACCGTCGAAGTCGAAATCAAAGCCTTTCATGATGCCACGAGTAGCCTTGCCAGTCCATCAACCACCTCGGCACAAGATTTTCAAGCACAATCACCCTTCTGACCAGTCTACTCATCCACCGTCGGATTTGCCACCACCCAAAAAAGCATCATCCAAGCCAGCACCGCTGAGACCATCGCTGCAAATGGCCCCCCCCACGCGCCATCACAACCACCCCCGTCAAAGCCTCCAGTTGCGATGCCTCCACCGAAGACGCCTATTTTAAGGATGTCTACCTCACAGAAGCCGTCGGTGCAAATGCCACCACCGCCGAGACCGCAACCTCAAGCGCCTCCGCCAAGCACACAAGCTATTGTGCAAGATTGTTTTGACGACTTTTTCCCAACAGCTTCACAGCTAGCTATGGAGCTCAAGGAAGATAGTGATTCGGATACTCAATCTGAGAAGGCCTTGAAGCACCAGCTAAGTGACACAGTGTCAGCCAAAGCTACCGTTGGTGAATTTGCAGAATGTCAAAGCGGGATAAAGAACGTTAGGGAACAAAACCGAGCTGCAGACAACGGCTGCAGAAAGCCGCATAGCGAGACTGAGGATATTATGGCCACACATCGTCGTCAACCTTTGAGTGCTGGCCCCATGCATCAAACCCCTCCCGCACCGGCAGGGGGTTCAGCACGAAGCCGAGCATCAACAAAGACACGTCAACAGCTTCAGGGGCTCAAGCATAAGCCGCACCGGCAAGAAATGCAATCACAAGGAGTGAGCACTCCTTCAAGGGTCTCGGGCACCCATTCTACCAACCGCCAATCAACTGCCACAGCGAGAACAATGTCACCACCAACGACACCTCGTGCTCCGACGTTCCCTAGTCACCAACACCGGCCCGCGAAGCGCGGCATTTTGCAGGAAATTAGCAGCAACCACAGTCCAGCGCCAAAACCTGCGGCCACGGCAGCGAAACCACAGCCACCAACTCACTTTGACGACTTTTTCCCATTGATCTGCACTCAGGACTTGATGATGTCGTCCCAAGAGGTACTGGACATAGAAACCCCAGCCAAGAGCATGTCGCAGTCGTCCTCTGGACAGTTGGCTTCGAAACCGTTGCCTCTCGTCGAGATGGATCTGGCCGCCATTGACTGGGATGACGATTTAGATGACTTTTGATGCATTAGGGGGGGGCATTGGGGGAATTACTGCATAGCATTTCTTAGCGCAAGACTGCATTGTTCCGCGGAGTAAAGACACAACAGGAGTCAGCATTGGGAAGCTTCATCTGGAATTAGTATACCCTAGATCATCACCACAGCATTCAGGGGCTTCCCCTGTCGTCCAAGACGGCTCGTTAGAGGATAGGCATAAGAGGCATGACGGTATGATGACGAGCAATTGAGTATTTATTCGGCAAGAAGTCTCTATACAGGGGGCTCAGCAGCAACTCTACGGCCCTAAACCTATGTTATGTCGTCGTGTTCTTGAAACATGTACAATCCGAATCTCAATACAGAGAATAACTAACGTAATCTCTCGCTGACTCTTTCTGGCTCTCGCAGGACTCTTCCGCTTCGAGCCCTTCGATACAGAGTAAAACAAAGCAATCCTATACCGTTACCATGGGAATCTCCGACCGTACGATGCCGTCCCGCCCCTAAACGCCAAGCCGATGCTTCCCACTTATCCGGGTGACGCCGATATCCGTCCGTGGCTCCTCGAGAGCCATCACTCAAAGGTAGATTCCGACCCAGCCCGTCTTATTTGTAGCTTGCGTCTCGCAGCCGTCCACCGCGCAGATTATCTTGCTGTCTGGGTCACGCCGAAACCCGGTGTTGGGACGTTTGGCCGCTGGCTTGCGGTTCTCAAAACAGTCCTCGCAGTAAACCTGGTCCACCGTGAGCACCAAAGTTAATGTTGTTATCTGGGGAGGCACAACTTACATGCCCGCATCCCTTGAGAGCCCAAAAGTGGTGCTCACTACGCTGGCGCTTGCCTTTGCGCGTGGGATGGCTCTCGCTCATGGGAACATCGGGATCATAGGCCAGCTCCTCGTTGCAAGCCGGACATATCACAACAAGGTCAGAACCGGTGTCTCTGGTGAAGCCTGACTTGGCTGGCGGCGGAGCTTGGTGGACCGGCTTTGGTGATTCAGCACGGTCGAAAGCGCCATGCTCGTACTGAAGCTGGATGTTTCCCAGTGGGTTATTAAGGTCGCCACCTTGGTTGATCCTGTTGTGCAAGATGCCAAGAAGTTGTACCTCGTCCTCAGGGCCAGGGAAAAGTCGAAAGGGATAAAGATGGCGACGTATTCCCGCTGCTAGTCCGCTAAGTGCGTTACTTGAGTTGTACATGCCAAACGTTCCTGGTTGTCGGGTTCGCTCACGATGCCGAGGCGCTGGAGGAGGTAATACGGGTGCATGCCTGCGCGGAACTTCAGGAGAGTCATCAGTAAGGTCGATGACTGGCGCGTTGCCGGCAAGGATACTGCTGTCGCTGCGCGCAAACGCCGGCGGGTTTCTGCCCTGAGAATTCTGTCTCCTTGGATTTGCCGCAGGGCGAGACGCATGAGTTTGCACAGGGCTGTCGGGTTCGTTTGTGAGATCGATAATGTCGGCATTGCCGTTTTGGTTGTTGTGGTTGTTCTGGGATCTTCTTTCGGGTCTTCCCTGCCCTTGCTGGAAATACAGCTCCAAATCAACCAAGACATCCGCCGGACTGTCGCGGTTTGCTGTGCCGTCCTGACGCAGCCCGACCATGCTTCCGTCACGATTGCCCGCGCGTGGCGGTCGTTGCTCGCGTAATTGTGGCAACTGGTCCATTTCGGCCAGAAGTGCAAGCTCGAGTTCGTCGGCGAGATCGGGGGAAAATGGGTCTTCAAATAAGGGCTCGTGTGCGGCGATCTCGTCCGACATGGAAGACTCTGAATCAGAGTCTGAAGGCGGCGACGGTGACTGCGAGGCAGATTCCGGGTCCCAATCCTGCTGTGCGTCTGCTTCGGAGTCGAATGTACTTGAGCGATGGTCAAGGACGTCGGAAGAATAGTCCGGGTTTTGGTGACCCGCTGCGTGGTAGATAGGCTCGTGATCGAGCTCGCCCCAAACGTCTGAGTCGTCTGAATCGATCGAGGGAGAAGAAGGCGTCGAGGGGAGTAGATGGGTCGGAGATGCAGGTGCGTTTGAAGTGGTTGATACTGAGTGCGAAGATTGAATGGATGGCGAACTCGATATCGACGGAGAAGATGGTGGAGAAGCTGAGCTCATGTTCTGCCAAAGGAGCCAATATGGGTTGGCGCTGGAGAAATGGTGAGCTCAAATCCGAGCATTCTAGGCAGCATGAGGTGAGGTGTCCACGAACAAACCGTCTGTCCCTCGAGAGTCTTGTGTTCGTCGGGAAAGGTCGAGATCTTAACCCCGAGTGGGTAGTACCGGGGATAAACAGGGTAGGAGTGAATCTCCTACGACGGACACGAAGGTGAAGCGACCATCCCGTGAGAATATGGGTGGCGCACGATCGGGTTGACGGAAGGTAAAGGTTTGCGGGGCGCTGAGCGGGCAGGAAAAGGCCGTTCGTTTGGACTTACCCCGTGAGGTGGTGGTGTAGGTAGTTAGTGGCGGTTGAAGGTAGGGTGAAGCACGACCCAGGCCACCACGGCGGAATGAACGACGGTTTGGGCGCTCCAGCCTTAGATAAGCCCGCACAGTGCAGGGGCAATTACGCCGATAAGCAAAAGCCCCTCTGGACTTACAGGAAACCCCAGGAGCCATGTCGCTAAGCGCAACAAACCCTGCTTCCCTGACGGTGTAAAGTGGACTTTTGTTCACAGTGCTTATGTCATAGTCGCAAATCGCGACGGAAAAAGTTACGATGCACCTCGCCATCGCTTCACCGTGCCTCACCGAGGTCCAAGGTGAACATAAGGTGGGCCACTGATCCGGTCAATGCCCACAGCACACGCTCCCAACACGGTTGCAATTGATCTCGCAGCATGAGTTATCAAAGCGTTGTATGCGTACAACAATTGTGAGCCCAAGACATTGGATATCATTTTGATAGACTCTTCCGCCCCTTTTGCGTATAATACAAATGACAGACCCAGCAGACCCAGACCTGCTTACTCCTGCTTGACTCCAAACACTGAAACAACGCCCTCCTCGTTGACGGCAACCAACTGCTTGGCACCAGGTCCCCACTGGACCGACAGCGCCGCAACCGAGGTTCTCAGGGGCTCCGACCACGACTTGGAGCTCTTGGTGTACTGCTGCACCGTGATGCCGCCAGCACCCGCAGTGGCAAGGTATTGTCCGGTGTAGTCCCAGGCCAGAGACTGAACTGGTCCACCGGTCTCGAGTGTCTTGACTCTAGCCGCATCTCCCTCCTTGCGTAGGTCGAAGATGGTGACCGAGCTCTGACCCTTGGCTGTTGCCGCAAGCCAGAACCCGTTTTCTGAGAAGGTCAGAGCCTCGACGGGTGCACCGAGGTTGAAGACGGCTGCGACCTCCAAGCTGGTCGTCATGAACAGCTTGATGTCGCCCGTGGCTGTGCCAGCCGCAAAGAGGTGGCCGTCGGGGTGGAAGGCCGAAGACGTCAGGGCTGAACAAGTTAGCAGCTGTAGAGGCGGTGTTACAAGGCATTGACAACTTACCAGCATCAGCATATGCGCGGCTAACCCTCTTCAGGGCATTGAGGTCGTAAAACACAATGCTCTTGTCTGAACCGACAGACGCGAGCAGGTCGCCAGTGGGGTGAACACTCAAGGACGTGGCAGGTCCCGCATGCTCAGAAACCGACGCAATCTCGCTGCCGCCCTCGAAGACCTTGACGGTTCCCTTGCTCGTGGCAAAAACCAGCTTGCTACCCGTCCACACGGAGTCGATGACCGGCTCATTGACCGCAACTTGACGCTCGACTTGGTCTGCCTCAACCGAGTATATCGCAGCATCTCCACCCCGGCCGCCGACTGCTGCATAGGCTCCCTCGAGCGCAAGAGACGAGGCGTTGGAGACCGGTACCGATGTCGAAGCCACGGTGGCCAGCGAGGCAATGTCTTCGGAGGTAGCCCAACCTTCGGGGACTGGGCGCTTCTTTCGACCCTTGGAAAGTCTGCAATGTGTTAGTGCATTGATCCAGCATGCCGCTTCTTCAATCTCGACTCACTCTTGGTGCTTTGCATTGACCTTGTCAATCCACTCCTCGGGAAGACCCTCGGCCGAGTCGATAGCCATCGCATCCCCATTTGTCGCTCCGGCAGTAACGCTGACCTTGGAGAGTGCCTCTCTGGCTTCGTCACGCTCCTTTGTCAAACGCGCAATCACTCTGACAGCAGCATCGTGCTGGTACAGGGCTGTTGCCAGCTCTTCCCGTGTCCTCGCGAGCTGCTCTTTCAGATTGAACGTCTCAAGGGCGAGGGCGTCCCACTCGTTTTGGAAAGTCGCAAGTAGGGCCGGAATCGAGGTGAGGGTTGGGGGTCTAGGTCGAACAATGTGGGACTGAGTCAAAGGCAGGAGGTCATCGGTCGTGAGAGCTTCGCCAGTTACAGGCTCGGTGCCGTTCTCCTCAATGTATTTCTCGATCAAGCGCTTCTCGAAGATGGTGCCTAGTCACCATTAGCTTGACAACTCTGCCACCTGGGCGCAAGACACTTACCCGACTTCTTCGAGGCGACGGGCTCCTGTGGAGCTTCTCCAGAGACTGGGAACCTTGTCAGCAACGCCAAAATTCAATGCGACCAATTCGAACTTACTTGCGCACAGCATGGTCCCAAATGTCGCGGTATGAATGGACGTCTGGATGATTCGTTCGCGTCGACTTTTGCCTTTCAAAACAAATCTTCAGCCTTGCTGCAGGCGCCTGCCAAACGGGTGGGCCTCCAGCTCGAAAGCACGAGCCACTTCATCACGTGTGGCTGGCTTATCCAGGAAAGCTATGGATCGTATCATTATCTTATCTTATTATCGCGATATGATATCACGCCGAGGTCCAGCAACAGCACCTTACCTTAAACATCCACCTACATTAAGTGCGCGATATCTGAGGGAAATTTGCTTAAGAAAAGCCATTCTTGTGCCTCTTGTTTTCATATTAAGTGTAACCGCACTAGCATTTGAAAATGGCATCTTTGCCCGATATTAGCGCTCTCAACAAGTTGTCTGCTGAAGAGCAGACCAGGGTCCTCGATGCCCTCTTTGAGCCGAGTCCCGCGATCCATGCACTTATCCTGCCCTCCATCTCGGCTGCTTCATTTCAATCTTATGACGAATTTATCACACATTGCCACAAGATCTTCGAAGCACTCACGGCTGACCCGTCTCACAAGGCGGAGCTTCACTCCATCATCGGCTCACATCCTCGCCTCGGTGCCAAGAAGGTAGAGAGTGCTCAGTCCGCTGCAGAGCAGGCGCAGCTACAAAGCGGTGATGCTACCGAATTGGCTGCTCTGAACGCCAAGTACGAGGCGAAGTTCCCGGGTCTGCGTTATGTTGTGTTTGTCAACGGCAGAGGACGTCCAGAGATCATGGAGAACATGCGCGAACGTATCTCACGCGGTGACTTGGCAGCGGAGGAGCGTGCTGCTGTCCAAGTAAGGAAGCTGTCCTGTCTCGGAGTCTTTTGGCTAACGTAACAATAGGCCATGTGCGACATTGCTAGAGATAGAGCTGCCAAGCTTCAGGCCGTTTCGCGATGAAAGATTTGGATGAAGATTGTACAAGGCGTAGGTGTGGTCGCAGAAACATGTGCCTCCCAAAGCGCTCACCAGGGTCCAGAGACATCTCCCTTCGACTAAACTTCGTCAAAAGCGATAAACTTGACAACCAGGTGCTGAACTCCTAGTTTGGGAAGAGTCGATCTGTAACCCGCGGTTAAGCATATGCGAACTCGACATCAAAACCCTTCTAAGCCTGTAACATTGCATCAAGTCTAGCATGTCTATGAGAAACCATCTTACACGTCATGAACCCATTACAATTTCGCACTCTCCTCGATCAACCTCAACAGCCTTCCGACGCGCTCGGCCTCGCGGTAGCCACTGATAACCGCGCCAGCAACACTTCCGCGGTTTTCCATCTCAGTGTGCTCGCCGGCAAATCCAAGCTTGCCGTCCCAGACGGGCCTGCTCAGTTCCTTGAAGTCGAGAGGGCTTCGCTCGCCATTGTTCGAGACGATGGATGGGGTCGTCGTGGCACCGCGCGAAAATTCATCTGTCAACCAGTTCGTCAAGTTGGTCTCGACCGGTTCCGGAGGCTGGGAGGAAGGCTTGAAACGGGAGACGAGGAACTTGTGGTAGGCTGCGGCAACTTCCTTGGGGTCGAAGCGAAGAAGGGCGGTGGCAGGGGTTTCAGAAAGATACGTTAGGAGGGTCGGGCTCGCGCCAGGGAGGGACGGGCTGGCGAAGTTGGCGCAGACCAAGGTAGATGCCTCAAAGATCTCGGTAGGCGCCGAGGTCTCGGTGACGGGCTTTGTAGAGGTAGGCAAGAAAGTGTATGAGCCCGCCTTATCGGCCTCTGGCCACCAGGCTGTCGGGTACTGAAGCAGGAGCTTCTCCAACACCCCGACATGAGTGCCCTTGATCGCCTCCTGCAAGCGAGGAGGAAGGGCAGGGTTGAAGGTGCTCTCCGGGAGAGCCTTGAGGGTGCCAAGTGGGATAGTGGAAATGGCGGTCTTCGCGGTGAACTTGTTGCCCTGGGCATCGGTCACAATGACTCCGTCCTCGCTCTGTGACACACCAGCAATCTTGGTGCTCAGCTTCACCTCGGCGCCCTTTGCCTTGGCATCGTCGACGACCTTGTTGACCAAGGCCTCGTATCCTCCCTCGGGGGCAGCATCAGAGCCGGCGAAGGCGGTCGCAGTCTCCCATCCTGACCACTTCAAAGATGCTTTCTCGAGCTTGAGCCCCAAAGGGATCTCCAGGGACCGAGCAAGTGCGATGGCCAAGTCTTTGTGGTCCGATGCAACCAGTGCTGATTTATCGGCGAAGAGGGCGGATGCAAGTGAAACATCGGGCGGGGGAGATGGGTGAGGAAGCTTAGCAGACGCATGCGCAGCCCCCAGGGACGCGCGAAGACCGTCAGCCTCGGAGCTGGTGAGACGGCCTGATGATGCCTATTAGTTCACAGGTTGACATCAAGGATGAAGGGAGCTACGCACCGTCCGGGCCGTAAACCACACCTTCGGCGGCTTTGGGCAGATGCGCGACCTAGCCCCAACTCATTAGCCTAAACTCATACTCACACAGCAATCACAGAGCATCTCAAACTTACAACACCAAGGTCTTGTGCGATATATCTAGCAGGGTTGCCCTCCTTGTAACCGTGGATCCAGCTGCATCCCACGTCAACCTTGACGTCCCCCTTCACCCATGTATTTGCACGTCCTCCGACTCTGTCTCTAGCCTCTAGCACCAACACCTTGCGGCCCTTGCTCGCAAGTTCACGCGCAGCGACGGCACCGGACCAACCAGCCCCGATGATGATTGTGTCCAAAACTTGATTCGTCGCCATGATGCAGCGTTTGAACATGTGTAATGGTATGAGGTCCAAAAAAGAAAAAGAAAAATTGCGTGAAGAGACGGGGGTCTTGAAAGACGACGATGTTGGTTTATCTACCTTGGTTAATCCACCCCGCGTCGAGTATTCCCCGCCCAGCCCCAGGTCCAGTTGGTGTTCCCGTCACGTCACGGCGGGGCTGGCCCGGGTTTCGGGAAGATGTCCGACCAGGCCGATCATCGGAACCGGCGGGACTCAACTGTTGATGACTGGAATTGGGGTTCTTCCACATTTACAACCCATCCCCATTTTGTTCCCAGTACAGAACTTGTGTCGTCAATACGGACAAAATCCTCCTGCATGGATTCTTAGGAGGCTATAGGTAGTCCCAGCCGCAGCGGAAGAATGTCATTTGCAACACTGCACTGAGTTCCCTCAATGATCTTCGCCCGTTCACGTTTCAGCTACCTTGGAGACTTTGGGCACCTATGTTATCTCACTAGAGGGCGGTCAACTCAGTGGAAAAGACGATGTGAGCCGCCCATTCAAGTTAATTTGTTGACTTGGGGTCCTTTTTTGATTCAAACTGCTGCATAGTAGGCGTTGCGCGACTTGCGAATGCCCTCTACCTCTGAGATCAACAGGTTGGACACACGTCCGCATCAGCCTACTCACTTTGCGCTGTCTATCATACGGCGCCGCAGAGTCGGATTCCTACAACTCCAGTCGCCCAACTGTATGGCGCCCGTCGTCCTTCCATATGTCGATGAGCAGGGACGGGGTTGTTTGATACCCTTCATGTATCTCAACACCCAGGTTTCATTGTCTTGGATACCACTGATAGCTCGGACTGCCCGGGGTGTCATTTCCTTGCCTTCCCAATGGCCTCTTCTCGTTGGGCGCCGTCATCTTCCAGTCAGGTGTATCGATGAGAGCCCAACAAATATACGTCGGCCGGAACGTTCGAGATATTTGGTGTTTTCCTCAAGGTCTACCTGCCGCCCACCCACGATATGCCATCTAGTTCATCAAGGTATTCCTCGTAGGAGTGGCCATCGTCCTCGATCTCTCCATTTTGCGCCGGTCCGCCAAATATGGCGCCGAAATCCGAGTACACATCCTCTAAATCGTCGTCGTCCGCCCAGGCATAGGAACAGTCGTGATCCGCTGTGGGAAAGGCTAGAAGGCCGTCGTCTTCCATGTCTTCGAGCATCGCTCCGGAAGGGGCCAGGACTGGTGAGCGGGTAGGTTGGAGCCGCGGCGATTTGGGAACTATTCGGGAAGGCTGGGGTGCTCTTGATGCCGGAAGAGAAGTTGCCGGGCTCGGTGTGCTAGGCGAGACGCCTGGTCGCATCAGTAGCACTCTCGCCGGGGGTGTTTGTTGCCGCTGTTCTGCAAGTGCAGATGATTGTGCCACAAATCTGGCTCCCGTGGCCAGCTGCTGGCCATGGTGAAGAACCGCAGCATTCGCAGCAGTCACGGCAACGACAAGATCCCCTCGCAGTATCGCCTCGTTCCGCACGCGTAGTCTGACCCTGTTGAGCACCGCAGCCCTCAGCATGATCGAACCCTCTCGGTTCAGACCCTGCTTCCCGACTTCCGGGGAGGTAGCCACAGCCGCCAGCTTAACGAAACGCTTATCACCCGAAGCAATGGCCTCGCGATTGATAATGTGCGTCGCGGGTAGCGAGAACGGTTGGGAAAGTCGACTGGTAATGAGATGAAGCCTCAAGCGCCGCTTCTTGCAGCTCAGTGTGGCTGTGTATGGTCCGTCGACATCAGATTTGGCCCTTGGGCGCTTCTCGATTTTGGGTGACGGCGGCTGCCGTAGGAACACGAAGTCTGACTGCTCGTGGTTCGCGGAGAAGCCAAGACACGGGTTCGTCGGTGTGCGAAATTGCGAACGGGTTCTTTGGCTTGCCCCAGCTTCTCCCACGGATGCAGATGTAAGTATCTTCGAGTGACTCTCCAAGTAGCAATTGCTCGGAGATCTCGAAATAGGCCTGCAGTTTGCAGTCAAGGGACATTCGGTCTCGTGTTTAGAACACTGCACCGATGCCAGTGGCGAGAAGAAACCTGTCTCCACGTCGATGACCCCATCATCTTCGCATGCCGAACTCTCAAGACTCCAGGTTTTGAACGGCTCTAAGGTGGTGCGGTTCAAAGAACCGACCTCAACCACCATCTTTATGTCCGTCTAGGTACGTGTTGAAGCGGCGTGCTTGAGCTGGTCAAGTGAATTGTTCTCTTCATCCGGGCACCTTGGTTGCATCCACGGATGTATGTCGTTCTAAAACCCGGTCATATCCCACAACCACTCCTTCAACGCCAGTCTAACTGGTGTCCACCGCCAACATGGAAAGCCGGCGACCGTGAGCAGGATTTACGAGGTACGATGACAGCGTAAGGCGGCACAGAGGTCCAGGGCAAGGCGGAGTGGAGTGACCGAGGACAAGACAGGACCCTAATGCTTGGAGAGGGGCCGTCTGGGTGCAGGATGCGTGACAGCGAGTGGAGAGAGCCGAAAAGACGAAAAGGCTGCCGTCGTCCTTGGCTACGGTCTAAGCACGAGACCGGTCTTATATTTAATGCTTCGAAGCACCAAAGGGATCAGGATGGAAGACAGAGAAAGCGGAGAGATCGGCGAATGGAGCGAAGGGGAATCAGCACAAACCGATGGGGCGGAACCGCCCATTCAAACCAACCTGGCCAGCGTGTTCCACCCCTCTCTCCTTCCAGAACCTGGGATTTGTGCTACCCTAAAGCAAGCCTGGCTAAGCAACGAGTCGATGTTGACTGATGTGTGGGTGTGGGAGAGGAAGACAAGGGTCGCGGAGGCAAAGACCTGGGGAAAGCTGGGATGCAACGAATAGGATGGCCGGGATGCACCGGTCACCCCTGGTCATGCACCACCCCCGGTCTGGGGTTGAGAGGGGGAAGATGCGACTGACATGGGCGGGAGATTTGGGGCGTTTCTCAGCCTTCGGGCCTCGACATGCGTGGAAATGCGTAAGCTGCGTATCCGTACGTGGGCGGTAAACATGTATAGCATTTTTGAATGGCAAGGTGCCAATATAGTACGATTCGAATCGTACCGTGCGTGCGTGCATGGCCAGTCCTCTTATATCTATACAAAGAGCTTTAGTAGACTCGACTTGCCAACAAGATTTAACTTAATGACTAGCACATTTTTATCCCTACGGATATCCGTACACGCATTCACATTGCGGCAGCAAGTCACATTCGTGTTCAAGAAGACAGGGAGCTAGAGACGTGTTTTCCTGCACCCCAGACTGGGCCTTTATGTCCGGATCAGAGGCGATGTGACCAGCCGCATAACACTACTAAGCGGAGGGCTCGCACGCCTTTCTCCGGGAGCGAATGGGCAATCTCAACAATATTTTGAGCGCATGTCTCGAGTTGATCTTGATAAGTGAATAATTAAGTGCAACAAGTCGTCTCTGCAAGTATACCCAACGTGACCCGGAAGCCTTGCCACTCACCAGACTTGATGTTCTCCTCACATTCCGATCTTCCACCGGCAGATTTTAGGTCGATTTTGATATCTCCGATAATGAGGAGGGCGCATTTCCAGAATTGCTGGTGTGTTTCATGGACCTGGCATCCATAGCCACCGTTTCTTTTTCCCCCGCGAGTGGCTTGGGTCACCCGCTCTGCTGGATTCTCATCACCCTTTTTGCGGTCTCTCAACATTCCGGCGGCGTTCTATCTTGAGGGCCTCATTCCTTCTCGTTGACGTTGGTGTTTCGAGCCCATGTCCTTGCTCTGCTGGCCGCTGTCGGCCCCCCTTGACAGTTGGCTCACCCTCGTTACGGATCTGCAACACGCCGTCGACGACCTTGCCAGCAAGATGTTCGAAATCCTTGCAACGATCTTCAGGGAGATGACAACGGCTTGAGTCTGTGATTGTTCCCGATTTCGAGTACCGAAAACTCGACCGGCCATAGGAAAACGAGCTCAACAGCAAAGAGACGGTCAAGTGTTATCCCGATGTGACACTAGACACTCGTCACTCGTCATCTCACTCTGCGGTGAGCCCAACCTCTCCACCTAGCCCCAGGTCTCTTGTCCTACCATCGGGCGTATGCATTTGTGCCTTTGGTCAATCATTACGGGGTGCATCATGCAGTGGTCGCTGCTGTTCACCCATTGAGCATTCTTCCGAGACCGCTCCTAGCCAGCAGAGCTGAAGAGGGCGAGGCGAGACATTGAATGCGGCATGTCCAGAATGGCAATCCGCAGTAGCTCGTTTCGCCCACCGAGGCGGTGCTTGCGCTGCTTGGTACCAAGTAGCGCCTTTTCGGTGGAATGGGAGGGTCACGCGCAGCTCCAGGTATTTTCGCCGTGAGCGACATTGGGGTGGCAGACTCCATCGTTTGACCAATGAGCTTAGAGATGAATGAGTGAATGTCCAAGATGCTGGTGAGTGAATACTACAGTAGGTTTTAGTCAGTTGCAGCAAAACATGAGCGAGACAAGGGTGCCCTGTCGTCGGCCCTCATCTTGGGCATTTTTCATTTGGACAACGGCCGGTACAAAACATGGCAGCAGTGTCAATAATCGTCAGTCACAACTTTCCCCCTCTCCTTGCAAACAAGCACGCTCATTTCTGATGTCCGAATCCTGCCTATACCAAGACTTGCCCACGGTAAGACATCCAGTCCAGAAGCCTACAACGCCCGCATGTGGTGCAACATGCTGCATGTCAACCCCAGTCTTGTCGAGTCAGCCAGGGCGGATAGGGGCTCAATCCATGATTCAACTCCCATTAGGGCCAAGCGGCCGCAACTTCCATCAGTTGTCAAGAATTCACTGCCAAGTGGGCATTGAGGCCGAAGCGGCGCCAGACCGTAAGTGTAAGGTGGGCAGGGGGGAGTACGACCAGAGTTCAGCTGAAGTTCTTTCTTGGTCTGGCAGAGGACGGATTAGGTACTGGAGAGCTTGTCAGCTCATATCTGGGCAAACAAGTGGGACAGCTCGCGCAGGGTCTGAGGGGGTAGCAACGGCTTTGGCCTGCTGGGCGGCAGCTGGGCGTCCCAGCAGCCTGGCAAACCTGTACCTATTTCACAGCGTTTTCTCAAAATCATTAATGCTGGGCAACATCGCTCATGGCATGGAATACCGCCTGCCGTATGCAACCCGACATAACCGGCCCTGATGATCGGGAACCGGTCATTTTCATCTTGCATCATGGCCGAAGAAATATGGGTGTTTCCCGGAGAGTCATCGGCTTCCCCATAAACTGCCATGGTCCTCCCTGAAGACACTGGTACTAATCCCATACTACGTACAGGTAGTAGGGACACGCAACAACCGACACTTGGAGCTTCCCCTCATGTGGCAGCCTCGGCTCCGCCCCGAGAGTCTGGAGAAGCTCCGGTGCGCACGGCCACGGCCCCGCCACAGTGGTTCTCGTCCCGAGGTCCAATTCTCTCCACGTCCACGTCTCAGGTGCGGTTGGATAAAGTCAAACTGAGCCCAATTGTCGAACCAACCAACCCTTCCCCAAGCTTTGAAATCTCGCATCGTTGGCTGGCAAAGCTCATCTCATGAACCAATTCTAGACCCTTAGTTGTGCTTCGTGATCTTCCGCATCTGTTCCATTCAGCGTGCCAAGCGTGCCTGATATTCTCTCTGAGTTCTTTGGTGTTTCTCTGCACATTTCGCCATGTCTAAAGTACTGTTTGATGACGTCCTGGCACTGGCACCGTTGCCGACGCTCCCGAACGAGACAACATCCACTGGCAGCGCAGTGAAACGATACATGAGTCTATATCCAGCCTGGGTGCCCGGCTCAGAACTCGTCGGGGGCAAAGGCCGCGGATCCAAGGCAGACCCTCGGGCTGCCTACGGAGGTCATGTCTACTGCCAGGCGGCTCTAGCGGCAAGCCGCGCTGTCAAGGAAGAGGAACCTGCTGGATCGGGGACTCAGACAGGAGGATTCGGGCTTCATGTGAGATTGCGTGACATTGCTACCTCATAATGTTACTAATGCACAGTTCAGACCATTCAAGGTGTGTTTTCTGCTGCCGCCAGGTCAGACAGGCCCTTCATCTATGAGGTCTCTGTCCTCTCAACCAGCCGAACGTTCTGCTCTAGGTTGGTGACCACGCGGCAACCACGAGAGACGAGCAGCCGAAACGACTATGAGGACAACTTCTTGGCAAAAGATGCAGAAGGTGAGCTAGGCGATGTGTGTTTCAGCTGCATATGCACCTTCAAGCGACCAGAAAAAGGCCGGGTCGACTCGCAAGAAGAACCGCCACAGAGGCGCTTTGCCGATATCCTTGCGACCAAATCCCCGAAGGACTGGCCCCATGCACCGGCGGTAGACGTGAACGAGATCAAGGCCATGTTTCCGGATGTCGGCGAGACAACCTTTCCCATTGTCGATATGCACAAGGTCGATTTGACGGCGTACAACGAGGGCAAGCCCGTAACAGAGAGGAAGGAGCTTCTTCTCTACCGTCTCAAGAGGCCGCTCCCAGCCGATGACCCGAACTCGCACGTGGCTGTTCACGCGTTCGAGTCGGACCGCAACGGGCTTCTGATGATAGGGAACCACATCGGCATTGGGTGGAATTTTGGGACAGCAGCAAGCTTGACGTACAAATTCGTGGTTCACGTCAACGTTGATCAGGCTGTGATGAAGGACCCGTCGGGACCGGACGACGGTTGGTGGATTCAGGAGGCATCGTTCCCTCGCGCTGGTCAGGGGCGAGGGATCCTGGTATGTAAGATGTGGAGTCCTGAGGGTATACACGTTGCTACTGGATATCAGGATGGTATTGTTAGAGAGAGAAGGGTGGCGGGTGACGAATTCAGTGAGAAGCTGTAGCATGCATTGACATTATGACATCAAGTAACATAGTCTAGACTCTTCTGATGTGAAGGTGTAAACATAGTTAGATTTGCCAGATACATATGAACAGGATATTTGCTTTGGCTGGCCGAGAATATGTTCTAAAGTGGCTCACCTGGTCTTGTTGCAAGATGTACCCGTCTTTCCAGATCATGGCTGGTCTGCGAAAAAAGACTGTGAGGAAGGAGCGAGCTGATGCGCGAGTGCTCTTGCCTTCTCATTTCCTTTCACGAAAGAACAGCGAACACACCTTTTGCGAACCTGAAAAACTGTCAAGACTTTTTTTCTTTACTCAGCCGATTCTCATCCCTCGATCTCACCTAAACGCTTCCTTTTTTAACTCCAGAAGCACACAAACGTGCTTTCCACCTGCCGGAAATCATATTGCGATCCCTTTCTTTTTCACCTGGCCGAGATTCAAACTTCAACTCACCTCAACACTACAATTACCTCCTCTCACTTCTAACGCCCAGTATTTATAGCCTCACCGGCCTATGTACTTTCTCAAGTGAACGTACCTTTCACTCACTGAGAGGGGACCCCGCGATCTCTCGAGTCTTTCGCTCGGCCGGATTTCCACATCCGACACCACACACAGCCAACTTCGACACCTCATCCTCTCATCCCCTCTACCAAATAATAACAGATCGCAACTGGTCTCACATTCACAGTCGGTCTTGACGTGTTGACGCCACAGAGGGTGCGCTTTTGATACCAGTGCGACCTAATTCACAATCGCCAAAAAAGCATCACCCTTTTTGGTTATTGACCTTTCACCCTGCAGATAAGCCTGTTACATCTAACATGGAGTCCTTCTCTCCCTCCAAGGCAGTCGCGCCACCGCAGCGCTCGCGCCTTTCGTTATCGATCGCACGATTGAAGGATGCCATCCGAGAAGCCGAGAACGAGGCCGAGAAAACTGAGACCACCATCGCCTACAAAGAAGGTTGGATCGAAGACCTAAAGTTCGACCGGATCGCTCACGACGGACCTACAACCACCTTTGACAGAGCCATCGAACGCGCCAGGGCTGAGTGCGAGCGGATTCAAAACGACCTTGACGCCAAGAAAGAAGACATTGCCGTTTTCAAAGACAAACTGAAGAGGAGAGAGGCAAAGCTGGCAGCCATCCCTCGAGTTGAATTTGCAGACGCACCAAGCCCCGAAGACGACGAAGAGGCTGCCGCCCTTCTGGACATCACAAACACCCAGATGAGCCAGGTCTTCACTATCAGCGACGACGGCAAGACTTACGTCGACCCCATCATGCTTCGCGGCGTCCCAGTTGAGCCTATCGACGAGGATGATGAGTATTGGGAGATGACATGGATCAAGTTCAAGGACGCCATCGATGAAGACCGGGTAGAGCGAGAGTACCAGGGAGAGCTTGAGGCCTGGAATCGGCGAGCTCAGGAGGGAGCCCTTTCGACAGAAGAGGAATCTCCAGAGAAGAGGTTCAAGAGATACCAGCGTAACCTCAACCAGGCCAGGGTCATCAAAAAGTGGTTCCGCCCCGGCAATACTGTCCACCCGAACCAGATCATGGCCAAGCATCACCTACCTGATACGGGACTCTGCATTGGCCATGTCCTTTACAAGATCTGCAACATCCTCGGGCGTCTCAGCGCCTTGCATGAGCGTGGAGAGCTGGGCATGCCGCCTCTGTACTTCCTCATGTGGAGAATGAGCGTGTCCCTCGACCGACAGCCGCGTACCCATATGAAGACATTCTGGCGTATCATCGTCGACGAAGACCACGTCGCCTACGACGAAGTCCTCCGCAAGGCCGAAATTCGAGGCGCACAGCACGTGGGCGATTACAACTTCTACAACCGCAGTTGGAAGAGGGTGGTCTCTGCGACAGGCCAGAGGCAGCAGACTGCTGCCTCTCCCATGATTCCCAAAACAGCCATCCAGACCTCGAGTCAGCCCAGGACCCCTTCTCGGAAGTCTCGTAAACAGCAACACCAGTCTACGCCAGTCACCATTGTGACATCAGCTGTTGACCCTACGGGCTCGCCGGGGACCACGTTGACCAGCTCGACAGCTGACGAAGTGCTGCATCAACGCAAGAGACAACGATCCTCGACGCAAGCCAAGCAGCAAATCTCCGATACAGGTAGCGACGCGCCATCTGCTAAGAAAGCGCGCAAAGCGGCATGGAAGGCAAAGCAACTTTCTTTACGACCGCGGTCTTCAACTGAGAGCTTGGCCTCAGATCGCCCTGAATTCTTGTCGTCTGCACGTAGTACAGAAATGAAGACCCAAACTCTGGCATCACAGGGCGATAAGGGTACTCCCGCTGCAGCCAGTAAGCTTTCCCAAAACGCCAAGCCAAGCAATGCAGCCAGCAGAGATGCGCAGGCTTGGATTGAGTACGCCGAGGAAGTTGAGAGACGGACTCGCCCCCAAAAGACAGAAGACACCGCGCTTGACGACGCTACAAGTTACTTCATCCCTGTTGGCG